TGTGGCTTGTTTAATTTGCCTATTCCTACTAATTCACTGTAATGTTTCTGTTCTGTCTGTGTTTTTGACATGGAATTTAATTTAATTTAATTAAAATATATGTGAAACACATATGGAAATAATTATATATATGCACTATTCAGGTCTAATAATTAGAGAGGAATATGTAGTCTATTTTATTTCATTAGCTCGGCTACCTTTTCAGGTGAGTCTTTTTATACTAATCCAATGTTAGTATATTAAATTTACAATTATTCTTGAAGTGTTATTCTTAAACATATTACAGAACAAATTAGCAGTGATTAAAACGAATCCCACGCAGACAGTTTGTGCTGTGAGTTTTGCATTTAATTGAACAATCGAACAAAAACACACCAAGGACGTCAACATCAAGCTCATTAATCCCAGCGAGATTAAATGATTAAATTAAGATTACAGAAGAGTGACTTTAGTGTCAAACGTTTATCTGCTGTAAAAATACCTCGTCCAGAAAAATCTGATGAGGAGCGACAACGAAACAGAGACTCGTCATGAGCGGGAAACCTCTCCCACCTCTTCCAGCTCTCGCAATCATCCAATCTCATGTCACCGCCGGAAAAAAAAGAGACAGTAGATTTGACAGTCATGAGGTTTGAGTCGTCATTTGTTTCCTTTTTTTTTTGCTTCCATCCAATAATAACTTGTGGATATTAAATAGTGCAGCACTGTCTGACAAAATACTAAATACAATGCCCTCCTCTCCAAAATCCACCACTCACATTAGTTTTATTCCAGACCTGCAGTGCTAGATAAGCAAATGCAATTAATGCATAATGTTTGGCGGGGGGGGCAAAGTAGTGATTGGATGTATCCGTTCCAAAAGCTTGGCATCGTCCGATGTTTCTGCATTGACACAGACAAGGGATGACAAATGAACAAAAGGCTCTCCTGCTTTTACGTTTGAAATAAATGGAGGTTGTCATCAGATACATCAAACATCTATTGTTTTATATTCACGTTCAGCTGTCCAGAATGAAGAGGGATTCTCCGTCTACTCATACTACCATTACATGAAGTTATTTTGTTATGATGCTGCAGCTTGGATTCATCTGGGTTTTTTTTTTGCTTCACTTAAATTATGAACTGAAACCCTGAATATGCATCAAGCAGATTGGGAAGATATTCTACAGCACGTTATTTAAAACCCCTAGAATAGAGTAATTCAATCAGGCAGATGTTATTTACACCTCAAGGTCAAAAGCCAGAAATACCATTTGCAACCAGTTGGGATAGTCAATGTGGATATTTTACGTCCGGTTGTATTGCATGGCAGTAACAAGCACCCAGGTGTTTGTAGCTGAGAATTAAATCACAATTATTAGAGGAAGAAAATATTGGAGGGTTAGAAACCTTTTGGCTTGCTATATGTCATTAAATTAAGATGCATTTATTTTTTTCCGGGCGTAAAAAGCAAAAATAGTCTCTTTATCAAGAGATAAATCCTCTCTGCCCTCTCAGGTTACAAAAGGGATTACCCTGCTGCGACAGAGCACATGTGAAGCATTCGCATGCTATTTATGCCACTTATTAATATTTACTAATCATCAAAATGAAAGGTCCGACCTCCTTCTGTCGCATTTTGCTTTGTATATCGTACTAAGGTTTATCACGGTGATCGTTTTACACTTCAACTTGAACTCCTTAGGCACCAGTGCACCGCCCTAAAACTCCCTGTAAAACTTCTACTCAGTGAGCTGTTGTCAGATGCAATCCAAACATTAAAATGATGGATTCCGGTACTCTTGACACTGATGTGGGTGCATTTCCTGGCATTAAAACAATAAAAATGATGGATAGAAAAACCGTAATCGCTGTTAACATAATGACTGGAATTTGCTCCTTCCAGAACGGCATTTCCATCTTACAGTAAAGTACTCAATCACTTCTCACGGCAACCTCAGAACTGTCGGCTGGAATTTGAGTAACTCAAAGTGTGTATTTATTTAATGTCTGCTGGCATCAGGTGGTTCAAAGTGAACCGACTTCTGCTGTGCGCTTTGTAAAAATAGAAAGAAATTCTGACACGTGTTGGCTGCGGTTCACAGAATGAGCAAAGAGACCATTCATCTACCTGCTGATATTATTAAGTGCCCCACAAAGACTGGCTTTTTCTTTTTTTTCCTGCCAGTTAAAAAGCCTCTTCAGCCATTTGCCACCGAAGTGCTGCATCGGCGCTTTCGTCGAACTGACGCCAGCGAGCGGCGTCTCGCTCGCACGTGCCGGCCTTCCCTGTCGCACACGCCGATGCCAATGACGACACGGTGTACTCACGAAATTTATATCGTGGCGGGGGGCGGCTTTCCTCCATAAGCTGTGCGGCTGGTGACCCCTGACCCGCCTTGTTACGCGAACGCCGCCGGCTCGCCACCTTTCCCGCCTATTTACCCCCGTCATATTTCAAGCTAACACAAATCGCTGACCTACTTTAAGTCAGAAAGTAGGGGGGCGGGGGGGGTTTCAATAGATAGAATGTGTTGTAGTATGTAGAAACAATGCACTCCTGATGTGTCACTCTCGAAAACGTGTTAGCGTGTAGCTCGGGTGAAAGGCCCGGCGAGGGGAGAGAAAAGAAGACTCCGTCACGTCTTCTTCAACTAAAGAAACCAAACGTTAAGTTGTGACAGCAGTTCTCTCTTTTCCCCCCATACGATTAACACAAGCCGAAAACCATGAATGGGTTGAGCAATGGACGCGCTCACGCTTCTACTCCTTAAAACACCTCCGCCTTCCTCTTCAACCGCCCCACCCCGCCCCCGTCCCACCTCCCTCCGTCACCACGTGCCAGCGCAGAGTCCACAGTGTGTCTTGGACCCATCTGCACAGTGACTCAGGCTGCTCTCCATTTGAAAAATTAAACGGAGGGCCGTTTGGCAGAGTTAAATGAGGCCCACCGGAAAAAAAGAAAAAAAGCTGCTGAGCTCAGCGCCGCTCCTACAATCTCAATCACGAAGGAGGAGGTTGGTGCGCTGATGTAATGGCCGCCGTCGTGCTGCCGCGGCCTTGGCAGAGGAGGGGAGCTCGTCAGCACGCCCCTATTAATTCATTTACCCCCCCCCCCCCCCCCCACCCCCTCCCTCTTCTTCCTCCTCCTCATCCTCATCCCCCGGCTCAAGGGTACATCAGATATCATTTAAAAAGCTAAAAACCAAACACAGAACCGGTTGTGAGAGAGTGAGAAAAGGATGCAAGAACGATTTGAGAGGGAGGATATCCTAGAACGTGTTTGTCACACAGGATGTACCGTGTTAATACATTTGGATTACATCATTCATTAGCCACCTGTGGAGCTCCTCTACAATCATATAACATCCAGCAACAGGGGAACCATTAGAGGAAATGTTCCCCCCATTTCCATCAATAATCCTAACAGCTGAAGTTGAAGAGAAATACCACACTATCTTTATATTCTACAACGAGTCAAGTTTGAGAGTTTCATTGAAGTGTACCTCAAGTATGATATTTTTGAATGATAGAGTTCCACAAAAAAAAAGAAACATCAAATGGGAATACGTACCAGTAACTCAAAAATAAATGTTCTCCTCTTTTAGTCAATACCTCTGCTATCGTTTTTTGTTTGATGCTTTAAAGTATACTAACTTATCTTAATTATATTAACTATGTATAACCTTTTACCTATTTTATCAAATATAGTAGCCTCATTTCCTGTTGGCACAACATTATTCCAGTAAGATATTAAACTATAACAACTCATAGTGTTATATAAAAAGATTCAAAGTATAAAGCCATTCAAAGTATAGATTTTTTCATGTTTCAAGTCAATTTAGTGATGTTTATAAATTGGATATATATATCTGGACTGGGACGAATTCTGATTGAAATGTTGAAACGTACAGAAACATTATTATTGCATTATTTTGGTTCATGTTGGCTCAGTTGGTTGTCTGCAGAGAATAGACAGATCTTGCGATCCAGTTTAAAGGTTCTCTCCAGGTTCCCCCTTCTAGAAATGCTCAGTGGATGAGAAGTATTGACTGAAATGCTCCGTGGCACTGAAATAACATGTGAATTATTAAAATGGGTGACATTTACCTTTTTAGAGAAGCAGACAGCACATAACCTGCTTTTGAGTTTCCACTCATGTGTTGACTAAGTGATTGCTTGTATCTATACATTTGATTGAGTTATTTAGCTTGTTTGAGTCAGAAAGAAGACATTATGTCTCATTAAACTACAGAGCTTACAATTACAGATGCTAATTCTTATTTGTGTACCATTGAGTTAACCTGCAACTGGTGCATCAGCAGATCATAATTTCAGTGTAAATCTACCAAGTACACCAATGTAAATCTAACTGTGAAGTCGGGATTTTCATTACTTTGATCTCAGTTTTCCATTATAAATATTGGGAGACGTGGCAAAAGTCACCGTTGTTGTCCATGTCAGCAACAGCATGTATGTTTCATGTCAATGTTCGCAACCAAAGATGCACCAGTGTCTTCTTCTAATTTATTGCTGCCGCCTAGTGGCCATGCACAAACATTTCACCTGTTTGGTCAGTGCAGAAAAGAATTTAAAAAAATAGAATTACTTTAAACCCCCATAATATTTATAGAGTACTTCATACTGATACAGGTAAAATATATATATTTTCTTTTAAATTGGGGGTTCTCACCCAATTGTTGAAAGCATTTACTGCAACATTTCTGGTTTGTTTACTACTTAATAATACATCAATCATTTCACACAGTGAATGGAAATAGAATTGTGTGTGATGGTTGTACTTTTTATCTGAAATGTAAGTAAATTGTTTCGCGTTTAATACATGTAAGCAAACGTTTGTTGCGTTTTTTGTATTTTTACAAAAAACTTAAAAAAGAAAATTAATTATATAGATATACAATATTGATTTTTGTCGTAGGATATATACCAAAAGATCGTCATCAGATGTTATTTTGTGCTGTTTTTTCTACAGACGGGGAACAACGTTACTCAATCGATCACTGATTTGCAATCGGTGCTCTGCTATTTCTCCTGACATCTTCTCTTCCAGGAGAATAAATCAAGTTCGGATCACAGTACAGGAGGAGACGCTTTTCTAAAGCAGAGATGGTATGTGTAAATTATATTTCAATTAAGTTCATAAATTTCACATAATACATACACAATTGAAACAGTAAAGAAGACTTGCAGTTGTAGTATTTATCAGAAAACGGGGTTAATTTACTCACAACAAGCTAACATTAGCTAATAGCTAACTTTTGACTGCACTGTGAGTAAGCAAAACACCGTCAATGGCTACAGTTAGCCGCATCGACACCGGCTAAATGACGTGTCTCCCGAATAATCGGTTCGTGGCTAATATGACTCGGATCATATCGTATTGAACAATGTTTGATCATAGCCCGATGCATTTACGTTTGACGCTGCAGTACCACAACTGCGTTGCTGATTAGTTAGCCAAGTAGATTGTTAGCAGGCTAAAGCACAGCAGCTAGCAGATGTTAGCCACCTCGGGCTGAGTTAGCTAGCATCAAACTCATGTGTCATGTCTTTTACTTTCGTTTTACCTCCGGCCACCGCTTTTTGAGTTACAAACTAATAACATTAAGTGAGTCCAACACCTTAAACTCCAGTTATTGTTCACTATGAATATAACCTTACCTAACCTTCGCACAGTCTGCATTTAATCCAGCTAGCTAATGTCAGCTAGCATTCCCTCAGGACTATAACGTAATTTAGTTAGTTGAAGTGTTAACGTCACCCACCGCCGTTAGCAACGTATATTGTGTTCATTTACTTGTTTAAACAACAGTCTAAATTAGTAAGCATTAAATAAAGTGTTCGACATTCTTCTTCGTTCTACATTAAGCTACAAGCATAACATAACGTTAATTATGTGGCCAATGTGTTTTTAAAAAAAACAAACGGACAAAACGCTAGATGCCAGCCTTTAAATATAACTTCATGTTAGTTAGTTAAATGCTGACATATGAAACGTCAGCTAACCTTACGTTTTAATCATCCGTTGTTGGCCATTAACAGCATGATGCTGCACGTCTCTATTCGGCTAGTGGCTGCACACAAAGCTGTACTTATCAATGATTCAGTTGTGGTAGAAATATAATACTCGAGTCCAACAAACACAGAGGATCCTGTGGTGGTTACTTGGATGTCAAATAGTGCAGGAAGGGAGCTGGGGATGATGCAAGACAACTATGTAAGCTCAGATCTTTTTCTGTGATGATTTTCCTTTGTTACGGTCAAATAATGGGTTGTTTCCTATCTTTAGTTTCGCAATCAGTACGACAACGACGTGACGGTATGGAGCCCGCAGGTGAGTCCTTTGCTTCAACCTGTCTTTAAGAAAGGTAAACGTCTGAGCGTCGCTGTCGCGCCACGGCATGAAATGTAAACACGAATTGTTCACCTCGGTGCAGGGCCGCATTCATCAGATCGAGTATGCCATGGAGGCCGTGAAGCAAGGCTCTGCAACTGTGGGACTCAAGTCCAAATCCCATGCAGTCCTGGTTGCTCTGAAGGTACTGTCCTTTAATGCCTGCCAATGCAACATTACCTGCCTTCTTTTTACCTGAAAAGCCACTGGTTTCTTTATAATGGAACCGTTAAATGTATCGTGACGTATTAAGACCTGAGAAAGCGTGAAGCAGAGTGTAAGCCACAGGCGGAGAAGAACTGTCGGTTCATGCCGTCGTGTCCCCCACAGAGAGCCCAGTCTGAACTGGCTGCCCACCAGAAGAAGATCCTCCATGTTGACAACCACATCGGCATCTCCATTGCCGGACTCACTGCTGACGCCAGACTGCTTTGGTGAGTCCCGGCTGCCTTGTCGATCTGAATAGTTTGTTTGTTGTTTTTGTTTAGCCTAAGTTCTACTGTCATCTTCCACAGTAACTTCATGCGTCAGGAGTGCTTGGACTCGAGATTTGTCTTCGACAGACCCCTTCCTGCGTCACGTCTCGTCTCTCTTATTGGCAGCAGTATCCTCACTAATCTCTTGAATCTCTGTAATTACAAATATATATATATATATATATATATATATATAATCAACCTCAAAGGTTACTTGTATGAACACTGAAGTAAAATAATTCTGAAGGGCAGCAGTGATCCTTACCTGATCCTTCAGAAACCCAAATCCCCACACAGAGGTATGGAAGGAGGCCTTATGGTGTTGGACTCCTCATTGCTGGCTTTGATGTAAGTGTTTGCTACTTTTCTTAAACGTGTCGATAGTATGTATTTTTCTTGTCAAAGAGTAAAGTTTGTATATATTTGTATTTTTTTAATTTGTCGGCCAGGACATGGGACCTCACATCTTCCAGACCTGCCCCTCAGCCAACTACTTTGACTGCAAAGCGATGTCCATCGGAGCGCGCTCCCAGTCCGCACGCACCTACCTGGAGCGATGCATGGACAAGTTCTCCGACTGTAAGCGCCAGCTCCTTTCACTCGTCTACTTCCATCATGCAGATTAGTTTTTTGCATCTTTATTTCACCTGTCCTAATTACAAACGACATCAAGTGAACTCAATCTTGAAATATTAACACGTCAGACGAAGAAGTACATGATTTAAGAAAGTGCAAGTGCAAGTACACAAATGAATAAAGTCTCGTTCTGCTCTCAGCTAATCTGAACGACCTGGTCCAGCACGGCCTCCGCGCTCTCCGAGAAACGCTCCCCGCCGAGCAGGACCTCACCACTAAGGTACGCCTCCCCTCTCCCCTCCACCTGTCCTCCCTGTGATCAGGCCTGTTGGTCTGACAGCTATGGGGGGAAAAAGTCAAGAGCGTGAAGCTGGGATTCTAAGATAAATATGATTTCAAGTGCTTTTGGTTTTTGTACTTTGAATGTCGCTAACTTCAATAGATTCAGTGACGTGTAGTCAAAGCTCAGCCCCAGTCGGATGTTCTCGGGAATGTAATGGCATACGTGCTTCTCATCCTTCAGAATGTTTCCATCGGCATTGTGGGTAAGGACATGGAGTTCGTCATTTATGACGATGATGATGTCGCCCCGTTCTTGGAGGGGCTGGAAGAGAGGCCACAGAGAAAGGTACTTCAAGAGCTCTGTTTATATGTTGCTTTTCTTCTGTAAGTTTTATTTATTTGACATATTTTGAGACAAACGCGGATGTTTGTGCACTGAACGGAACTTGGTTTGTGCGTCAGGTCGCCCAGCCCGCCGACGAACCTGCCGTTGCTGGAGAGGTACCCGATGAGCCGATGGAGCACTGAGGCGTCCGCTTCCTGACAACTGCCACTCACCAGAGTAAACCTTCGAGGGGGACAAGTTGTTATGTTATGTGCCACCCGTCAATCCAAAATATCCTGCGAACATCCACCAACGTGATGTTGCTTTTGTATGAGAAAAATGTATCATTATACAAGTAATAAACTTTTTTTTTTGAATGCTGCAGCAGCTCCTCATTACAACAGTTTCCTCCGTAAGACGCTTAGTATCTAAATGAGCACATTGAATGTGACAGACAGCTGAGTTCATAATATGTAGAGTAAGAATAAAGTTTTAATCACTGACCTACATGTGCTTTTTTTAAACAGTGAATAGATTCAGTTTATAAAAGTAAAAATTGTAATCATTTAGAACACAAAGCATAAAACATTGATAGAGAAGACATCGGATCGCCAACGAAATCACTCTGCTGGAACACAGACATCTTTTTGTGTCGCTTTTAAATCTGTACAGTGGATTAAATGCTGCTCTCAAAGTTCATCCTGGACTGAACTGGTCCAGGAGACAAAAGGTGGAGGAGAGAACACGTGCGCGGTCATCTGATCTTCTGGAGCTCCATCTGAACGTATGAGGACTGACTGCTTTATGGGTGATAATTACGACACGATTTACTGTAAATATAATAAAAGACCATAAACACGTATCTAACGTTGCCTGTGTAACCTCAACAAACGATGAGATGCCAAATGACGTGAGTTAAACAACTTCAATCACTAGGTGCAAATAATGTTAAACCAATTCACAGGAAAAGAGGTTAATAATCGTGCAAAAAGACAAATTAGAAATGCTAAATAATAAATACTGTTTGTGTTCACACTCTGATTCCTCACCTTAACCCTTAAATAACACTTCATAGAGCTTTTATGACTGAGGCCCTTATTATTTCATGTTTAATAAACCTTTTCCTCCACTAGACGAAGTTGATATCAGTGCAATAAAAGTCTCGTCTTCACTTCGATAAACGAGGAAAACGGGCGCGCAGGAGGAGAAGACCCGGAGGTCCTCAGCGTGAGGCTTTCTTTGCTCTCCTCCTCTTGTTCCTCCGCCTGACGGCGCCGCAGGAGGCTTCCGGCTCCGTCGCCTCCTCCTGCTCCGTCGCGTACGTCATCTTCAGCGTGAGCTCCAGCTCTTCTCCCGCTCCCCGTGTGCGCTCCGCCTCGTCGTTGTGGCCTGAATCGCTCTCCGGCTCCGCGTCCAGAGATTCCCCCTCTTTACTCAGGTCCTCTGCTCCATCAGCAGCGTCTCCTCCTCCTCCTTCTCCTCCGTCCTCCGGGTCTGCTCCATCAGCTCCTGTCCTCTCGGCCTCCGCCTGGTGACCGTGGTGGCAGCAGCAGGGGGGATGTTCCCACGGCTGCTGAGGCTCCTCTGTGTAATCCCCGGGACCTTTTAAGAGACATTTAATGAGAAAATCAACTTCGTGTTGCTTTATTTACAAAGCGCAGAGTTCTTTGGCAGACAAAGCGAGGTAATATAACAACTTCAAATCCAATCCACACATGGTCTACATTATAAAGTAAAAGCTTCAGGGTTCCGTGTACCTTCCCAGTCGTCCTGGTTCTTGCTCTCTGGTGCCATGTCCTCCACCAGCTTGCCCTCCTGCATCACCCGAGTGATCTCCGTCAGCTGCTGGAGGAGGCTCTCCTCCTGGTCCGCCGTCACGCCCTTCACCCTGCAGCACAGAGCCCATCAAACGGCGCTGAACACCTGATCTCCGTTTGCACCTCAACTCTAAATACAGCCCGCAGTAGTAAATAAAACTCTTTAAAACGTTAAGCTAATAACATTTGACACACAAAAACTATAATAAGTGCTTAAGATAAAGAGGAGAAACAAAATCCAGGAGGAAATGACCTCTGTCTTCATACAGCATGAGAGCATCATGTTTGTCTTGATCTTTGCCCTAGAAGACGTGTTTAATAAATAAGTTCAAAACAAACAAAGCACCTGTCGGGACTGTGGTTGACATTGGAAACGATTTTCTCCATCACCAGCTCCGTCTCCCTCAGTTTGTCCTGCAGCTGAACCAGCTCAAAGTCAGCTGAAGGGCGACACAACAAACCACGGGAAGAAGTGGCAATCGTTTAGAAAATGTATTATTCTTTTCATGAAAAATCTGCCAGTAAGCTGAACGCTAAAAACAATAAACTCACAGATCTTCCTCTTCTTGTTCTCTGAGCGAACCGAAGAAAACCTGCTCTCTGAAGGCTTGCTGTTCCCCTTAGATGTGATCTGACAGCAAGACAACCGGGTTAATGCCCTCAAAACTAATCAGGTTTCCATGCCTGACCCACCGGCGGTTATGTCTTCAATCTGAAATGTTGATTTTCCTTTAAAACTGCAGACATTTTTCTCTTAAATCTCATGAAATGTTTTCTCGTTGTGTTTGTGTCTGCAGGTTCTCACCTTGAACAGGATGTAGAGGATGTAGAGTAAGATGCCGAAGCCGTACACGGGGATGATCTGTCCCGCCAGGTTGGACTTGCCCCCGGTTCCCGCCCCCGCCCCGCCTCCTTTGGCCCTGGCTGTGGCCTCGGGGGTTTTGGCTCTGGCGCCCGCGGCCCTCTGGCCTCGGCCCTCCGGAGCCGCCTGGCGTTGCATCATCGTCGGGAAGCGACCTGAACCTGTCGAGTGAGGAGGAGGAGGAGGAGGAGGATTTATTGATGAGTGGGGAGAATATGAGTGACTCACACATAGATGACAGCAGAGTGCTGAACATCTGAAGTAGAATAGAAGTACAATATATCAACTTTTAGATGTATCAGAAGGTAAATAATTATCTTGAGTTCTTTAAATTCCTGAAAATATGTGGACTTTTATGTCAATGGTCTGTGTATATTTCAGTCAATAACAATAAACCAAATGCAATAAATCTTCTTTTGAATGTCTTCTTCTTTGAATGTTAGAATATTCTGACACCCTCGTTTCGTTCCTCCTTAATAAATACCTCAAAAAACATTTGAATATAAACTGAACAACTGCGATATTGTCCTGATTCAATATTATCTTTGTGTACGCATTAAACTGGCAACTGACGGGATTTCCTATCATTAAAACCGGTGTATTTGGCGCCCTCTTTGGGGGAGTAAATGTACGGTGATGTTCAGTGAGCAAGGTGCTTTGAATTACGAAATTAAAAAAAACATCACTAATATAAAACAATAACCCTTGATGAATCTAATGAATCATAAAACCAAACCATCCGTCTGGAGAGCCGCCACACATCGACCTGATCGAGGAGAAAAGGTGACGCACCCTCAGCAGCATCCTTCCTCCCGCCGGATAGCAGCATTTTGGGAAGCAGCAGCCCGACGCACAGCACGAGACACGTCGCGAGCGTCACCTTCTGGAAGGTTGACATCGCCATGGCGACGGGTTTGAAAAGCGGTCCTCTTCCTGCGGGGGAATCAACCGGAGTGACCCGAAGGTTTACGGTGGAGCGGCCGGAGGTGGTTTCTCATCCATCGGTCGAACTTCCTCGACGACTTGAGTACCGGAAGTGCGCTGCGGCTGCAGTGCCAGCGTCTCACCGCAGGGTGGCGCAAAACACCGCGTTCAACGCAGCGAACTGAGATCCAGATACGATATTTATATTTATCGACTTCAGACCCTTTACTTCGTTTTTAGTAGTTGCTTTGGCACTATCTTTATATTGGCTGTTTGAAAAAAATAAAACACACACAGACACACACATACATATACTCTTCTAATAAAAATGTTTTGCGTAATAACTTTACACACAAGCACCATATAAAGAGCTCTTCCCACATTTATGTGCACAATATAAAGCACTTTGGCATTTGCTGCACCCTGTAAGCAAACTCTCTCTCAAACTCTCCCTCCGTAATTGGCCTCAGCGGTCGTTCCCGCCAAAGATTAAACCCAAATCTTACTCATAGCATTTGAGCTCTAATTGGTTGCAGGTGTTTTCATTGGTCCCTTTCTGGCTGCAGGTGATTCAAAGGCATTTAGTTTTGAATGATGTGTCTAATTAAATATAAAATGTCATAATATTATCAATATATTTCTTGTTGTTCTTCTTTTTTCCATCATTAGTCTGACCTTCTGACCTCCAGTTGAACTCTCAGCAGAAGCTTACATCCTCATTAGTTTTGGGTCTTTCTTTTACATAGTCCCAAAAAACCTTTCTTCAGTGATTTTTACTACAAAATGGAATATATTATGTTAGTTACATGGAGGTCAATGATCCTCTGCTTTGCCTTTTAGTACAGTGCGCGCTTTAAGATGTTGTGTGATGTCAGACTGCTTCTTTGTGGTTGAGGTTGATGGATCTGCAGCCACAGTCGTGGTATTATTATTAGTATTATTAATAATAAGTTTCTTCACCCAGTACCACGCTCCATTTTCTTTAGCATTGTAAGAACTTTATTGAACTTCATTATTTAATTTAGACATTACAGACAAATCCAAATTATTATTATTTTTGGGTGTTTAAAGGACTCCCCTCACTCGCTCATTTTTCATCCATCTCAGAACGTAAATAATGAGCACCCAAACAGATAAAATTCAGTTTATTTCATTAATCAGATTGAAAACAGAACTTTTCAAAGCGTCGCTCAGTCCGGTTGAGTCTTCTGGGGAGGAGGAGGAGGAGGAGGAGGAGGAGCAGACCGATCCTCCTCAAACCGCGTATGCAAAAATGTTTCAGTCCATTTGGCGGCCTCCGGCGTGCCGGATGCTCCTCGCCGCTGAGGTCGGTTCAGTTAGTGGACTTCAATTAGTGTGTTCCGTGACGAACGGCTCCCCTCCGTCCTTTTAGGGTTTCCCCTTTCAGTGACCCCCTGCAGCATCCGACCAGGAATGTTTTCAGGAGAGTTTCCACGCTGCTCAGTAACAAAGAGTTCAATCGTGGCAAATGTGTCCCGCCGGCGTTCGTTCAGCGGCCTGAAAGCAGGTCTCTGCTGCCGTCGGTTTCAAAGTGCAACCGGCTCGCTGGCGTCCTGCTCTGCACCAAGAGAGAGAAGAAGAAAGTGTAAAGAACTGCCCCAGCTCACCTCCTTCAATGAGAAGCATCCGTACAATGACATAAAAGTCATTTGCCTTCACATCGTGTAAAACACACTAAATACAATTGCTTATGATATTTTAAATTGATTGCTCGAAAAAGTGACAGTTTTACAGGTTAAAGGTCTGAAAATGTGACAAAAGTAACACGGCATTAAAACACAGTGTCTCTGTTGAGCCTTAAATGTATTTAATAACTTAATGAAGTTGTTTTTTGACGGCTTTGAATGATCATTTCTTGATTCCAATGAGACAAACAGATGAAATCAAGATAATGACAAAATACAAAAAAATTGAATATTCTCTGATGTGAAAGTGACTCATTTCCAAGAAAAATTATATTCAAGAAAAAAACTGGACCTCTTACTAAAAAAGGCCGGTCTACTGATCCAGAAGTACATTTAGAACTACACACGGTTATCTGCATTAGCCACGTCATTAAGTAAACACCTGCGCCCCACAATGCACCTGTGAAAACACCTGTAGCCAACGTTCTCATCGTTCATTTAAAAATCTTTAGTCTGAGGTTTGTTTGTAAAGTTGTAACATAAAAATAGTGTTGAGGGTTCATATCATTTTTAAAGAAATCTTTGCTTTTTCAAGACATGTCAAATATCTTTTGTTTCCGTTTGTGTATGTAAAGTTTTGAGTCTCGAGTCGTTTCAGCTTGAACCCGAAGGGAAACTCCCAGAGAGCATTGCGTGTCCTGTGCGGCGGCGTGTTTTGCGAGCTGTAGTTGCGGTTGCTATGGCAACTAGCTGCTGGCCGCGTTTGCTGAGGCCAGAAGCAAACCCCCCGAAACCTTCACAACTGTGGATTTTGTGGCGTGTCGCTTTCAAGCTTGTCTTCTGGTCGCAGCTTTCGAGGAGGCCTTTAGATACGTTCCAACTCGTGGCCTCTGACGAGAAGCAGCTGTTTAAGGAAACGAGACTTAAAGAGAAGAAACTGCGGGCTTCACGCTCTTGTGAAGCTTTATCTTTGAGCACAGAGGACGAACAAACATCTGAACTCCACTATTATGGATTCAGCCCTCAGACATCAATCCATGTTCTCAAACTGCTCTCCAACTAGAAGCATCGGTCCTAAATGTCGCATGCTGCAGACTATCTCAAGGAGGATGCGCTTCAGCGTATCTTGAGTTGATAACGCCCGCTGCTTTCTGGAGTCCCGCGTCTTCTGGTGTCCCCTTTGACATGAGCTCACTTGTGTATCTTCCCGATATCTCGCCGCCTGTTTGAGCTCAAACTGCCCGACGCTGTGATTCCTCAGAGTTTTACCTCCTATTGCGGCTGCCGCTCCGCGCTGCCGTCGAGACGTCCTCCTTCGTAGTCCAGCTGGCACAGGATCATGTTGTTCTTGAGGAAAAACCTGTCTCCCACGCAAAACCTGCAGGGAAAATATATAAAAATATGGATCTGGGTCTCGGTTGTTTGCCCGAGTGAAGCGCGAGCTCCCGGAGGAGCGTTTCAGGCATATTTTCCGCACTGCTGTGATGATCAGAGAATTAATGTTGCGTGATTGCCGGCTGATTAACAATCCAAGTGATATACAGAGTTTTTAACCCCCTCGGGGTTGCAAACCTCCTCACATTTTGATTCTAACGCATCGGTGATGTGCTCATAATGACCGGTGAGCTCACTGGTGCACCTCCCGCTGATAAGTCAACTGAATTTGATCTCCCCGGCTAATTGCTCCCCTAATCTTACCTCTGGCGGCAGAGCTGACAGGCGAAGCAGTCTAAATGGTAGACGTTGTCTCTGGCTCTCATCACCATCTCAAAGGCAGGGATCAGCTTACTGCAGGCCGCACAGTTCCCCGTCACCCCGAAGAGCCTGCGGAGGGGAAGAGGGCGACAAGCAGACCTTCAGTCTGGACGCACTCAAGATACATTTCAGCCGAGGGAGTGAAGAGGGGAAAGGAACACAAACGAAGCTGGAAAGAGTCCCAGATGTGGCTCGACCGTGCAAAGAATACCGTTTTAAAGTGATAAACTGCAGTTCCCGCAGATTATTTGCTGGTTTATTGCCGCTGCAGCGCTTGCATCGTATCGTATGGATTTTGTGCGTAATTAAGAGCAGCCAGGCGGGTGGAAAGATTCCCATCGGCCCCCCTGCTAGTAATCCTCAGTGGGAGAACATTTCCGGCCACGTCGTGAAGGGCGGCTGCAGCAGCGTCGACCTTCTGGAGCCCAAACTCACATGCAAAGCGGCTATCGAGGGGCAGTTGGGTGTCAGTTAAATGCAGACGCGCTGATGTTAAGCAGGTTTAATGTTTATCATGTTGGCCATCTTCATTTGCATTAAACACAATGTAGGCCTTTGGTCGTAAAACCAAAGTATTTAAATGATCCCCGCGGGGCGGCGGCGGGAGAAGCTGAGGACTCATCAGATGTCAACATTATTGTGAATAAATGAGCCAGCGGGATTCACCTTCTGGAGATCATGGACGTCGCCGCTAAATGTTTTTAGTTTACACAAAAGAAGTTGTCCTGAGGGATGAGAGCAGGGAAACCGCTGTGAATAGATGGACTGTATAGTGATGTAAATATCGCATGAGTTGTTAAAGAACAGAATATAAAAGAAACCGTTTCTTAATATAAATCAGATATCTAGGGACTAATCCTCACATACGGTTTGTTATAAAGCTTCTCAAACCCTGTTCTCCAGCATCATTATCTATTTCGACCTAGATTCAGTTATTCAGGAACTTCTTAATAGGGTTTCATTAATTACCAGTTGGCACCCAATGTGTTTCTAGTTCATTTATTCAAAATAACTTTTTATCACTCTAAAACCATCAGCAATCCTTAGAAATATGTTTTTTAAACGTGTCATCTCTTCTAGACAAACCCCTGTTGTTGCTGCAGGAAACAATGCTCGGTGTTTCAGTCAAGCTTTAATGAACTGGATTGTGTAACTTGATGTGTGTTGTTGTTTATTAGCAGCAGAAAATGCAGAATCACTGATATGAAAATGTAAATTTCTCACTTTAAGGGCTAGATGGTGGTTTTTTTAATGACTTATGGGACTTTAAAGCGAATCGATAATGCTTATTTCAAGCTAACAAGCTAGCAGTCTGTCGTCACGCTACCTGAGAACAAGGCCCGTGTTGTTTCTAAACCACTGTGCGACTGGCCGCTGACCAGCAGCAGACTGCTTCACCTCTCGTTCACCTCGAAAAGAACCAACCAACGGCTCCCCGAGGGCAGAGAAGTTCCGTGTTCCATCAGAGGCCAGATTAAACAAAAAGAGTAGGAGGATTTGGAGAGCGGCGGCTACGTGTGCGCGTGTCTCTCCGGAGCTTCACATGACCAAACGAGCGATCGACGCGGGGACAAAAGCGAGTCCTAATTAACCGAATGTTCTGATCTAACGAGCTCGAGTCCTGAGCGGGCACCTGGTGGGCTTTTCTTTTTTTTCCCCCTTCCTCCTTAACGAGGCAACGGAGCTCAATGCTAATTCTCTACTAATGGTCCAATTAAAAGGAATCACATGGTTTTAATCCCGCTCTTCAAAGGCTTTGGGTCTGCACCCTCACAATGATGAGGAAAACAGGAGGCAATCTAGCCAATTTAACTGTCAAAAAGGGTTTTGGTCTCTTAAGTGCAGCGCGGCTAATGAGAGACTTAGCTCCAACCAAATCCAGCTGGATTGTACATGAGAGTAACACACGAGTTCAGCAATGTGGCCGAGATATCAGGAGTTCTCCTGCTGACCTGACACCGCACGTCATTATTCCCGGCAAGAAAATGGAGGCTGTGTAGCTCTCAGAGGGGCCGTTACAGGATTTAGGTCAGTTTAGAAGTGATTCACGCTCAGAAGACTGTTTGAATCCAATGTGTATTCAGAACACACTTATTCATAAATGCATCGCTTGGCGATCCAAGGGCACGGGAGGCCGAGTTCGTTCAGGGCCGCTGGGGCGATCTGAAAACATTTATCTGAAGAGGCTTGAAGTGTGATAAACCTCGCGCCTCGTTGCACGGCGGAGACTTTAGGTACAAAAGTAGTTATTATTCGCTTTCCTGCATAGAGGAGTTAACTAATACCTCTAAACATGTCGCTAGAGCAAAGAGACGGGTTAGCTTAGCATAAAATAGTGGAGACAGAGGGAAAGAGCTGGCATGGCAGTCTCGCTGTAACAGAAAAACACTTCGCAGCACCGCCAATGCTGACTTATGGCATTTTTATTCATCTTCCGTTACATCAGATGAGGGATTCTAGGAGATACGGACCCAGGACCAAACACCACAAAACCGACTCCTTTGTTCGGTTGGTTCGCTAAGCTAGGCTCAGTTTCCTTAATTACCGGGCAAATTCTCTGCGGGATGATTCAATGGGTCGAACTCGTCCTTCTGGGTTCGGTGTGGAGGATTTCATCGCTTCAAAACGTGTGGTTGGAGACCGCAGATGCCTTAATCTTGTGAAGAGCTCACCGCATGAGCAAGCATCGTTTCATGGTCCCGAAAAACTGGCATAAATGTTCATTATGTGAAGCGACCAGATAAAAATCAACCCTCTTCAACCACAGTCGAAGGCAGAAAGGTATTTGTCAACTAAAGATGTTTATTGCATAGTGCGGGGTACTAGTTTGACAACTCAAAATAGACTCCAGTAGCTCATCCATACAGGAATGAGTAAAACATGCTGGGACTTGTTTATAGTGTCTGTCAGAAATATGACACACCTGCGTGGGTGAAACTAAACTCACCGTCAGCCATTTGGAAAGCTGCTCTGTCATTTTGTGCCGTGCGCTCTGTTATATTTGTACATTTGGCAGATAATATCACCACATCTGTCCTGCTGTTGTGGATGGAGGCACTCACAGAAGTTACTGCCTCTTCTCTCTGAATTGTGAGGCTGTTTTTATCCAGAGTGGATCTACAGTTTCAGCGCTTTTCATCCCGGTGGACGTGATTATCGTCCTGCGAGCTGTGTGCTTGCTGGTCTGACTCCCTCTTGCAGCTGCGTGTGATGCTCGTCTTCTGCCCCCTCAGTGCAGACGCACCTGTGCGAGGGTGCTTACCTCAGGTAGTCCCTGCGGCAGAGGATGAGGTTGGCCCGGGTGTAGAGGGTGGAGCCCAGCCGGCCCAGGCGGCAGTCGCAGCAGGCGCACTTGAGACAGTCCTCGTGCCAGTACCTGTCCAAGGCCTGCAGCATGAAGCGGTCCCGGATCCTCCCGTTGCAGCCGGCGCAGCCCCTCGGCTTCTCCCTGGACTGGAGGGACACGAGGGACACGCCTGGCGGGAGACAACAGGGTGGACAAGAGGGACGGGTGTCAGAGAGCCCGGACCTGAATTCATGTAATGCAAAGGCGTCACTTGATCATATGTTGACTCTTAAATGTCATTATGAGCATCAGTAAATTATAAATGTAAAAAATAAGTTGGGTCATAAAATGTGATCCTAGTGTTATAGTAGTGTATAATAATGTGAATAACGTCCTGTTCCTGCAGGGGGGCGTCATTAATCATCATCTCTGAAGTACTTGTTAAGTCTGACATTCAAACCGTCTCTTTAATTTAAATGTTTTTGCACACAATCTGTCCCACATGCCTAGAAAAGGGAAATACACGATCGGGAGACAAGGAGAGACAAGAATCGTATTCATCTGTGTACTCACTCTCCTCCTTGTCCAGCACCATCCTCTTTCCGAGCGAAAAACAACAATCCCACCAACAACGAGACGACTCGAGACCAAAAAGAAAAGAAAAGAAGAAGAAGCCGAAAAGCGAAAATAAAACACAGATTCTCAAACTTCAGCTGCGCACCTCATCGGCGCGGAGGAAACCGATCCGACCGACACGAGTCGCTTTCTCCGTAGAAAACGAATAAAAAGAACCGCAGCGTCTCCGGGAATAAGATACGTATGTACACACACACAAATATATATAAATATACATGTATAAATATCAGCCTGCCGGAAGGAGCGCGCTCACGTGAAGAGTGTCTTATCTCAGCTGATGTCAGTGCCCAAGCATTTCTGTATCTGCAGTCTCTCTCTCTCTCCCCCCCCCCCCCCTCTCTCTCTCTCTCTCTCTCTCTCCCTCTCTCTCTCTAATTATATAAAGTCATTATGCTCGGATCTGATAGTTCCCGCCCCCTCCCTCTCCGAATCAATTATTCAATAGAGTGTCACACACCAGGACGGGCCTGAGGTGTTTTAGAATGAGCTTATTCAACTCCGAGGACACCAATTATCTCCAGGGCGGCTTCCCGACGCGCCGCAAGCGGTGTGTGTGACACACATTCACTTTAAACTTTTTTTATGGGAGGCTTAGACGCGGATTCGAACTCAATCCGCAGCTGGATTCTCGGATCGATCGGATCAGTTGTATTGAGGCCTGGGAGGAGCTGGTGGCGGTCAGGGGCGGGGCCTACAGGTGTGTGGACGCCACACCTGCCACGTATTTCACATACTTTTCTTTAGGGAACGCTGGTTGGTTGTAACTGCGGTTCACATGCATTTATATATGTACTGTAATTAGTCAGTTGTGAAAGAATAGTGATGTTATTGTTACTGTTTATTGCCTTAAGACTCACTTTTTTGAGGTGCAGACGGGTCGTTGCTCGTCGCCCAGCGACCTGGGGCACAGCCTGAGTCAGTTCAATCTTACCAAAACCATCCTGAATTCATCAGATGTCAGTCATTCCACTTTCAAGTAGCCTGCGTGTACTTTTCAGTGTTTCCATAGTCTGTTACTTTGTACTTTTGCCCTGCGTCAAGGTACAAGTACTCCAGATTTGTAACTACTTAGAATCTACCAGATTCTGATCATTGAAACAAAACATAAATAATTCTGGGCCACTCTGCACAAAACTTGTGTTACTTAAAGTTTATTTTGGTACTTTTGAACTATCATTGAATGCAGAACTTAATGAACAGAATATTTTTGGGTGGTCTGTTGCTTCTGCTGTAAGAAAATACCTATTATAACACTGTAGAGCTCTATACAAGTCCTGAATATTAAAATACTGCAGATGAAACCAGTCATGAAGTTCAATAATAGACCTACCGCAGACCACCAAGGCCTTGTGGTATTATTAGAATATTATATGAACAGCACAAAATCTAAATAGCCGTGGTACTGGGAAGTCACAGACCTGCTGTACGTCACTATATCGAGGATTTAGCTATCAAAATACCACAAAGTATGTTAAGGTCATTATGTAAGTTAATCCTGAGCAACACAGACACATCATTAGTCCTTGCGGATGGATTATTGGAACATTATAGTGATTTTCATTGCTGTGGGAGGGTTTCAAGGCTGGTCCATAAACAACACTGCAGCCTGCTTCCCAAACAGATCACCCGGGCTTAAATCCTCCTCATTAGAAGCCGTGGCATAAACAACTGTTCTAACATAGCCCCTGGAACAGGTCACACTAATTAACCAGCACCATCGACCGACAATTCCCTCATTATCCGCCCTCTCATCTGATCGCATATAGGCCGTCAAGACAGCTAACGATCAACCGACTAATTAATCAGTTGATGAGGTGCAAGTGAAGCTCGGGGTTCTCTCTTCATTTGCGAGACACATGGGAGCTAATTAGTTCAATTATTAACGCGTCTAATTAAAGTGTTTCTCCGGGTGATCGCGGTTGAAGTCTCGTCCTCAGCGCGGTGATAAATGGATCCGCTCTGCGTTAGACCCCTCTTGTCCTTTTTTTTTGCGACGTGCCTGAACTCCAATGCATTTTGTGGCCTCTGCCCAAACACTACAGCCGATTCAAAGGCCCAGACCCCATTAGGCTAATTGCACTAAAAGCAGTCTGTGGCTGACATTAAAGGTGTTGTGTGGTTTGGGTTCTAATTAGCAGTCTGTGAGGATAGGAAACCTTTTCTTTTCTTTTTTCTTGCTTTTTTGAGCCATCTGCTGCGGTTTGCCATCATGTCCTCTGTGAGAAGCGCAGAGACAAATTTAGCCCAGGTTTTTTTTGTTTGTGTGTGCAAGGGCTGTTTGTCAGATTTAATGCCACACAGCACATTTCATACGGTAACAGCTGAATTTAGTGGAGGGAGGCTTTATGGTTTTGTATATTAAACCACAGAGCTTCTACTTGACAGACTGGAAAAAGAACAACAGTTTTATTTTCACCGTTTTCTACCATCTTTTCTTACTTTTCTTTTCCATCAGTCTTATTTTTTACTTATTTACGTCTTATCTGCGACGTACGACGCAGCGTAACCTACATGCACACGGGACTCAAACATGAGCTCATGATTTCATGAGACTTTTTTAGGTTATGATGAAGCAGAACTTTGTCCATTCTGGGGTGAGCTATTGTGAGTGCCAAGGTCATGATGTCACTTCCTGTCTAACCTCCGTTTCACTAGCTTCTAGAACTCAATGCCATCGGTCATTCAGCATTTTATGGTAAAGACTTGATTTAAGTTTAAGCTCAGGGTAAATCTCCAGGAAATGAATGTATGTCAATGTAATGTAATGCGTGTGTGAGTCATCTTGGCAAAATATGGTGCTAGAGACACGCTCTGTAGCAGTAACTATACACAGTACTTGCCCCACCTGCTGTTAGCTGTTTACTGGGGTACTAAATCAAAAAGGAAGTTGAGTCACTTTCTCATAGATTTCAATAGAATTATTTCTGCAACCAGAGGAGGCGCCATCGTTCATTTTCCTTATTGACACCACGTGCTTTTCCTGCTTTGACGTCGAGGGCCCCTCTGACACAGGAGCCTCAGAGGGCATCTCCGTGACATCGATCGCTTTATCAGGTTCACTTCTTTGGCACAGCTTTTTGGCAGCGTCACTGCAAGAGGAGACCAACATCGTACAAAGCGGCATTCAGTGCACAGACAGCAGGACGTCACATGTAGTGTTGCAGGAGACCAGAACAAGGCCATTCATAAAGCACATGAAAGGGATTACGAGCGGCTTTACAATCAATGCTTAATAAAACCAGATGTAAGTCAACTAAAGGACATTTGGAATGTTTCCCTTCTATGAACAGAGGACGCGTCCCATTTTTGCGGGGACTGGTGGTCACATTTTCAGGGGGGGTGACCAGCTCGTCAGATGCAGCATATTTTATACATCCAGCAAGCAATCATTGTGTGCACTCATGCAGCATGACACCCAGTGCACGGCACAGTCCCCTCAAGAAAATCATGAGGGCTGCTGTTCAACTTATATAGGGGGAAAGCATGTGTTTAAAGAGAATCATTTCCCTATCCTTTTTTTTAATTACAAGCAAACTGTCATTTTATCACACTGACAAATTGTGTCAGTGTTTTAAAGAAGCGTCTTTAACAGCTCTTTCTCATCTGCAGTAGCGGAAACGTCGAGCGCGGATCCATTTCAGCCGAAGGTTCCGCTCTCTGGAAGCCGTCCAATCCCCCGTCAGTCTGACTAAGCTGCAGAGGGTTAGATTGGAGTGGGGATGTGCTCACCAGCTGTGAGATTAGGGGGAACTGATCGATGGCCTCTGTGATTGGCCCTCGCCGGCGTCACAGCGGCATCCAATCCCCTTGGTTCGGATGGTTTTCCTCGACCCAGCCAAAACCAATTCTCCCTCCGCCAAGGGGAGGGGGGGCGAATAAGATCACTGACCTGAAGCTGCGAGGCCACGCTTGCAGGTTCTGTCCCCCTCCTTCCTCTGACCAGAAAGAGACAAACAGGGAGGAAGAGGAGGAGGCGGGGAGGAAGATGAAGGGTTGGTAAGGGTTGATGTGACTCTGTTTACATTACAGGTTTTAAACTTACCTTGTTTTATTTGGCACATTTTTTCCAGAGATCTTTGTCGTTTCTCCGCCTCTCTCTCCACAAATGAGCTGTCAGTCAAACTCAGCAGGTGGCGATGTGATGTCTTTTTTTCCCCTCAGACTTTCGGCACGGCCTCTGTTTGGTGGAGATCTTTTCTTATCCTCTCAAACCGCCGTGGCTCCTTCCAGCTACAGAGCTCCTCTATTCAAAGCAAACCGCTGCTTCAGCTGGAAATGTAAAATGCATGACTTCCCCTGTGGGGCAAAGGAATGGTCTTTCATGAACTTTATAGAGTAGAAAGTACTCTCAGGGGTCATTGGTTTAAAAGCTAAAAACATTAAAAGCAATGCATGCGGGATGCTATAAGCTGCATTTAAAACAATGTTTAAATGTGGAAACGGTGACTGAGAAAAGCTTCATCCACTGATTTTAAACAGCTTCCGAAAGGACTCCTGTAGAGACGACGACGATGCTGATGAACACGAGGAGGCTGCAGTGCTTCCTGTCTGCTCTTTGCCGAATGAACACCCGCACTTGAAGTGTGAAAGAGGCACCGAGCAATCAGGAGATTTGATCAGAATCATAAAATGAAGTTAACTTGCAGAAAGCTGCAGGATTTCATGTTGTCATCCGGCACTTCGGCGGGTTTTGTCTGATCAGAATGGAATCGATTTGAAATGCGTACAAGTAGTCATTGATGTTCACCAAAGATTAAAGGCAACAGGCACCTAATATCATGAACAACTCAACTGTCACTTTACTGTCAGACCGACATGGGAGAGAGGATCAGTTTACATATTATATCATTTTTTTTCTTCATCTGTTGTGTAACTGTTTTGTCAGTATCCTTTTCATACAAACGGCCCCATAGAGATTATAAGTGGTCACTGAACGTTCGATGTAAATTATGAAATATATGCTGGCTGTCATTTGTCTGATTGCCTGAAATGATCCGGTGTGTAATGCTTCGATCAGATTAGCAGGAAATCATTGAACATGGATAAAATAGTTAAATTATTGTTTTTACATGTAATGTATATATAGAATGTAATGTAATATTATTGTGTTTTGCGCTGCCACCTAGTGGATCCTTCAGGAACTCTTCTTTGGTTTCGGAGGCCAGACTCGAGTGTGAGTGTCTCACTTCTCTCCTCACTCAACACCAGCTATTTTTAGTAACCACACGCAGAAAATTCTTCTTTCCACGAAGTGAAACGCCTCCTCTCGTGGTCCTTTAATTAAAGTAGAAGTCCATCAAGAGAACTAAAACAGCATCTTATTAAGCAATGTTTAACTTTAATTTCCTCTGGAGCAGCCAATGTTTTTGTAGTTTTTACAAAAGGAACTTTTGACCACAAAATGTTTCCTTTTTTCAGGATTGGCAGTTTATTTTTTCTTTACAGGATTGGCGTGACATAACTGGATTAAAGAAGCTCAAACGCATATGAATGAGCCCTTATTTGGTATAATGTGGAGCTTTTCATACATTTTAAAACCTCCAAGATATTTTTCAGAGCAATTATTACCGTACACCAATTCAACATCATTGTACACGTAAATGTTTTTAAATGATATCTTGGCAATATAAGAGACAGAGAGAATAGTATATTACAATAAACAGTCCATCACTCAAAAACACACTATTGGTTCCAAAGAGAAGCAATGAAAAAATAACATTTAAATGCATCAAAACTCATTTTCACTCTCAAAACATTTCACAGACTCATTTCATGAGTCATAAAACCATATATGTTGACCTGGTTGTCAAGACGTCACCCATTGGATATTAAACTGCTGCTTCGAAGCTTTAACTTTGGCATTTTCGCCCTCGCCATCTTGTTTTTTTGCAACCATTGAACAGAAATCTTGATGCTCACCGTTGATGTCAAATGATGTACTCATTTCTGTGGACAAATGTCCAGCAACACATGTCAATGGTTCCATACACCCAGTCTCAAAATGGAGGTGAAGTGACTCTACCCGGCCTGACGAGGGTCGGTTCCCTCTGACCTCGTCACACCGACCTCCTCCTCTTGCCGAACACGTTGTTGATGAGCTTGGCCATGGACTTGGAGCCGCTGTAGCGCCTCCTGTCGGCCCGGTGCTTCAGGTGCTCCATCACCTGGCGGATGAGTTGCGTGAAGAGGCCGGCGATGTCCTGGTAGCTCTCGGCGGCGGAGACCTCCTGGAAGTGGCAGCGGCTCCCTCGAGCGAGGCAGCGGCCCTCGTCCTCGGACACCTGCCGGGCGTGACACAGGTCCCGCTTGTTTCCCAGCAGACAGACGGGGACATCCACCTCCCTGAGGGGAGGAGACGGGGAGACACGAGGGACTTTATATTAGCTTAACTTTTAACTTTAATGCATTGAATGATATATACTAATAATGTATGTAGAATGATATATTATACTATATATTATTCATAATGTGCATGATTGTATTTCCTTTTTAACGTTTTACGTATTTTCAATTTCCGCTACTTTATACTTATAAATACATATATATATATATATACATATTTTTATAAGACACAATTGACCCGCTTCCCATAGTAAATATGTGTAAATCAATAAAAATTAGGTTCTTCTTCATCAGATGCAACTAATGTAATTATATGTAATCTGTAATTCTAATCCAAACATATTAAAAAGAGTACTTCTACTTAATTTCACTAGTTTTAATTCTTTCAATCAATCTTCAGTCAACTGAAAGGTTAGTATCTGGTGAGAACGAAGTGTAATTTTCCCTTCCTGAAAGGCAGAAGTCTCACACGTTGGTGAAGGATTAACCCTCATGCTGCCTCTCACCCTTTGCAGTTGTCCACGCGCGCCTCCCGAATCTGCCGCAGGATGTCCTCGGCGTCGATGAAGGAGGTGCGGTCGCTGATGTTGTAAACGACCACGAAGCCGTCCGCCCAATCCACCGGCTCCTCCATTATACACCTGGCCCCCGAGCCCTGTGGGACAGCGCGTGCTTTCACTGTGACACTGACTGTAGGTAATTAACACTTCCTCTATGGCTCGTTTCACAGAACTAGGTCTTATAGGACAAACAGGACCTTGAGATAAGCTTTTCGTATCCAGCCATGACTCATTCAGGGTCACAGAGACGTGGAGCAGACTGAAAACCGGACACTACTTAAGCTTGTAGCTCCAAGACGAACATTCGGCGAAGCTAAAGGATCAGGTTCTTCTAAAACACTTGAAAATGAGTGTTGTTGGGTTTTGCCCCAAAATGATGATTTAGTTTTATTTAAACTTATATTGCCAGAACTATAAGTGATGATGCTCTTAAGTGAAACTAAATGCTGGACTGAAGTCAAGGGAACAACAAACAAAAAAACTGCAGCTCTGCTTTTTCTGTTTTAAAAAAAGCATTTCTAAAATAAACGTTTTCAGTATCCAAAGGTTTGGTTCCAGTTCATGATATCGATGGTGTCAGTGATGTGTGGTACCTGAGAGCAGGGGTCAAAAACCTCCAGATTTAGCTGCCTGCCATCGATTGACATTCTTTTGTGGTATAGGGAATCTGTAACGGGGATTAGAAACGATCACATTCGTCTGAATTTATAAATGTAGCTTTTCTATTGTCAGCAACTGTTTGTGTTTGTACTGGCGTAGCGACGGATTAAAACCACTGCGATGTGCGAGTAAGCGACTCGAAAGGCAATTCAATCATGTTAATGAAAACTACTTACGGTGATGATATGCAAACATTCGTATTTAAACACTTACTGGCGTTCGAGGCATATTCACCGATGAAGCGCCTGGTCAGGAACCGCACCAGGACGGCTGGAGGAAACACAAGGAATGGAAAACACAGCAACATGAATCACAGCCTCATTACGTCCTTATTGCACGTGGGGGTTAAATGACCCTCATTCGCCCCCGCAGGCGCAGCACGCTGCCAGCGGTCCCCTGGATCGGAGCGGCCTCGCGTGAAGGGGCCCGTGTGGCTCTGCTGCGAGGACCGTTGTTGTTGTACGAGGACACACAAACATCATTAAAACAACTCCTTTTCTATATACTGCCTTGAATCATAATTTACTTGTTTTTATATTTTCAATAAATAATACTAACATACATACTTGGCTTAACTTGTGACTATTGGTAAAAGGAATGAAGTGGAGCAAAAAGTGCAAATATAAAGAGGCAGCAACAAAGTAGCCTGTGAATGAATAAGAACTATATTATAAATCACCTGCAGCCCTCACCTGACTTGCCGGCGCCCTGGCTTCCCAGCAGGGCGAGCTTGATGTCGTTCATGCCTGTTGTCTGCGTCGTGTCTGCTATCCGGGTAATGCTCCTTGCTGGAGTACAGGACTGCCCCCCCCTCAAAAGGGCTGTTTAACTTTCTTCTCTTTTTTTAAAGCTGGAGGGAGAGGAGGGGATGGAAATCAAGCGTCCTCCTCTTCTCCCTCCGTCTGTCTGTGCACTCTTTTACTCTCACACCTCCTCCCTCTCCCTCCCTCCCTCCCTCTCTCGCTCCTCTCAGTTATTCGGTGTTTCTTCTCCCCCCCCCCCCGAGCCCACACATCTCCCCTTCCTACCAAGAGGTTTCTCCAGGCTCAAGGCTGACTGAACCTAATCTGCCGCTCCTTGTAACTGTTGCTGCCATCTATGGACATTTGTGTTATTCCTCCTACTGTAATGTTATGGGAGAACATCGGCAACGACACTTCAATGCGAACTTGGGTCTTGGAAAGTATTTTTTAGAGGGATGAACACATTTAAGGACTGGACCCACCAGATGAAATCAAAACTTAGTAGAAGACTCAGAACACCAGTAAAGGTCGAAGGCCTCTGGAGACCTTGTGCGGTGTGGGGCACCATTTGGATTATTGGTTTGTGTTCGTGAATCAAACATTCGCAGCCGAATCTCCTCTCTCGCTGGCTGTTTTCTGCTCGCTGGTCACAAACCCCGTCTTTGGATTGGCTGCAGTTATGCGTCCCCAGAGCTGTAGAAGCCCATTTCCAGAAATGGGAAAGAAAATCGAATTCATGAGATAAGTTAAAAGAGGGTCGTTTGTTAAAACACAAATGCTCAAAAAGAAAAACAGCCTCGCTGATCTAGATTCAAGTTCCCTGAGCAAAGGCCCACTAGACATGATATGGTCAAGCAGACCTATTGTTTAAAACCAGCTTCCAGCCGAGGCATGCATTCTGTTACTGTTAATCCTAATCACTTAGGTCTAACAGAATGGAGCGCTGCTATCCCACACACACACCTGGGGGCCCCTGTTGGGTTTGCTGTGTTTCCTAAGCAGCTCATCGTAGATCACCACACACACCAGTGTCAAAGAAATCTAATTCATAAGCACCATTTTCATGGTACACTATCCCAGAATGCCGTTTGTGTGATGTATGTTTGCACGTCTCTCATTAAGCAAAGAATAATCACTTAAAGAGGAAGCACATGTGGTGTTGCAATTTCAAATATATTGCCAAAACGCGCCTATAAAACGTAGTTTCATGTTTTGGGACCCGCTTAGTGAAACAATGTCGGCAATTCCTCCCTGTGAATATTGGTTCTTTAGAGAAAGCTGATCTTATACTCGAGGGACTTAAGTTATGCACTATGCACAAAGAGTTCACATTTGGGAGCACGGTGTATTTTACACATTCACTGACTGTACGACATGCAGGATCTGTGCTATGTGTATCATGGGGAAGGCTTATTTGGTCGGATAGTTCATGTTTCACTCCTAGAGGAAAAGTTACTGCTTGAAGTTGGGTGCTTTGACAACCATTTCTATGCATATGTTGTGCAACAAAGATTTTGAAACGATACATTTGGATAATGTTGCAATGTTGATATCCATATTCTGGTTTATTTTTAACGTTTCACTCATCAAAAGTAGGAAGTTAACGAGATCAGGTCAAATGTTCTCCTAATGAGCACGAATTCATGAGTAATTCATTTGTTTTCCTACAATATCAAGACTTGTTACGTTACACGTTCTGCACTTTGGACATCGTTTTTTTCTCATAATTACGGCTATTTTTCCAACTGTTTTTGTTTTTCTGGTCTTGTTATGTTAAGTCTCTGTGATAAACTTCACAGTCCTGTCCAGTGTTTATAATTATCTGGATTAAAGGAGAATATTTATCAAAATAGAATCAATATGTTTTCATAAAGGAAAGTGTAACGATTTGATCTGGGAACAATTTTGATGACTTTGGTTCCGTACTTTATCAACCGTGCCGTCACAGCTCACCAGACTGCATCAATATAGCGAGATTTGAGGCTTTTGATTTCCATGCGGATGCCAAACCACGAGAAGGCCGGCAGTGAAGGAAAGAACCCTGATTGGGGCATCGGTCACAGACTTGACATCACACTGAATGCATTCAGACAAGCAATCCATTTCCTTGAGCTCCAGCTGCCACACCGAACTCGGTGCATGCAGCCAATAAATCATCCTCCGGTAGCTTCGATTTCACTAATGTCCGCCAGCAAAGGGAATATTCTTACTTAAACCACATTTTGGTCCCCTCTGATCCTCTTGCATGTCGGCCGTTTTGGGGCCAAACTGCCGTCGTTTGATTGATTTTTGTGGCCGAGTCCCCTTTAGGGAGGGATCTCTGGAGTTGGCTGCACTTGTCTCGGTGTTAACAATATAGGGGTTCCATATGATTCTAATGGAGGGGAAGTATCTCGACATTTAGGATTGCCCTGAAACATTACAAATGTAAACAAGGCTTTAACATTTTATGAAACACAGAACCTTCATCCACACGTCAGCCTAAAAGCTGTCACTCAGCATGAAGAAACGTATCAAGAGCTCTGAGCCGCTGTGTTGACCTCAAGATCGAGGTTCTTTAAGTATTAAACAAAAGCTGAGACGTAAACCCGCCCGACCGCACGATGTGCGTCCAAAGCTGCTCGCAGCGCACGGCGTGCCGGCTGCACGGCCTCGCAAAACATTCACCAAAAAGATGTTCTTTCCATTCAGCTATGTGCCGGGGTCACGCACCCGGCTAATCAGCATGCGGGTCCAGGCCCGAGTAATTGGTACCACGTTTTGGGAGTCCAGAAGAGGACTGAAATCCTAGAAAGTCTCCTAAATCATCAGAAAGAGAATATTGGAAAGCGGAGAGTTTAATAAAAGCACGAGAATCACGGAAATCACTCCATCAGGCCTAATCTCAAAGCACCGCAGGAAGAGTTTTGATCATGACATCAATTTATTGCAGAAAAAAACAGTGCTCCGACAACACAAGGATTCAAATGGCTTTTCCTGCGATGCTTTGTGTTAAAGCCTCTGCTGTGGTAATCGGGGAGAAGTGAATTCCTGTGTTGGATCGGCCGTCCGTGGCAGCTTTTCATCAGGCGGTGAGGAAAAGAGCGTTTCTCCTGAGCTGATCGACGCGTGGCCGTAGAGACGACGTCATGTGACCTCAAAACTACACACACACACACCCAAGAAACCTCGACGAATCAACATCAAAGGGCACAGCATCATTACATAACGTCTGCACACCAGGAATCCGTCTGGAAGGTTTCTGTTTATTCTGTGAAAAACGAGATTATCTACCGAGTTTGACATGTAAAAGTAATGTTGGACGGGAGATTCCATTAAAGAAATGAATGGTTTCTGTTACTTAATGTCATTAATTAATCAGTATTTGATATTTATTAGTAGAGATCTTTGAGAAGAAAGTAGTCATAATCCCTGTAATTTAGTTCATTTTGGGAGTAGATTAGTTTGTCTCTGAGTGCTTTAGTGAGACAAAATAATAATGCAGAGTTGAATATTGACAATGTAAATTGGTTGAATATTTATTTTATTTTCATTATAGCGTAACTATCATAGCTCACCAAATTTAACCTTATTAGCTCATTTAGTTGAGTTAATTTCTGTTTTCTGGTTCAGAATCAGAATCAGTGCTATATTTTATCAAAACAAAATAATAAAAAACTGTGTAGAAAGGTGACGTGCAAAGTAAATAGTTTAGTTGTTTAGCTGAGATTGAGCTCTTTCATTTGTATTTCGTACAGTGCAATTTAGCCTTTTTTTTCACAGAACGCTGTTCTTGCTCGAATAGTTTTCTTCACATTGAAAAGAAAAACAGCCATTTAAAGTGAATGAATGAATCCTCTCATATATTTGTCTTCTGTACGTCACCTCATCACACAGTTAGCAGGTCTTCATCTAAAAGCCCACTATTCGGTTTGTGCAGCCCTGAACAGTCATTGATTTACATTTTGGTTTTTTATTTTTCCGCTGGCTGACGGAATAACGATGTGTAACGCGTGAAACCATGAGAGGAACATTCCCGTTCAGGCCTGTTAGTCTTTCTCAAGAAAGCCAAACCTTTGGTTTTGTAGCAGGAAATGACAGGACTTATGGAAAGCGTGCTGTTAATCTTCAGCCACTTTCACAGCAACAAAAGCGCTGGCAGATGGCAGCTGTATCGATCATTTCCAACAGAGGCCTCGCTCTGTAACTCTCCCCAGAAATCAGGGTCAATGTGACTTTCGGGTTTAAAATGGAACCTTTTTAACTCCGACGCTGAGTATCTTCCCTCGCTGTGTCGTGCCCGTTGGGTCGCAGCCCCCCCGCATGTTACCATGAACCGGGGGTCTCTCCGTGTGATGGGCTGGATGGAAGTGGTGACGAGGCAGCGCCTGTCTCACATGAAAACGCCATCTTTCATTCCCTTCTTCTGCTTCATTCGCCCTCCTGGGGAAGTTTGCTTGCCATGTTTGGGCATCAGAGGAGATGTTTCCACAGCTGAGAAGCTGAAATCATGACTGACGGCGTGTCGGAGCTGTTTGAGCTCATGTTATTTTGGAGGTTCATGGCTTTAGAAGCATCCAAATCTGCTGGTGGATAAATGCAGAGGAATATGTGCAACATAATCTTCTTTTTGTGTGATTAATCCCAGAGCTCTTACACAAAGGTAAAATATGTCTTTGCTGGCATATTTCTTACCCTTCGGATCAACTTAACTGTATCGGTAGCACCTTGAGGGCAATGTGTGGTAATTCAAGAAAATAATGCATTAATCCAATAATTTATCTGCACTGTAAGAGAAGAAACGAGTCAGAGTGACCTTAAATAACACAAGGAGTACGACCAATTCTTGGCGGGCAGATTTTGGGAGGAAGTATTCATCTTAAGCAACTGTTCCAAGGGGAAGATAAATGAAAGTATCAGGAATCTAATCGTGGCTAATGCACTCACTTGAGTTGGGTCTAAACATTACATGCGGGTCTTATCTGAAAGAAGACCACTGCAACGTCTGTTTGTGTGACTCACCCGACTTCACACAGGGAGAGCCGCATGAGATCTTCTTTTGATGTTCTTAAATGAAACATCTGCACATTACAACGCAGAGAGAGGAGACGGAAAAAAGAGAACGAGAGCGGACATGTGACTGAGGTTTACTGGATGAAAAAAGTGGGTTTAAAAGACCCAAGAGGGGAATAAACCTCCCTTTGAACACATCCCATGGTCAATTTCCCCCCCATTTTACCTTTACATTAGCCACGGGGCAGCTGGCCGCCGGAAAGCCTCGTCTCATCTTCCTCTGTGCGTCTTCGTGCAGCTTCTGACCCCAGTGGATGTACGGACGGATCGAAGTGCTCAAGGCCAGAGAGCGAGTGGGTTCTATCATTTGTCGCTGCAGATTTTGTTCTTTTACAAAAATCTTTTAGTGGGTTCAGGGAATAAAAGCACTCGCAGTGCAGCTTTCTAGATGGATTCAAGTACACAAAAAAGCATCTTGACCCAATCTGAAGTGGAAGTAGGTGCACTCTGGCTCAAATTGACAAATTACGTTGAGGTCAAGATTGAGCAGAATAAAACGTCCTGAAACGCTGAAGGAAATCATGGCGAGGAGCTGAGGAGCTGAGGACAGCAGCACAAAGGAGACGAATCAGGAATTACTCAGGCAGTACTCTGCGAGTACGTTTATTGTGAGGTGATGCCAAAGAAAACGTGAAGGAGAACAGCAACGCGTCCTTGCTGGCATGATTATTCAGACTTAAGTCATACTGTGTGAGGATTATTCCTTCACAACAAAAAGAGCTGTCTGTAGTTCTTCAATTGTAACTCGAGATGTTTTCCGATTAGTTTATACATTGTATAAATCAACAAGGCACAAGGAAAAATTTGTCAAACAACTATGTTTATTTAACTTAACAAATCATAAAAGAAGAAATACCCTCTCATAGTAATCCAATAATTGGGAAAACTGTCTCCATGATGAATTTAAAAGCTCTTAAAACGATGAGAAAAGTTTAATGATGGAGGATTTCCACAACCTGACAACGCAGGTTTAATAATGATTCATGGAATTATTTTATGCACGTTAATAAAGACATGAATAGATGCTAGATGCAAACTCTTTGCGAAGGGGGACTAATCAGAAAATGCTTTTTTCACCAAAACCATAACTAACCGGTAACTAATGCCCCCCCCCGCCCTGCCCCGTGGATCCGTCATACGGTTCAGTTCACGAGGCGACAGTATTTTATTGAAGACTTCAGTGTTTTAATGACGTCGCTCCGCATGATGTCATCCTCACATTACTGCCCTGACAGGATGATGGAGTTCATCATCAGCGGCTTGCGGGGTGACGCCAGTATAAAGAAACCTGCTTTGTGGAGAATATATCTTAGAGTTATGGTGCTCTGGCTTTCTGAGTAGTTTACATTTCAAACAATTATTTTCAAATTATTATTTTGGAGCCTATAAAACCTTTGTTTATTTTAATATATTTAAAAGATTGAGAGGATAAGCGGTAAGCTGCCTGCAAAGTGAGGATATAACAGGGTTTTTGAGGGATTGTTTCTTGTGATGATCAGAAGTGTTCCCAGCAGTCTTAACATGCCCCATCTGAAATCACACCATGACATAAATAAACCAAACTAAGGAACAATAAAATGTGGGACAAAAAGACGATGGACTAAATCAAAATATGGATTCCTTTTTAATGTAATGTATTATCTTGCTTTATTAAATGTATACTTCTGAGCAAGAGAATCAACCTGAAACAAACCATGAAGATCTGACTGTGTGCAGAAACCAGTTGGGAGAGTGGGAAGGGAAATAGCAGGGTTACGTTTATGTAAACTGGAGAAAAAAAAAAGAAAATGCAAAATAACGTTTGTGCCTTTAATTTTACACCTAGGACTGTTCCAAAAGTCTAAGATCCAAACCTGCCCCCTGGTGGGAGAACATTGGAAAAGGATTGAAGAAGAAAACAAAAACCTAAAGATTGATTTTCCTTTTGTATTCCTACTCAAGCATTTTTTACCTCGTAGTCTTACTTCAGTAAGATCTTTACCAGCCAAATTATGTTCAGCGTTGCAGGGATGATAAAAGACCGGAGAATGCTACATTATTTTAAAATATTTATACCTTTAACTTCATTCAAATACAGTAGATACATTATAAAAACGTGTTTATTTAGCCCAGACAAAAGGACTGCAAGATACATTGTGTGTCTAATGCCTCCAGAGGGGTTCGGTCGAAGGCAATGAATATACGGACGCAGTGTGCGCAGGTAGACCGGCAGGTGGACCGGCAGATGGACTGGCAGGTAGACCGGCAGGAACGCCTCAAGTCATTTGGCTATGTGTTGTTGTTATTGTTTAAACTAATCAAAGGTAGCACTTCTTCCCACTGAAGACTAATCTCCTCTTCCTGTGGTTCTCCCTCCTCTTCCTGCAGAGCCGGCGGAGGCGAGCACCATCGCTCCAGCCCCGGCTGGTCGACGGGAACGCCAGGTCGGGGAACACATCCGTCAGTTGGCTCGCAAAAAACAGGTGGAGGCTTCGACCGGCCTGAGCCACCTCTGAGTCCGGCTGCACGGCAGACAACAGGAGGAATGTATGAGTAACAAAGCTATGCTACTGGAATAAAACTAAATATTTATGTTTATAGTCCAATAAGCTAACAAGAGCCCCGTTGACAAGATTGTCACCTCAACCGCGGACATTTGCATTTATTCTAGTCAAATCTCCCCTGAAAACAATGTCCCTTTTACTTCTATTCTATCAAACTTGGTGACACATTAAACTAAGCTGAAAATGATGTTGAACGTTAGCGGGTTAGCATTGAGCACGCCGACATTAGCATTGAGCTCAAAGCCGCATTGGGCCTCACAGGCGGCCTTGCGGAGGTGTTGGCGTGGATCTTGTTAGACAGCTTACACGTGGAATACATTTCCACGGGTCACGGTGCAGAAATAATTCAATAACGTTAGAAATTAGATTAAGGCGGGAAATGCACTCACGTAATTGAACGTGGCACAGTTCTTAAACATCAGCAGGACGTCATCGACAAAGTGTTGGGCAGTGAAGTAGTGGAGAGTGTTGCTCCTGTCCAGTTTCCTGCGAATCACCGACAGGTCGATGGGCCTCTTGATGATCTGGTAGTAGTTTCGGGCCTGCAGCACATTCACACAGAGATGACATCATTTTTGGTGGACATTGTTTTCATTTTTTCCAGATTGTTACTGCAGAGGTAAGTGGAACCTTTTACGTGGAGCCAGTGTTTTCTCTACTTGACCATCACATGCTGCCATCACCTGCTGTTTTAAATAACCTCTCTAGTATAGATCTTCTCTTTGTTGTTGATATACCAACAGTGGTGTCACATGATCGTATGTAAAATGAAACATATGTTGAAGTTTTTTACATACATTTCTATAACTTTCTTGAAGGAACATTGTGTAGGATTTAGATTTACTTTACAGAAAGCCATGTTTCTACAGTAGGCCAGCACGGACACACCAAACACGGGTTGTAGAGGGAGAATCTTTAATGTTACTCGAAGGCCACTTGAAGTTCTGCTTGTGAGCAGAGGGGTGTTCAGTTGGTAGCACCCAGCAACCTTACCGCCGGATTTCACTAAGTCCTACACATTGCTCCTTTTAAACACACAATGTAGTTCTGATGTTTTTTGTGTAAGTGTGTTGGACTGACCAGGATGCTGACGGGTTCATGGAACGGTGTGCTGAGCGTGTGGCAGTACAACATCAGAGTCAGCTTCTCACACCTCTGCACGGGAAACACACATAGGCAAAGTCACCAGCAAACATCTGTTGATCCACTCGTGGGATGATGTCGGATGTCTGGCAAACGACTACCTTTGTGACATTTGTTCCAACTTTGAATGAATTGACTGCATAACTTTATGTACACTCGGTACACAATGAATGAAAGAGGTGAAAGAGTCACCTCAGTGAGTCTGTGACCCGTAAGTTGGACGACTCCATACAAAGTTAGCCTGGTGCAACCGTCGCTATGGCACAGTGTCCTTTCCACTCATTATATTACAACGGTCGAAGCCAACTGGAGGAAAGAGTCCTTTCACGGGCGCTTTGCATGTGATGAGAGCTCACCCTCTGGTCCCGGCTGGACAGGGTGTACGGGACTTTGACCCCCCCGCAGGAGGGCTCGTTCTCACAGTCGTAGGTCTCCGCGGGCTCCTGGTCGGGTCTGCACAGCGTACACGCCCAGTCACCTCTGTAGGACACACAGGTCCGCCGTTACTTCACAACCTAGACATGGAAGACAACTCATTTTGTGGTGTGTTGTTGGTGTGGTTGTGCTGCAGCCCTCACAGCGGGAAGCTGGTGAGCGAAGGTATGTGACAGGCCAGGTGGTAAACTTTGGGGCAGCGGTCACAGCAGAGCAGATCTCCTCCGTTCCGACACACGGCACAAAAGTCTTCGCTCTCCGTTTCCTCGGATCCGGGTCCTGGTCTGTGGATGGATGAGTCCTCCTCCTCCTCCTTCTCCTCCTCTTCCTCTTCCTCCTCCTCCTCCTCCTCCTCCTCCTTCTCCTTTTTCGGAGAGCGGCAAAGACCGTCTCTTTCACCTCTGCTGTCGTCCATTTGTACTACCTCACATTCAGTTTCGACCTCCTCCTCCAGCTCCGGGAATCCGCCGTGATCCATCTCCAGCTCCGGATCCAGTTCGATCACCATGGTCTGCTCCGGATCTGGATCCAGATAAAATGTTGCCCAATCAGTTCTCCCGTCCGGGTCCCAGTCGTCGGATCCAGAGTCAAACAGGATGTATGCCGGATCTGGATTGGAGTCACAGTCAAAGCCCGAAGCCTGCTCTGATTCTCCGCAGGGGGAGACGTCGGGGCAGTACGGTTCGGTCCAGGAGGCCGGTGTTGTTTCTGATTGGCCACAATGGTTCTGAGGCGACATTTCTGCTGCCTCTGAAGGGTTTGCCTCATGACGGCTGACTCCATTCTGCAGACAGAGACGCAGGCGGTCACAAAAAGAGGACCGATCCTAAAAGTTAGGCGTGTGGACCTTCACCTGTACCTGCTCGTTTAGCTCGGCTCGTCCCCGACCCGGCAGTCGGACCAGAGAGACCACAGGTTGCAGGGAAGACAAGAGAACGGACCCGAAGTTCAGACGCTTCAGGCTCACAACGGGTATGCGGGAGTTACCCAGAATCCTTTGGGCCTCTGGGGGAAACCTGTGGAAATATATGAAGGCATGTTTGAGTCACTGAAAGTAGAATAACAGCGCGTCACTGACTGGGGACTGTTCATACGACGAGATGTGACTTATTTTCATTTCATCCCGCGTTTCCACATCAGGAGCATCGTCCGACGTGGACAACACAATAAAAGCGAAGGCACACTTCCTCGTCTTGTGACACACGCCAGTGTTCTTCAATACAGCCTGATGTTAATTTAGTCTACGACGTGAAAAATCACGTGAACACATTCTGTCCTGTAGACAGAGTGCTGTTTTTAATCTGTAAGCTAAAGCAGTACCCATCTTCTTGTCTCTGCTAATCAGCTCGTTCTCCTTGTTGGCCTTTGTTTTACCTTATTCTCTTCAATAAAGCTGTCATAGCTCTTCCAGGTTGTTTTTCCCCGTATGAAGGGGAGGGGGCTGCGGTCTTTCCGTTGCAGGAATGATGTGAATCCTTTTCCATCTGACAGAATCCACGACTGCAGAGCTTTTAAAAAAGAAAAAAAAGAAATAAAAAATAAAAAGAAATGAAGATAGTAACTTCTCATCAAATCAAATAACAATAACCCTTTGATAACTCCCTCCCTCCTCCTTAACAGTGTAAATTCTCCCCCAGCCGTCGTGATGAGCGCTCGGCTCGATGATTGAACTCTTTACGTGTGAAGAGTTTAATGATCGGCTCCTCTGCCGTGGTCGTGGGACTTAGACCGGTCTCAGATGACACGGCCTCTGGTGCCAGCCGCGCTCCACTCTCGGCTGCCCATGGCAATGGTGTGACCCGCCGCCTTTAGGGATGTTGCCATGGTGCCTGTGAGGCAAGTGAGCTATCTCCATGAAGATCAGGGGGCCTCTTGGGGGGGTGGGGGGGGTGAGGATACAGTTGTTAAACACAGAAGATGATCTACTGCGAGCCCAGTGTTTGACGGCTAAATAATTAAAAGAAATAGAAAACATCCAACGCGGAAACGCGGAAGAAGTGCAATGTTAAGACGGATTTAACTTATATATGTATATTATATATTAAATTAAACACGTACAATGGTTATAAACATAAATATTTACATATTAAAGGCTAAATTTGTATTATGATTTATTCTTACCGCAGTGTGAATGTAAGCAAGAATAAAACAAGACGTCTGCTACATGAACACAGGTGAGTGCGTCTCAGGTGTGGGCTGAGGACCTGAGGGAGGACACCTGTATCGAGGGGGACGCGTGGATCATTTGAGTGGTGACATGAAATACAACCATCAGAGACCTGGGTGAGAAAAAGAGACCAATCCCCTCCAGGTTTGTTGAAGTTGAACCCTGTTCGGTTTATTTCCTCTTCGTCTGAGGGTACAAACATAGTTCACTCCCAGTGGATTCTGACCAATGACCAGACACAGGCTGTGAAGTTGACTCAAGCTCTGAATAGCAGACAACGTGTGAATCTGATACTCATTCAGGTTTCTCTTTTGAATAACTTCATCAAGGTTTACTCCGTTGATCTCGACACGTTATTGCATAGGCAACATGCATTTTCCTTGCTGGAGCAAATATTGTGGTTAGTAAAATTACTACTATTACCACACTAAAATACTTCTGTTACAATACAAAATCCTGCCTCACACTTACACTTAAATATCTTCTCTTTCTCTTAATTAGGAAGAATACAAAAAGATGTACTGTACTTCCATGTACTTTATAGGCAACTCACACCTATATTACATGTATTTATTATAAATATTTTATTTTTTATATTTTTCAAATAATCTATAATAACACTGCGTATAGGAGTTTTTTTGTCTTCCATCGCTAGGCGTCGCTGTGGGTTAATTTGCACTTGTCCTCTCGCCAGGAGCCAAATCTCGCACAAAACCGCGTGGTTTACGAATCCCGTCCCTCTTTCAACTAGCCTCCAAGATGGTAGGTGCCGTCATGTATCCGCCTGCTCTGAAATGCATCTAAATCTATGCCCATCCTTGTTGATTCTTACAGCAAACTATCATCCGGTGGCAATTTATCATTTAGCCGGCACCTGCGGTTAATTACTGGGTTGTTTTGCCCGTGATATTAACATTATAGGATATTGTGAGCAAATAACCATTGATCTGGGCGCTCGTCGGCCTGCATCACCCAGCCAGCATACTCTCTCTATAATTACACGTCGTACCCGCGTACTTAAAACTGCTGTACTCTGAAAAAATGTTACAGCTTTAGTCAGGGTTTAACATGCAGAAAGTGCCCGAGAAAACATTGTAAACAGTACGTTGTGGTAGTTAACAGTCGGCCGGTTAACGCCGTTAGCATTATCGTTCTGTGACTATAGGCAGCATACTTCGCTTACGAAGGGACCATGGTTTTGATAATTTCCGTATTAGGTAATCAACGTAACAGTATGCCGATGCCTGCTTCAGTGTGTTATTGGCTGTTACCGGTTTAAAGTTGACGACAAAGGCTGAAGTAAAATGAAAGTAACGTAAGACGTGATTAGCCTCCGTTTAACGTGCTAGCTAACTTGGCCCCACGAGCAACGATCGAAGCACGATTGTTGACGCTCTGTACTTCTTCTAATCGATACCAAATATTTCCCTTACAGCCCACCAAGAAGACCAAGACTAGGAAGCTCCGAGGGCACGTCAGCCACGGACATGGTCGCATTGGTAAGTGATTACATGGCCTGTATTTTAAAGGTGATCTCCATAGCTTCCGTTTGTCTCACTGTGGGCGCGACACATGGTTAAACTCCAATTTATCCAACTTCCACAGGCAAGCACAGAAAGCATCCTGGAGGTCGTGGTAATGCTGGTGGTATGCATCACCACAGAATCAACTTCGACAAATAGTAAGTGCTGCATGAACTGATGTTCTGCTTATTGTGATGGAGACACTATCTGTGTGCATAATGAGCCCGTAAATTGTTGGACTGTATACACTTTAACCAGAAAACTATCAGTAAGATAGAGAAAATGGTTCGCCTGACAGGTTTCTGATGCGTTACACAGTGATGTTAATTTTCTGTTTTCCTTTTGCCTCATGTTGCGTATCTGTTCAGTAGTTTTGCTATAGAGACTAGAGTCTCACCTTGACATAACTCATTGGCTTGGTGTGCTAGAGTACTCTTAGATTGAAGACTGCTCCTATTCACCGACTGGCCCTTTTTCGTAGGGCAGTCACCCACATGGTCAGTTACAAACTGCTTGATATCACTGACTGCATGTTGCCACCACTGCTAAGTCAAGTCTTAACCTTTCCCAACACTGCTTTAAGCTCATTTTTGTCTTTCCTCCTTGTGACTTTTCAGCCATCCTGGGTACTTCGGCAAGGTGGGTATGAGACATTACCATCTGAAGAGGAGTGCCACCCACTGCCCCACCATCAACCTGGACAAGCTGTGGACACTGGTGTCCGAGCAGACCAGGATCAACCACAGCAAGAAGCCCGACGGACCTGCACCCATCATCGATGCTGTGCACGCCGTAAGTACTGGCCGTTGTCACCGACTAGTAGTTTTGTCTCCAGCCCCATCTCTAAACGGAGGGAGTTGAGGCCCGTTTCAGAGTCCTCAACGTCAGATCCATAAGCTGATGTGCGAACCGTATCCAATGTATTAGCTTAAATGTTGATTATTATTTATTATTTTTTTTAAGACAAAGTATCTGCATACAAAATTGTATCTTGTGATATAAACGGCTGTAGGAAAAAACTGGTATTTGAGACATGCTTGAAAGATAATTGTTTTAAACTAAGCTTTGGAGTTGAACACGCTTAAATAAAAACAAATTCACTGGTCCTTTTTTTTTTTTGGATCAACATATCTATAACCTCCCTCTGTATGGCCTAAACTGTTGTCATCTGATATAAGCCAGAACTCTTATTTGATCCACAAAGGAATGATTGTCAAAGTAAATTTAACCATGCATAAACCTTGAGCTTGGATAGTGACAAATCTAGTTTCGTATATTATCGTTGGTATGTTTCTTTCCGCACGTAATGTGTTGCTAGAGTCCAAACTTGGCAGTAAAAATGCCAACAGTAGATTTAATATCTCACTGATTCAGAAATTCCTAACTACTTTGTATATAGTGTCTTGCATACATGTTCATTAAGTGGGATTGATTTGCTGCTGTGGATAATGTGGGATAATAGTGATGGATCCATAAAATGCTGGGCTTGTTGGGTAAACGTTCTATGGTTATCGGGCTAATTGTTTATTTTGTTATTTGCAGGGCTACTACAAAGTCCTGGGCAAAGGCAAGCTGCCCAAACAGCCTGTGATCGTCAAGGCAAAGTTCTTCAGCAGACGGGCTGAGGAGAAGATCAAGGCAGTGGGAGGAGCCTGTGTGCTGATGGCATAATGTTCCTGTCAGTGTGTTTTTGCAAAAATAAACTGTATAAATGGAACTACATAATTGTCATGTCTAACTTAAATACTTAAAAATATGGTGGTTGGGATTTGTGCTGCGTTTGAAGCTTGAGCTTAAAACAAAGTCAGTTATGTGTTGCATGTTAAACTACGTGCAAGTTGACCATATTTTCAAATTGTCGTGTGCCCCAAATGTATTACTTATTCTGCAGTGCTAGACTCAACCCGCTGTGGTTGACCGTAAAAGCCTTTTAACGATAAATGTAGCAGAGAGCAAAATCTTCTACTGCTTGTATGTTAGTCTTACTAACTGGAATTATTGAAGTATTTGCAGTTACAACTTTCAGAAATTTCTGATGTACAGGATAATTATCGAACTTTTGTACAAAAAAAGAGAATACTTTTACTGTACAGAGTAGTCATAAAGGTCTTGAACACACATACTTCATTGTCCAGAATCTTTCCAGATTACTTGTTTAATACCGTAAATCTCTGCATATACGTGCACTAAAATTCAAGTGTCTGCGGAGTTGACCGCAGTCTTTAGTCTCCCGTCTCCCGGGACAATGGGTGTCTTGAGTACAGAAAGAAATATCAAAAAGCTGTACTATACATTAATTCATACAACATAATTATTCAAGTGCGGCATTGATACTACGTGAAGATTAGGTCATTTTAATTTAAAAGAAATGTTTTTACATAATTACATTGTACATGTATAAGAATTTCTGATTTTTTTCAAATGTATCTAATTGTTAACATTTTAAATATGTGCATTTTAAAGTGAGACTGATCACACAATGTGGAGTCCCTTTTGTTTATCCGACTGAATGCGACGGACGAGTCGCAGCTGCTGTGACGCAGTCGGTCGATGAATGATGACGCCGGCTCTGGAGGACACGGATACCATATCTATGACGGATACAATCTGCACAGAGCTGATGACAGGTTAGCATTCCGGTCGAGTTGCGGGGCGGGGTTTACAGTCCTGTCACTTGAAGGCACCACGCGCTTCATGAGTATTGTGACAAGCAGCGAGCCGAATGAAGGAACCCCGCGAGAGCCGATGTGTTCATTTCTCCTCTGACCTACTAATTGTCAGTGCGTTTCACAGGTAAACACACAAACTATCTGTTCGCTCGGGGTTTTGATTACGATTTGATAATTGGAACGTGTAATTGTTTGACTCGGTGTTCTAATTAGAAGAGTCGCGACGACTGTTTTTGAAAGGAAGTAACTGCTTAGAGTAAAAGTCCAGCTGCTTTACAACTTGGGCGGAGACGTTAATCTTCACGCATGCGCTGTTTTACTGCCCAGTACTCTTCGTGTTAAATCTATGATACGGTTTTGTGAATGAAACCATCAAATTCAGATGATTGGTTTGAGCAGGTGTTCATCCATATTTAATTGGTATTGAATGTCATTTGTCCATATATGAAGTTAATGTTATTTTTAGTTGATCTCGAAGCTTTCTGTAAATCGATGGATAGTTCTAAATGTTCATTTCATATCCCTATTAGAATACAGCAAATATAATGTAATGAATATTTGCCATGTTGGCTTTGGCACTAGTGTACTGTGCGGTTCAAACGGATAAAGAACGCTGCTTGTTCCTCCACTCAGGTGAAGGACCCCAGAGTTTAACTGGACCTCTTCATGGCTAACCAAGCCTGGCTGGAGTCCTCTCTGCGTCGCTCTGCCAGTTTGGGACAGGAAGTGCTGCAGCGGGCCTCCAGGCGCCGTGTAGACTGGACGAGCACGGGAGTGTCCCAGACCCCCAGTACGACCGACGAAGACTCCCAGATCCCCGTCAAGGTGCTTTCCGTGTACATCCACCCCGTCGTAACGAATGTACATATTTGGATCTCAACCTCGATTCTGTGTCTCACTTCTATTGCATTTAACATTTTGCAGAGAGCCCACACAGAGCTCGACGATGTCTTTGCAGCCCTTGCAGGCCTCATGGCACAGACGACCCATCAGTGCAAGGTAGGCGTCGGTTTACCCCCCCCCCCCCCCGCGCGCGCGCTTTCAACCTCCACCCTGAGCAGTAAAACGTGACCAGTTCCCTTTGTCTGCAGAGGTTTTATGAGTCCGGCTGTGGCTGCGAGCCCTCCGACGCCGAGAGGAGCCACGTGTCCCGGTTCCACTCACGGCCGTCTGTTGTGACGACGTCAGCCAGAAAACACGCCAAGGTTCCCCGCTACAAGGCACGAAGCATCCGCTCTTTTCAATATCCAATGTTTTGGAAGCGCTGGAGTTTAAAACACTCTGCTCGTGCCCCTCAAACAAATGTTCTAATATTTGATCGCTTTAACTTTAATCAGAACAGCTGACAAAGTTGAGCCAAGGGATAAAAATTTGGTTTCAACACATGAATACATAATTTAATACTGCTCTTAGGGTCAGGCCGTCAAGGGGTTGGGAAAGATGAAAACAAAGATTTAGACCCACTGTGGTAAAAGCACCTTAACAGACATTAATATTTCAATAGCTTCTGTATTTCAGAAATATTTTGGTGCTTATGGATTGGTGATTTCTTAGAGCCAGTATCTGTAAAAGTCCCTCCACTGGTCCTCCGGTAGCAAAAAGTGAAGTTTTTTTAAATTGAAAGCGTCTTTCTCTTCAGGGTCGTGTGTCGTCGTCGTCGGGTGAAGATTTGGTTATCGAGGTTTTGCCAGGAACGCAGCATGCCGGAGCTACAGCAGACTCAGCTGGTGAAGGTCAGAGGTGGCGACAGCATCTACCTGACCTTTGATCTTTGACTTAACCGCTCAATACTTAAACTAACCAAAGCTCATGCTGTTTTTGTGTTTATTGCCAGATTTCTTCTTTTTAAGAGTTAACATTTTATTTTGCTATCAAACCTTTTATTTGCGGCCATATTTTAATTTATTTTACTTTGTGTTTAACGTCATGACATTTTAACCTGTACTTAAACTGCATCAGTGTAGAAAAATAAAAATGTATTTTTTATCTCTACCTTTTTTTTCTAAACAATATTTTTACTTTACAATGAACCATTGAGCACCTGTTCTTTATCTTTGATACTGGATCATTTCTTAACAAAGACATGCCACCACGGACCAGATGCTGCAGCACCATCACGAGTGTTCGTCCACAGTGGACACATGTGACACACACACTGCTGGACTAGACACGGTTTCTTCACAGCAGAGCTTATGGTTCTTAATTCATCTAGCCTTTCTAATGCTTTAGCAAGAGGTTCCAGCTGGTAGGTACACTCAAGGTGTTTCACATGTGTTCTCAGCCTTTTGGATTGTCTACATTTTATTGAAGTGATGTAAGCTTCGAGTTCGAATGTCAGCCTGTGGAGTCCTAGCTGAAGGTATTGTCTTTAGGATGGCTAGAACACATGTGTTGGTTCAAAGAGCTTTGTTAAAATATTTAACGCAAAGAGCTTCAAACTAGTAACCCAATGTTCCTCAGTAAGTGTAACTCAGTAAACTGATCCTCATGTTGGGATCATTAAGGAGACAATGTCTGGCAGTCCAGGACCCCGTTCCTCGAACGTGGTTCAACTAAGATCAAATGTCCAGTTAGCCAGCTCAAATTAACGGGATGATTGATGCCAGGCGATCTTTGCTGAATCGCCGAAACCAGGATTTATTGCCAGTACAATGGCAAATAAACTCAAAGGAAGAGTATTTTTTTCTCCGCTGACGAGCAAGAAAAGATAAATTCATACGAGGAATTAAAGACCATTATCTGCGTATTAAAATTGAACGTATTGTGCATATTTTACGTTGTTCATTGTGCACATCAAGATTCTTCCCTTTATCATGTTCATCAATATTTTACAAGCAAAAGAACGTAATAAAGGCCAAATTAAATATCACACGCATTTTATGAGGCAAACAGTTGAGTAAAAGGGTTCCGTGTCCAGGAGATCCCCACCGCCATTTTGTCTGTAAAAGACAAAATAAAAAAAATAAATAACTTAAGATTGTGCTCGTATGACAAACTTGATGTGGGGACAACATACATGACTGAACAGAATTACCTTTTCATCTATACTTTGTCGATGCCCAGCTCTTCGGGTGTAGGGATGCTGAGCTCTTCCAACGTTGGCTTAAGCTCTTGGATCAGATATGGGTAGATGTCTTTATGTGGGCCGGCTTTATCCTGAAGAGAACAACAGTTACAACCAATCAATCATTAACTTATAACGAGCAGATTACCAAATACTACCATGAGGTCTTCCCCTCGCTCACCTTCACAGCTTCCAAAATTCGAACAGCGCTGGCCAAGTCATCTAACCTCCGACAGGCTCTCAGTGCTGCCTCGAGAATCTTTGGCTCGGGTACCAGATCGTAACCAATCAATGTGTTCCACCCTGTGAGAAAAACAATTGCAGCTTTTAAATGGGAGAACAGATGGAATTGTTGTACTTTCCTTTATCATGTGCCATACTAAAAACCATACCTTCTAAAACAAACTTTAATGAATGTAACTTCTGGGGGTTTTATCAAACATGAAACTCAAAACGCTGCACAACTGTCCCATTCATAATTGAGCATTTTACTCGTTAAATAGAAAAGGTAACAGAACGTTTGTATTGAGTCTTTACGTCCTCGAGTTTTCCCCGTCTGTCACCCATAAACGTACCTTTTCTCAGCTCCCATGAGTCAATGTCTTGCTTGTTGAAATAGGTGACCCAGCGGGCATCAAACTCCTCATCCGTCTCCTGCTTCCCATGAGAGTAACACCGCGAGGCCAATAAAGCTGAAAGAGGAAACCACTTTTAGTCTGACGACCGATTCAGCAATAGAATGTAGCACTTCAATGGAAGCTAGTGTTTGGTAACGTAGAAGGGCAAACACGGTTACGGGTGTGATGTCTACAGCGAGTCAAGTGGGCGAGGAGGACAAATGTCATTTCCAAGGTCCTGATACGACCTAACGTTACCTACAGTACCAACCTGCAGGAATTCACTCCGGCAAGCAGGGAGTTTCTATCAAAAGTTATGGCTCTTGTAATATATACCGAGGAGGAGGTGGGAATCAGATGACTAACGTTAGTATTTGGTTTACGTAACGTTCAGCTGAATTTGTAATAATAAAGCTAACGTTGGACGCGAACATCCCTAACAGATAAAGACAGCGCAGCATAGCCTCAACTAGCTAATGAATAACGTTACGCGTTTCCTGTTCTTGTACCAAATTAACTTCTTAAGAACACATTGGCGACCAGCAGTTGGTTTGCTGAACACGATGCTAACCTATTTAACGATAGTATATTAGAAACTAGCATCATCAGTAGAAACACAGGCCCCAGTCGGAGCCCGTGGACTGGGTCATGGCAAGGACACAAGACACGGCGAGCTCCAGCGTCAGTACCGCACACATGCAGAGTTTATGAGAGGAAGAATTATTAATAAGAAGCCAACATCCTTTGACTAAAACGTCAACACGTTTAACAGTTGTTGCAATTGTACGTGATAGCCCCACTAGCCACTAAGCTAATATTAGCTAACGCTAGCAGGCACCGCAATGTGCCGACAGCCGCACAGGGTTTCCGTTTCAACTTCGCCCGGCCAGTTTCAGGAGAGACCAAATAACAGAATTGTATTAATATTTGCACAAATACCTTTACATCCCGGTTGCGTACGGCTTAAACTCCGGACACCGGAGACAGAGAGTCGGACGGCGGCGCTGAACATGATGTGGGGCAGCCAACTACACGACACGAACCGGTGAGATTTTGAAAGAGGAAGCCGGTTCTCGGTGGCTAGACCGTCACGTACGCGAGCCTGTTCTGCGCATGTGCAATCTGCAGCGCGTCATCATATGTTTGCAACGAAGTGCCATGCCTATGAAAAATGTTCCATATATGTTATTTTAGTAGGATATGCCCCAAATGAAAAACAGGATCAACAAGCTCATACATACATACATTATCATTTTCAGTGAAAAGCTCAGTAGCCAAAGCATATTTCTATATAAATGTATATCAAATGGGCTATAATTATCTTACCTGTGATCCCAATAGTTTGTAGCACACACACACCAGAGCCTACAGGAATGTCAGATATTACTGTCAGGATGAAAATGAGAGAATCTGAGTAAGAGTTCAAAAGCCTATTGTGCCGGGTACGACCTTTTTTCATTTTACTGTGTTGAATTGTATTATTTAACAAAAAAAATAAGGTCAGCCAGAGGACATGTTTTAGAGGACAGTTTTGAACCCCAAACCACAATACGCTTAGATAAAAATGAATTGCATAATGCAAATAAAATAGTTCTGTGTCTGTTAAAATGTACAGAATTAGAAGTTTAAATTGCCCCTTACTTTGGGGGATTTTATTCAAATGAATGATGTGTACACACTCCCCAGCACAGAACAAAACTAAAATGCGGTTAATGTATTGCAGTGATGTTATAGCCGTAAAAAGGGACAGCATTATTATAAAAATAAATCCTCAATCAAAACATTGTAATTCACTACATGACATTGCAAAATTTCCCTCCAAACAGAAAAGTAACACAAACCAGTATCCAAATCTAGTAATATAATATATAAGACTTAAAGTATTTATTAATATTAATCTTTTATGTGCTCTACTCAGACTTTCATGGAAACATTTCTCGAGAGGTTCATGGATTACAATCAGTCATTTGAGCCATCCAGACAGACTCGCTTATCGGCCTGCTGTGAGGAGGGACTGTGAGCTGGCCTCAGCAGACCTCCATGTCGCTCTGCATCCTCTGTGGAAACACTCAGCATCTGCGGGGGTTGATATCCAGGCTCCTGGGGATCCAGAGGATCTTTAGAGAGCAGGATGCAGACAGCAGGAAAGGTCCTCTGCAGGGTAATACCTGCTGCTCCCTGTTGTGGACTCTCCCACACCTCATTCACGGTCTTGTAGTAGAGCTTGGACACCTGGTGGAGGTCTCCTACTCTACGTTTCAGAATCTCCACACATGTGATGGTCTTGGTGATTCCTCTTCCCGAGCCAGTGAAGACCACTTGTCTCATCGACGCCCCACTGCTGTCTCTCCCCTCCTCTTGCATGCGAGCCGTTGCAAACTGCAGCAAATTGCGGATCTTGCTCCCTTCTTTCACTCGCATGTGCAGGAAGTCTGCTGCCAGGCCGGGAATCGGGTAGGGACCGCTGTCCTCTGTGCGGCTCACTATCCTGGAGTTGCTCCGGTCAACTTTTGGAGTCAACGATGGAGAAGGGACGCTTGGGTCGAACGAAGCAGACTGCAGCTCCATCACAGTGCTGCTTGTAGAATTTAAACTCTTCGGCCTGTGTTCACTCATTGCTGCCGGCTCCGGTTATTGCTTAGCCCCCTTGAGATCAGAAACACGTTTCTTGTTAATCTAGAAACTACAAACTGATAAGCAGTGGAATTAAAAAAAAGTAATTTATCCTGATCTTCTCTCGCTTCGCATTTCCATTTTGTCTTCTGAGCACTGAGATGTCTGCCTGCAGAATGAAGAGGGTATTTCTTCCTCTAATCCCATTGATGTGAAGGAAAGGATGTCCTTGCTCCATTCAGCACTGAGGACAGCTGATGCCAAACAACACATATGAGGCTCAGAGAGAGACATGTAGACTGGGACAAAGTGCTCTTAAAGGCACATGCAACATTTAGTCATTTCCATCTCATTGTACTTTGTTTTGGGGCGGTATCTTTTGTTTAATACTAAAGGGCTCTGAGATCTTATGTGTCCATGTGAATGCTTGAATTATATGGATGAATTAACATGAGTCAATGAGATTTAATAAGGCGTGAAGTTCAGACAGCCGTTTGTTTGGAACGGCTCTCTGTTTGAACTGAATTGGGGTTAATTGTTTATATTCGTAATGTGGCTTTTTGTCGATATAGCACCAAACTGGGGGGGGACGATACTATAAATTAAATATAAGTCAATATATCCGTCTTCCTCTGCACTCATCAGAGAGCCATATGGTCCTTAAAAAGTGCCTTCCTTTGGGCTATCACAGCAACTTTACAGTTCTCCTCCCTTCAGTCCATCGCCTGCTGGGCTGACCCAGAAAATGCTTACTGCCTCATTTGTGCCTCTTTTCAGTCAATGACAATTCTGAGGACATTCTTGGAGCTACAACTTTTTTGTCCGAACATGCATTAAACCAGAGACTATAAGAATATATTTTGTATCCAGATGCAAACAAAGATGTTTTCCTAGACACCTCCTTTAGAGAAGAAGAGTCGAGGGAGGAGGTCAGGAGGCAGCTGTTGGGCTCATATGGAACCACTATACTGTTGTAAAGGGGCATTTCTGCCTCACAGGATGGGATTCACCCCATTATACCACTGAATTGAACAATGAGCACACAATATGCTTCTCAGTGGAACAGAATACAATTGGTTCCCAGGAGAATAATCCACTGCCCATAAATGAGAGGAACATGCATGTTTACGGTCCATTAGTGGATTCAAATCATGCAAGTATTTGTAAAAATATTTGGATGAAATAAATGTGGAACCGGAGACACAGCGTGTGCCATAAAAAGCATATTTTTTTATTTGACCTTGGTAGTTGCTTTTACAGTTGCTGGTTACAGTTCCATCTTGTGGTACAAAACCAGTAATACATCAATAACAAAGTGGCCCTTGGAGCTGCAGAAGTAAAATATTTGATCTGTTGAACAAAATTAGATATTGAAAATCTTTGTTTGAAAATAAAATTGCATGGTACAAAACGTACAAAACAGATGACGAAGATGACACACATTTAAATGACCCCAGACAGTAAAAATAAGATATAAGGCAAAAAACAAGATAGGAAACAATCCTTCAAATATTATCAGAAGAGATGCCCACTTCAATTTAGTGGTGGTATTGTCTAGTTATTGTTTCTTAAATCATTCGAACAAAAGCTAATGAGCGGAACGTAAAGCATTGTTTTTATATTAACTTCTCAAACCATACGCCATGTTTAACCACAAAGAAACAAATCTATTTGCAGTTTGTTTAAAAAAAATGTGAAATATACAGTCAACCTGATGTTTATATCATAAATCATTTTTAGAGTTCTCTGCACAGTTTATAGCAATCGATTGTAAGATGTCCTCGTGGATCCTGGGTTCCTGCGTGTCGATGTGGACGTCTCCTACCTGGCCGTTCTCATACCTAAGAAAGACCCAAGCATCCGGTAATGTGTCATTACAGTGAGATTCTCCAGCCGTCCTGTCCTGACTGCTTCATGTAGTACTCACACAAAGAGGAAACGTGTGCACACGTGGTCGGATACAGGACACACCCAAATGTCCTTGTGTTTTTGAAGGTCTTTTGAAGTTACAACTGCCAAAAGACGCAAACAACTTCTATGAAACTCAATCATAAATGATATTGTTATCATATCACATGCATCTGCATCTTAAATGTACCTTCACAGAGAGCGATGCAGTTTAGATTGGTGTTTTGCAGAAACCTGGCTTGCCCTTGCTGCTCCTGTGGTTGGTTGGGTTTATTCATGAGTTCTTCTTTGGTGGGCATTTGGTGTCGCCCTTTACCCATCTCTGCTCAAACAGGAAGGATCCGTTTAAAAGGAAAACATGCTAATATCAATGAATAATTGTACATTTTCTCTGAAAATAATTGTAATTGTGCATTCGTACCAGAGTATCCAAATGATATGCCCGAGATAGGACTAAGATAGATTCCTTTGCCATATGCAGCTCCATGAAGCTTAAACATGATACAATGTGAACACAAATGTATTATTTAATTTACAAATCTAACAGGTTTAGCTGGACACTTAATCCAAGATTAACAAAATAAACTGCAAAGTCTGTTAAAATCACAGTAAAATTACATTCAGTCTAAAGACCAATTTGAATTTAGCTCAAGGAATATCAACCCCCCCTTTTCCCACCGTACCTGTAATTTTGTATAAGATGCATTAATCAGTCCATTTCTCAAAATAGAATGCCAGTTTTCGATGTGGGAACCACTGAAGGAAGACAAAAAATAGAGGTTCTTAGCATCCGGAGCCAGGATTACATTCTGTATGTTGTGTTGATATGAAGGCTTTATATTCGTGGCACAGCTTGGACTTGGACTCACTGGAAAGCAAAAGTGCTGCCATGCAGCTTCTTGGCAGTTTGAAAACGAGCTTCTTTGCATGGAGGGCTGCTGATCAACAGGAACTGATGGGGTGTGTGCATGAACTTAAGTTGCTAATGTGGAAAAAAGAGGCCAAAAGAGCACAGACAAAATACAATTAAAGAGCATAAAACACAGCTTGTGATGCAATATTTGGCTGCAGATTTGAACTGAACTCTATCATACCCCATTCAGTGGAAGCTTGACAATGTGGGATCTGTTGCTTGCTAAAATCCTGTTGAATGGGTATGGGTATGAATTTAAGAAACCTTTAGATTTGATGTCATATCAGAAAATATTTTTAGATTGAGAAACTTACCACTGTAGTAAGGGATAAGCCAGAGGGTCTATCTTGTCCATCTGCATTTTTATTTCAGAATAAGGACCCTGCATATAACAATATAGTTCAACCCTTCTATTAATGCAGTTGTTAAGGAAACATTCACCCGCTTTCAGATTATTCTCACAAGAGAAGTTCTGTATTTAGAAACAAAGTGGGATTTATTTCAAGTGAGGCACCTGTGACATCCTCCTGATTAACAAAACACCGTCCAGCGCTTTTTGCATCCTGTCGTAGCTCTTTCTCTGCCAAAGCAGAACAATGGATCAGTCCTTCAGGTTAAAATAGATATGACAAATTGTATAGTTCATAACAAATCAAGTCATTACAAGTTAGTACAGCTAATACCTTTGGACTAAAGGCCAGGGCTTTGGGGTTGCACGGATCAACAACAGAGGGGAACGGTTTAAATATGATGCTCTTGCGTGAAGACTGAAGAGCAGCTCTGCACATGGCAACCAGCAGGTCAACGACCTGTAGAACAGCCATTACTGCAACACATCAATCTTATATAATGATCACCATGACTACCCTTTAAAAGTCTGTATGTTGGGTACAAACCTCTGCACCGGTGGCAACCTCCTCCGTAGCTTCAGACATAACACCCAACGTATAAAAGGAGAAGACGCAAAGCTCCCTGGTGCAAACTGCTGGCTACAAACACACACACACACATAAAAGTGATAATGTATTAACAGTCAACATCTGCGTTTGTTTGGTTTTCACTCAATAGATCTTCTGTAGGAGTGTACCTTTAACAAAGGGCCATTCTGAAACACATGTCGCTCATCACAGACAACACAGTATTCATTAAGCGTGGGGAGTCTCTGCTCAGCATACCTCATTATCTGGGAACACAATGAAAGACGGCATTATGGACTTTGCTTGCATTCCATCTTACTGCTAAACCTAAAATACAAATTGTGGACTTGGAAAAAAAAAAAATCCCATTATAACCGTTAGTTATCCGCACAAGCAGGATGATGGGTGCAGAATCACAGCCAATGACAGTACTTGTGCTCCCATTCTTTACCTGTACCAAGAAGCCATGCTGCAGAGGTGGGGTGGTCTTACAGTGCCTGATGGCCTTGGAGGAGAAAAGCAGCTCCATCAGCTGTTTGCTACTAAGCTGTGCGGATGACTTGACTGCCGACACCGCCACCCTCTGTGGAAGAAGGGACCCAAACACAAAACATATTGAGTAAAACAGAGGAGACCAAGACTTGGAAAACATGTTGCACACAGTGCAGCAAACATAAACTTTCAGGGTGAAATTGACAGAGGCGTTTTTTGCATTCACCTTTCCGCTGGGTGTGTAGGTTAAGAGCTCTCCTGTGGGATTCTTGATGGCATAGGACGTTGTGTGATTAGTGAAGCGGTTCATCGCTGGCGAAATGACCCTGGCTTTCAGAGCGGGTTCCTGTAGCCCACTGGACCTGCTCACGGTGAGTGAGGAAGTAGTGAATGGAGGAGGCTTCAGACTGAATCGGCAACAAAACTGCTGGATTCATTGGATTGTCACATACTTGGATGGCGGGAGCCAGATGCTAAGTCTTGCCCGAAATTTCTTGATGTTTGCACTTGGCCTGAACCAGCTGTGTCTTCTCTTCTGTCGGACAGTAACGTTCTCATTGGTCAGATGTTTCCACTCGCGAGACAAGAAGACTGTGACAACACTGAGGGAAAGAAATGAAGAGTTAGTCCATATACTATAAATACCATACTGTTAACAGGCCCTCATCCATATTGGTAAAAACATGTTTGCTATCCACAAAGCAACATCTGTAATAATGTGGAGGGAAGCCTGAAAATTACAGTATTAACACTCACTTCTGTAATTGTTTCCTGAGGCTGAAGTTATGGGTGTTAGATGGTTGAAAGACTTTGACAGAAGGCGCTGTGGGGAGAAACATCACTTAATCTGGTGTCACATTAACTTAGTGACTTTAAGTCGGGTTGGCAGCTGTGTGGTTGACGCGCACCAGGTCCGTCGAGATACTGGGACGGAGAAAAGCTCAGGCGGATAACGATGGGCTGTGATTGGTCAATGCTCCAGGCCATGGCCACTTCCTCCTGTGAACCCCAAACAGAGCAGTCATAGTGATAGTACAATAAGATGCCACCACAGAAATCGTGTCAATGTATTGCATATAGATTGAGTAACAACTAAGATGTCCTCATTTGATTAGTTGTTCGTTATGCTTTTTACATACTGAATAATTTATGTCCAACAAACCAATGAGCACATCTCAGGTTTGGCTTTCACATTAATCTCAGTTTTACAGATCTGCCGACTAGATAAACTAATGACATAGTTGACTAGGATTTTATTCATTTAATTTGTATTAAACTTACATCCAAAACGTTGGCATTTATGTTTAAGTCAACATCCACATCGTCAATTGACCCATACTCCCTAAAAGAAGAAAGGGAAGTGGAAATGTAACAACGTATAAAAGCCGTAGCGATCCTGTTAAGATCAGGAAGAGGACAAGTTGTTCTGACCTGATGGAGGCTGCGGAGTCTGAATACAAAGTCCTGACCGCCTCCATGTCAGTCTCAAGCTGAGGGTGGTGAGTCAGGTCGGTGGAGCAGCTCTCCTGCAGAGACCAACAGCCACAAACTTACCTTATGGTCCGATCAGCTCAACACCACAGGGGGGCTGAGGGATCAAACCAGTCACATCATTTTTACAACCACGGCTGAGAAGATGGTTGAAGGGGGACACTTTAAGTCTGTCGACCTCTAGTTATCTGTTATCGGAACATTTAATCGTTTGTTACTGCACTTGTCAACTGTATTTATGTGATATCTGAGTAGCTTGATATGTAATTCAAATACATTACAATACATATACAAAAATGTATTATATAAATGCATTTGATCAATTTATAAATGTATCAATATTGTCATGAAGTCTATAAGCCAGGATTCATCAAGCAACACACGTCTGAATGTATGTGCATGTAAAGGAATAGTATAAGTTTATAAAGAGCTAGCTATATGTTATGTAACACTGAGGATTGTTTGAGTGTAATGATTTATGATAAATTGAGTATAATCGATTTGTTTGTTTTGTGTACTATGTAATATTATCGCCAGATGCATGATAAAAACGTGACTAAAAGTACTTACAGCTGGTACCACATATATTAAAGACGTATAAACAATGTTTTAAATATATTCTAGTTTCAAGTATGGCTGAGCTCATATTTTGCTCCACAACCCGCAAACCGGGTCCCATTGCCCCTCCCCTCTGCAATGACCATATGATGACTTCTTCATGAAAACCTCTTATGCAACCATTTCTGTATGCAGGTGTCCTTCCTCAAGTGTGCAAATGTTGGTTTAGGATTGTGCTAAAATAACATTCCAACCACCACGAAGGAAAGCTCACAGCGATTCCGCACAGAATCTCATCTGAGTCACTGTCCTCATCAGTTTGGCTCCCTGTCCACTGCTGGCGCTCAGTCTCCTGTCGGGTTAATGAGAGAAGCTGTCAATCAAAAGATCCTCTCGTTACACCACTGATTAGTTCCTTCTGTCCGCCCAAACAAAGTAAACTAACCGCGGAGCTGAGACTGCCGCTGATTTCAACACATATTCTGGTCAAACCGTTCATTTAATTGGCTCTAAAAATAAGAGCTTTATTGGCTTTTAACGCAAAGAACTTCTTACCCTAAATTGTATCCAATAATATATGTTACATCAGTATTACACGAATAGGAGAAGGATATTTGGGGCTTGTTAAACTCACCATGTTTTTTGTTCTCTGCCACTTTTTCATCAGCAACCAAGAGTCTGCTTCCTTCACTGTGACTGACACAATTAAACACATATGTGACCTACTTAGTACCTCTGCATTTCACATTTACTAACACATTCCTGTCATTAGTTTCTTCGCAATTAGTCTTATTTGCTTCCCTTTGTCTCAACATCTACATTATTGTAAATGCAAATAAAATCATTTAAAATACAGGAGCATGTTTGGTAATAATGTGCCAATCATGCCATTATCACAAAGACAAAAAAGCGTGCCTACCTTTCCTTCCCGAGAAGAACTTGGAGGTTTAACATATTCCAAGTGAGCAAACAACGTTCAAGTACATTTAAATGTGTTCGGCTGCTTACATTTGACTGTCCGCTCCCCCTTTGCTTTTGAAAGGCAAGAAGTCCCACATGTTCAGTCTCGGTCTTCAGCGCCCATGATTGGCTGCAAGTACTAACGGCCTGATCAGCAGAACCTGGTCCTGATACAGGAGGGTCAGAGAGAGAGACCAGCAGCTCCAGGTCTACTCAAGTGTGCATTAAGGCAGGCTTACAATAACTCAGTTTGTATGAGCCAAATCTTCCCAACAGCCTACACATTCCTTTAGTAAGAGAGAAAATAAATTACCAAGCATACGATCCTCCAGACCAGAATGGTCAGGTTCATTCATCAGTTTTAAGACTGTGATGAGCGACCAAAACCCCCGGTGGCACATTTGAAAGATGGCGCTGTGTGCGATGCTTGCCATTTATTAGTCTTGCTATCAGTCCGCTGTGCTGCAGTCTGACCTTAATCGTCAGTTACCCTCGTTAGCAGCGGCCGACTGCTCTGCAGTCTAGATTAGAACCCTTCTAAGACTGCATGCATCTTCTCCCAACAAGTGCTTTTCTCAGAGTAATCCACTTAGACATGAGTGGTGTTATAGCGGTTGGGCACAATGGAATGAACGCCTTTCCTTTTCTCTTTAAACCTTCTTTAAAGGCTGTGCACGAACAGCAAGAAGATGAAACAACTGATTTAAAAAACTTTGGACATTTCCACAGAGACGAGTCGCCACGTCTGGGACCCAGTGACATCAGACATTATGAGCTCCATAAGGGTAGCGTTTTTACAGAACATAGATATGTGTATCGCGTGGGTTTTGTGTCGCATCCACCCACTTCTCATTTGATACACCCACTGTTGTCATTCTTAGGCCCCATTTGTCTGTCACACCAGATAAACTGCCAGCAGTTTCAATATCTACTGCATGTGTTGCAGATACCAAACGGTCAACATAGAAAAGTTACCAGGACATTAACTTAATAGCAAAGAGAAAGAACAAGCCATAAACACTCCCAAACTGGAATTTATCTGGAGACATTTCAGTTATGTCGTCTCTTCTCTTCCACCAGGATACCCCAGACGACCTCTTTATACACAAAGCACTATTGAGTATTCTGTTTTTATATTATTTTTTACAAATCTGGAGCAGCTAAAGTATAAAAAAGAAGTCTTGTGACCTATAATTGTAATAAATGTATTAATCTTAATCTGTGTTGTTGCGGCAGCTGTAAACATTCACCCAGAAGTCCTTAAACACGTCTACCAGCAGAGGGCGCTGTTGTTGTACGAAGGGAGACCAGAGGATATCAAACACAACTTGTTGAATGTCCTTCAAGTTAAAAAATGATACATTAATAAATAGAAGAAATAATATACAAATAATAATAATAATAATATATACATATTACATCATGTTTCTATATATATTAATATGCAACCCCACCATCATGTGTCTGTCGTAGTTTTGCGATCTCCCGGACGAACAATACACGCACCTGCGCGGTGTCCTGAAACAATATTTGTACTTCTTTGAGCATATCTGGAAATTTGACTTTGTGTTCTTTATTTGTGTTGAGAAAACCACACAATCTGAAAAGCGTAATTCTATCACTGTTAAAATGGGAACCGGTACTTTAACTGTCACGCCCTATATCCCCGGGTGTAGTTCGTACAGGAAAGTAGTTCCGGTCGGAGAGGCGAATAAAGCTCCTCGTTCCAGCAGATCCAGTGGCTTCTTCATTCCTGCAAAGTTCACCCAGTAGGTGAGTCGTAGCAAGAAGACACAACTATGTGCCAGAATGGAGAATATATTTCTAATTCAGTAGAAATTAGTTTTCATTCAATGCATACATTAATGTATTATTCTCAAACATTAACATGTTTCTAAATCTTTTTAAAAAACAACAACAATTCAAACTTAGATCAATTATCGATACAATTTTTCTTCAATAACTTATTGAAAAAATACTAAGTTCTTAATGTAGTTAAATTCGAAGTATTATGCACTGTCATACAAAAGATTACATTGTTTTTAATGAAGTGTAGCTCTGATCTATTGATTAGTTTGCTTAATTCACACAGTAAAAGGGTAAAATCTCATAAGGCTCTCTAATATAGATTTGTCTGTTAATTGTATGGATTTAATCTATTTATCAGTATGCTTATCTGGTAATTCTCTTTTTTGTTTCTTGTGTAGGTAATGCAATTTGTTCCTACTCAGACAGCATGTTTTTTTTTTTTAACTTTTCTTTGATAATTAAATGAATAGCAGTCTAATGTATGCACTTTGAATCTGTGATTTATTGTGTTTTTAAACTATTTTTTTAATGCTGCTAAGTTACACAAAACCTTTGTGGACGCAGTAGTCAAAAATACCTCAAGGGGGCTTTGGCCTTGTCTGGAGTATATTTAAAGAAAAACGCCAGCCTTTTTTATGTAATTATGACAATTTTCATTTTCCTGATGTTACATTTCTGAAAAGCTCTCAGCTGTTTGTTTTATTTTTGGTTAAGGCTGGGGGCTGGAATGGATTCGCAGTAACATACCGACCATGTTTCCATGCACTGACTAAAAACACACATCTGTCATGCATGTTGCACATTGTTGACTGTACATCTGAATTCTAATAACCTTTAATTGTTCATAGTTTGACATCTCACCGTGGATCCCCACGTTCTTAAGCTTCTTTCTGGAGTTGTTTTTTGTGAGTGTAAATTAGCTTTACCCTTTGTCAAGTGACCAGCTCTTCTTCTTCAGCTGCACGGAAGCTTCCATTGGAATGTGGGAGAGCGCAGTCTCTCTTTACACAGGCCGTACAGGCCCTCTGCAGAGGTCACACTTTCCCAATTTAGATATTCAATAGAAGCGTACTAAAGTTTCTAATTCAGCTTCCACGCCATTTCGATGTATACATGCTCACGTTTGTATGCTAATTGATGTTAATAAAGCTTCTATTACTCTCTCTCCACAGGACGTCTCCCGCCGACACACATCCAGTCATGTCGAAGTCAAAGGACACGGGCTCTTCCATCATTCATAGCCAGCAGATGCATGCTGCCATGGCGGACACCTTCATTGAGCACATGTGCCTGCTGGACATCGACTCTGAACCCGCTGTGTCTCGTAACACCGGCATCATCTGCACCATCGGTCAGATTTATTCACAAACTCTGTTGGCTCAATCTTTTGTGACACACTAGCGACATTAGAGAATATCACGTTAGAGACATGGTGTTAAGCCAATTGCATTGATTCACCTGTCGTGATGCAGGACCTGCGTCCCGATCTGTGGACATGAGTAAGAAGATGATCAAGGCTGGGATGAACATTGCAAGAATGAACTTCTCCCATGGCACACATGAGGTGGGTCAAGGATGAGAACTTTACAGTAAATTACAATTCTAACTATTTACATCTCCAAAACGTCACCGTAGCTGTAAAGGCTGCCGTGCTGCGGAAAAAATGTTGATTTTTTCCCTTTCTTCACCCAATCCGAATGTATTGGCCCTTTACAGCTGCAGGCGTTAGTGTGACATTTCTCTTGGCCTGGTAGCTGTGTGTGGCTGTAATGTGATCTATGAGCTTCTCCTCGCCCCTCCAGTACCCGGTGTGTGTCGTAGCTGTAGAACTGCATCACTGCCAACTGTTGGGCCGACCTTGTAATACTGCCCGTTCGCATTTAAAAGTCATGCCTCTTTACCTTTTCCACTGTCACCTGAGTGGATGAGCCTTCAAAGCGTTCCTGACCTGTGGTACCCACAGCTCGTGTTTGGATTTTTAAAGGTTAAAAGCAGTGCTGTTTTTTTCAGTGTAGCTCACAGAGTTACTTTCAAGTCGCTTGTGCAGTCTGGTTTTCATCAATGAAAAGTCTGACTATGTTGATATATGAATTGTTATGAGAAGGACAAAAATAAATCTGACCTCTATCATTGGTGAGTCGGTTGTCCGTTTAGCTATAAATAGTTTTGAAGAGAGAGTGAGCCCCACAGCAGTAGTGCAAAGAAGTGAGGTGTTTATTATGCGGATTAGACATTGAATTTGTCGTTTTTGTATTTACTTAAATGCATTTACTTGATCCAAAGTTGTCAGTGTTGCACTTCAATCGCATGACATAGAACATTTTAAGTGTTGTGTTTATATTTGATCTGCAGACATTTCCCTTTAATCAAATCAAATTCAATGGTTTATTTTGGAAGCTCTTCATGCCTGACAGCTATTTTTGTAGAGCAAAACTGTCACGAGCTAAAAACGTGTTGCAGCTGTCATTGAATATTTAGTTATCCTGCTGCCCTTGTGACTGTGTGACCAAGTTTGTACACCAGTTGTGTCTGCATCTTAGGAACCTGAATAAAACCAGGTATCGTGATTGAGTTCACTAATGCAAATTCTTGCCCCTTTTTAACTTATATTCTTACTATATTTATTGAGGTTTTCAATATGATAGCATTTGTTTAACATGTCATGTCACGCAGTACCATGCTGAGACCATCAAGAATGTCCGCGAAGCCGCCGAGAGCTTCGTTCCCGGATCGGCTGACTACAGACCAGTGGCCATCGCTCTGGACACCAAAGGCCCGGAAATCAGGACTGGACTTATCAAGGGCGTGAGTTCTTGCCCAAATACCAAGGCTCCAATGAAGCCATTATCGATTCATTTAACAAACAATTCAAATGAAGGTTTTCATCCTGACAACAAACTTGCTCTCCCTCTGCTCTTTAGAGCGGCACTGCTGAGGTTGAGCTCAAGAATGGCGAAACCATCAAGCTAACGCTCGACAACCAGTACATGGAGAATTGCGACGAGAAGGTTCTGTGGCTGGACTACAAGAACATCACCAAGGTTGTGCAGAAAGGAAGCCACATCTACATTGATGATGGTCTGATTTCCCTCACAGTTAAAGAAATTGGTAAGTACACAAACAAGCATCTGTTTGGTTCATGTTCTGCGTAACAGAGGAAATAGAGTTTTTCTTCATTCCGTGTGTCTTAAGGCAACGACTACCTGATGTGTGACATTGAGAATGGCGGCGTGCTCGGCAGCAAGAAGGGTGTCAACCTGCCCGGAGCTGCCGTCGACCTGCCGGCTTTGTCCGACAAGGACATTCAGGACCTGCAGTTCGGCGTGGAGCAGGGTGTTGACATGGTTTTCGCCTCCTTCATCCGCAAGGCTGCCGACGTTCACGCTGTCAGGAAAGTGCTTGGCGAGAAGGGCAAGGATATCAAGATCATCAGCAAGCTGGAGAACCACGAGGGTGTGCGCAGGTGGGGGCGTTAGCAATGATCACGCTCGAATCTGCACAAATCTCAATCTTGGAAAAATTGTCTATCAGATTGTTTTGTCCGATAGATTCGATGAGATCTTGGAGGCAAGTGACGGCATCATGGTTGCCCGTGGAGACCTGGGCATTGAAATTCCAACAGAGAAGGTCTTCATCGCGCAGAAAATGATGACTGGCAGGTGCATGAGGATCGGCAAGCCCATCACCTGTGCAACACAGGTCCGTGACCTCGGGGGAACAAACTGTTTCGTTGGAAGCATTTAAATAATAAAGGTTACTCAGAGACTCTTTTTTTGTCTCCTCAGATGCTGGAGAGCATGACCAAGAAACCGCGGCCTACTCGTGCCGAGGCGAGCGATGTTGCCAACGCTGTGCTGGACGGCAACGATTGCATCATGCTGAGTGGTGAGTACCGCCAAGGGGATTATCCCCTGGAGGCTGTGCGGACACAGCACATGGTGAGAGGAAAAGCCCATACGAGTCGCTGCATGGTTTGATCAGATATACGTAATGAGAGTTGGTTCCCAAATAATAATATTTTGAAGGCTACCGAATTCAGACGATCAAGCAATCGCTGGTAGCTTTACGGCCTGGCACTCTTTGTCTTTATATTTATAGGCACACACGTTTAGGTCTTGCACTCTTCACATCAGTCTAATTTGGTGTGATTTTGGTGGAGTAATTCTTGTCTTTCAGAAAAAACTGCACTCTTATTATCCTTACCTGACGTCATGGATAACAAACAATTCACCAACACATAAAAACAATATGTTAAAGTTGAACAAAAATGTACTAGTCGTGACAGAAAAAAATAAACTTTAAGGTTCTGAAAAATGTAGAATGAAGAAAAGGCAGCACTTATTAGCATTGGTACCACCTTGGGATTCATTAACAGCTTGTTTAGTGTTTGTTCAACTCACTTTGTGTTTCGCTGTCGTCTCGTATTGTGCTTCAACTGTGTGTTCAATTTACTCAGTTAGCATGTGTCTGAGGATCTGCAGTGTACAGCAACAATCCCTGGACAACATGGCTGCCGCTGTTGTTTAGCTTCATGCCTCAGTGTGCTTTCAGGTATGCAGACCTCTGCACTGGGGGTTAACTGCCCTTTGAATACAAACTAACTCCTGCCGTTGCAATTGGCTGTGTGTCTGCAGCCTGGATCGTCATCTGTGCTTTTGTTTAATCCTCATGACCAGATTGCCCGCGAGGCCGAGGCAGCCATGTTTCACAGGCAGATGTTCGAGGAGCTGCGTCGCACCACCCATCTGACCCGGGACCCCACAGAGTCCGTTGCTATTGGTGCCGTCGAGGCTTCCTTCAAGTGCTGCGCCAGCGCCATCATCGTGCTCACCAAGTCTGGCAGGTGAGACTTGAAAAAGAAGAAGTCCATTCCCTAAATGCCCTTTGTATAGCTCTGACCTCATGTTATCCTACAGAGGGTGCATATTGAGCAAAACGGGTTATAACATCACTCTGTCTCTCCTCCCTCGCTCCCTCCCTAAAAGAAGACCGTGGCTCGGATGGTGCAAACCTTTACAATCCACTTGTGACCTTTTGAGATCTGAACCCTGACCTTTTACAAGTTAATTTTAACTCCCTGTTGAGAGATCATGCACGCAGCACATGATGCAGAAGGCAGAAGGCGTGTTGCGGTCTGGATGGATTTACTAATGATAATGGCGTAATTAAAGCCGCTATATCAGCTAACATTTTCATATTCACAAAGGATCACATGACTACAGATATGTGAAGGGGGTGGGGGCACACAGAATTATCTGCTATCTATATTGTTCATCTCAACACTTAAGAGCATTATAACTTAACTGCATGTGTTGCGTTTGGATTATGTTCTTTGTTCTCATAGCATTGTTTATATCTACAAAAAGCTCTAAAACAGCACTAGACACGTCTTCTCAGCACTGGACAGAAGAAAGACATATTTAGCAACTCGCTGCTAACAGATATAGAATGTTGTTTTCCCCAGTAGATGGTTGATTTAAAAGACTTTAAAGAGTGTGAATTTATGTCTTTATAGTAGCTTGTACCTCCTCCCTGCAGGTCTGCTCACATGCTGTCAAGGTACAGGCCACGTGCCCCCATCATCGCTTTGACCCGCTGTGGCCAGACGGCCCGCCAGGCCCACCTGTACCGCGGCATCTACCCCGTGCTCTACACCAAACCTGCCAACGATGTCTGGGCCGAAGACGTTGACCTGCGTGTCAACTTCGCCCTGGAAGTTGGTGAGTGGTTTTGTTGGAATTTGTCTCGAAAACAGAGGATTGTGGAACTGTAATGGCGCAAGAGGTACGGGGTTGATACGTGTTACTTCATCAGATCCTAATATGTATTTTTCCTCTATGTGTAGGCAAGCACCACAAGTTCTTCAAGTCTGGAGACGTTGCCATTGTTGTGACTGGCTGGCGCCCAGGTACCGGCTACACCAACACCATGAGAGTCGTGCTGGTGCCTTGAACTTCATCAAAGGAAATTAGTCATCGCTTCCCCTTCCCACTCCTGTGACCCGCCTCCCCGTTCTGGACTTCACTTTTCGCTTGGTCTTCATCCCCAACAAAAAGTCCAAACCAGGCCACTCCTTCAAAGGTGTCGTTCATAGACAGTAACTCCTTGCTTCCTGTATCCATATATGAAATGAATGGTCCTGCTGCCAGAGGCTGAACCCAAACCTCTTTTTTCTGTACACGACTCAATCAGTACAATCAGTGTTTTGTCTGCATTCATTGTAATGTCCTGAATTAAAAGTATAAAATAATAAGCATGAAAATATCTGTAATGCACCAAAAGTAATATGTAAAATGTCCCATTTCCATACAATGTATATTATTATTTATTATATACATATATATTATAGTTGTTAATGCATTGTTGTTCATCAATTTAACATTTACCATATATGTTGCAAGGGAGCTTGTGAATTTTCTGAATTCTACAAGAATAAAGTAGCTGAAATTGGAAATGCTATTTAGCAAACTAAGTAACAGTTGTCAACCCGGTGAACATAGCAGATTATTTTTGTACCGACGTGCCAAATATCGGGCAGTCTTGACTATTTTGAATATCGGCTTCACGCAGTTTCTCGATTTATAACCCTGCTTAAAGTCTTCATCAGTCTTTCATCAGACTCTCCTTACGTGCCACACTGCTTCAGAAAAGAAATCAACAGCTAAGACAAGCATCATTGACCATGATATTTTATTGCACTGGATTCAGTAGCTAAAATAAAATATGCCTAACATACACAGTTGGTGGGTTCCTCAGATTTGTTGGTTGAAAGGCAGCAAAATGAGAAATAAGATAGTAATAGATGAGCGACTGACACCTCTTCTGCTGCACAAATTGAATAGAATCAAACTAACACTCGCGCTCAACCCCGAGCCCCTGGCAGGTTGTGCGGTGGTGCGGGGTTGGAGGAGAATAGCGATGAGGAATTGATCCAGCCCATTGGCAGTGACTGATAGTATCTCTCTTCCCTCGAGGGAGGGGTGGGGGAGGGTTTGGGGGGAGGGGGTCGAGAGTGACGGCATATAACTCAGGTTCAATAACCGGGCAGACAAAGCCACTGGACGGGATCCTCGGATGGTTTGACCTGCTCGCAGCTCCTCACCGGCAACAGGTCCACACAGAGAGAGAAAGGTATCGTCTAAACATGAACTTATTAACCAGGAGAAGGATTTAAAAAGCAGTCTGTGGTACACTTCTTATTGATTCAGGATAGCATCACAAAGCAGCAATTGTTAGATGTCAATTTACAGTCAAAACGATGTTAAATGAAAGAGGTAAATATGCAGCAATATGCGACCCATCAGGGCTTCTCAGTAACCATGTCCAAGTGTTCGCGTTTAGCCCTTTGACTTGCAAGAAACATTCAGATCAGTCAGATCAGTGCATTGCTGGTTTCAGGATGTTTGATTATCCACAATTGCTTTTATTCCCTTGAATTCCGCAGTTTTTAATCTGTTCTCACTAAAAACACTCAAGTGCTTCTATTCACAGTATGTTTTTAAACCAATAAAAATACACAGATTATTGCATACTATGGTGATGGTACACAGTCAAATGATCTGTACCAAAGTTAGTGTCAGACTGAAATTAGTTGGCATCAGTTGTGCGTTTTAGAGTGGCTTTGGAAATATGTGTTGTCTCTTAAACTGGCTGCCCCCTCCAATTCTCCACAGAAAACCATAAACGCCCTGGAGTTCAACGCATTCAGAAATAAATGCCAATTCTCGCTCAGACAGACCAACATTACATTACATTCATTACTTCAGTTTTTTTGAGCGTGATCTGATTTGTGTGACCCATTTGGGCGTGCAATATTGTTGCAAAGCTATCTCGGAAGACATGGCGTCATCAAACCATTACCTTGGGCGATCTCTGAAACAAGCAAAGTGCACCGTCTCTCCGCTAATCTCTTAGTGACTTTGTCTTCACACGACACGCTCGCTGGTGGGTAAGGACATAAATAAGGACAATCATTTTTGGCGTCAGTCATAACTGGATACAGCTGTGGACACATTTTCAAACTAAATGGGTGTAGCTAAAAAGGTTACACAACGTTGGCTGAATAATGGGGTTCAAACAAAATACTTAACAGAGTTTGGCTATAATACAATACACAGAACAATTTATATTTTATGAGGTGCTATATATACCCATCAATAGGTTTTTGGATTGTATTACTATATTCAAAGATGCAATATCCTGTAGAAAAAATATCCATCATTGTCCATGATTACCCTCGATCTGTGTCTGATTTAAAATGAAACCACCGATCTCAGTCTGGATAGAATAACACACCCTCCTACTTAAAAATGTAGTGGTTAAAACAACGCCAGTAAGGAGATGACCTTCCTTTAGTTCAGGTATTAAAGAAGGGTGTGTCTGGATCTCACAAGTTGGATGGGAGTTTGGACGCCTTGTGTTCGGTCTCTAAGATCTTAGCGGGGGATCTAGCCAGGGAGGAGGAAACACCAACCGACTGGTTCTGAGGTTCAGGCCCCGAATGCGTCCGACTGACGGCAACTTGACCGAGGATTTGCCCGTAGGGGTCGCTGACAGCCACGGGCCGGGGAGAAGGGGCTGGTCCCCCATGTGACTCTTTCTAGGGAGTTGTGAGGGCCAGAGACCGTCTTATTTCCTGGGTAGAAAGATCCCCGTGGACCCGGCCCTCTCTTTGAGCATACAGGCCACCCTGGCGGGGCACGAGGTCTGGAGGATTAGAGGGCTGCAAGAGCCAACAGCGCTGGGGAGCTCGCTGTGGTAAACTGTCTTTGCCCTCACAGGGCTCTGCATGCAAGGACTATGGACGGGAGGCGTGTAGCAGGGCGAAGCCTCGGCGGAGCCGTACTGGGCCAGCGAGGCGAGGGCCGAGTGCTCGGCGAGAACCCGGGGGAGCAAAACCGACTGGATACCTGCGAGGCTTTGCTGCGCCAGGTAGGCTGCGGCACCTGATACAACTGCAGATCCCGGGGGAATAAATCCAGTGGAGGACTGAGCGCTGGTGATGAAAGGAAAATGTGCGAGGTTCAGACCACCGGCTCGGTCGTGACTGTACCCTATCTGTTGCATGGGGGCATAAGAGGGCTGAGGCAGCTGGTTTAGTATGGGGCCTACTGAGCTGGAGATGAGAGGGTGTATACTGGAGGCAGAGGGGGCTGGGAATCTCACTGGCAATCTACCTGGCGCCCCCTGCTGGAGTAGACCTATTGGGTGTGGCGGGGCGGTCATGGCACCGTGGAAGGGCTGCGAGTGGAGCTGAGCAGAGCAGGTGTAGGAGACAGTGGTCTGGCCGATGGGGAAGACAGAGGCAATACCAGAGTAGGGAGGGTAGTGTGGGAGATGGTGTGAGGGTAGAGGCTGCATGCTGCTGGTGAAGATGGGCTGGGACGACAGTGTGGGTGACACGGGCCCTGCTACCAGATGCTGTGCCCTGAGAGACGCCGGGGTGGGAATCTCAATCCCCGATCGGATTTTGTTGAAAGTGACAGGAGAACCGGGGCCTGAACCACAGCTACTGGACATATTCGCTCCAATATGAACTTTCTTTGGATAACCCGTGGGGTCCTTCATGGAGCCCGGCGCCAGGGGATGGTGGAAGAGGATGGGGGGCAGCTGGGAGGGGTGGGCTAAAGCCAGAGCCAGCGGGGTGGTGGCGGCCTGAAGTGGGGCTTGAATTAGCGGGGCCCAGATGACCGGGGTGGGTGATGGGGGAGCGGGGACAGGGTGAAGACTCTGGGGGCTGGTCTGGATCAGCTGCGTGCATTGGGCCATGTCGCGGTCATGTTGCACTATTCTTTGGATGATCTCGGTCTCTTGGAAGTTTAAAGTGCCAGAACTTTGGTGATGCTGGACTTTATTCTGCAGAACAGAGCTCCTCTTCCCTGTTAAGAAACCACAGGTAAGATCATGCAATTGTCTTTTTCATTAATGAAAGCATATACTGATATATTATGAAGATGACTACTCCTCAGCACCATTTCCTTGCGTTATTAAAGTAAAATTGTTTAAATGGGATAATACGTAGCACAGCGTAATATTAAATGTCCATATATCAGTCATGGTCTTATATGAGGCAGAGCAGGATCCACGCGTGAAATAAAATGTTTCTTATTCCACAAACACACTTCAGACAAATGAGTTCATTAATGAATGACTTGCATAATGAATAAATTTGATATAAATACGTCTAATAGAAAACGGTTATCACTGTATATATACTTCAAAAGTCAAATACATATTTCATCACACAGTTTCATCAACTGTGTGATGAAACTGTCCACCGTTGCAAGCACCAAACTGCAAAAAGCAAAGAAAATAAGCTGAGTTAAAAGTGTAACTCGTCATATTGATAATCTTATTTAATTTAGCAAATTTGTCGTTGAGTTGTCTAATTGACCTTGTCTGACCTATTGTTGTCTTCATAGTAGGTTCCTGAATGAAGAAGATCCCTAATGCAAATATTATGGATGCATTAATTATGTAGAAATGATTAATGATTCATTACTAACATACTCAAATTTGAGTGGTATGATAAAAAATTAAAAAAAAAATCATTTTTATGAACTAAAAATAAAAAAATGATCAAATCAATTAATCCTGGACAGCAAGAAGAAGCAAGCGAAACAAAAAAATAAACATATAATTAACCACGATTAAAAGTAAAACATGAAACCAGCACAGGCAAAGGACTCACCGATGCGGTCCAGGCGGTCCAGAGCCACGGTCTCAAAGGCCCTCCTCATCATGGGATACTCCTCCAGCACCTCATTGAAGTTGTCCACCGACAGAGAGTAGAGCCGGCAGTAGTTTTCTGCTCGCACACTCGCTGTCCTCCTGCCTCTGGTGAGCAGGCAGATCTCTGCAGGGAGGAGAGGGGGGGGAAGTGAAATGATTTGTAACATTATTTTAAAACACATCCTGCTGAGTGTAAGTAAGAAACATTAGTAAGTAAGAAACAACGTTTTTTTTTTAAAGGGTAATTAGTATAAAGTATTGTATGGTCATTTTCTACTTCTCCCAGACGTGTTATGTGATACATTACAGCCGATTTTTTAGCTGCATTCATCAACGGAAAGGCAAATATAGTATTATTAGTACGAAATGACAAAACATGAAAAGGCTGTTGCCTCTGAAACCCACGGATGGAGCACTTAATGCAATTTCTGCAGCTTACAGTTTGTCCTGACCTCATCGGTCGTGCCAGATCAGAAAAAAATGAAATAATGCGCCATTTAAAAAAAGTGGACATATTTTTTAGGACAGGCATATTGAGGATATAGACACAAACACACGAAAACTCACACGGCCTCTCTTTTAAATACATTTCTGTCCCCGTTTACCATTTTCACATCAGTGTGTGTGTGTGTGTTTTTGTTCAGCTGTGTTAGCAAGTCAACATATTTCATATTTCGTGGTTAACATATCACCAGGTTGGATCAAATTGTAAACATTAAACATACCTAGGAATAATTACTAGGCTTGTCAGATCACCCAGCGTTAAAAGTCATACATTCATATTTCCTAACATAGCGGGTTACAGACAATAAGACGATGTAACATGTAACAACAACAAATTGAATGTTCTGGATTTCAGCTTTAAATATGGCGTGAACAGCCCAAATAGAATCAAAGATCACAAAGCTTGGCCCCTCTTAGTCCAGAGACCTTTTAAGGAGATGATGTGGACAATTTTTCCCATCTGTAATAGTCAAGTTAATCTGCTGAGTACCGGAGCAAAATAAATCATAACAAATCACACTATCGGGACTCCTTCATATACATCCATACTGACTCTGTGCCAGCGGCCGAGTATTTTAGCATGCAGCCCACCCGGCAGGTTGTGTGCTGCAGACATTACCTCCAAAATAAGAGCCATCGGACAGCTTGGTGTCATTGCTGTTCTTGGTCAGGACACTGACGACACCGTGCTGGATGAAGTACATGTTCTTGCCGATGGTTCCCTCTCTGATGATGTAGTCAGCCGGCTGGAAGACCTCAAAGTGCAGTTTGGTCAGCATGGAGGTGACGAAGTTGGGATCGGCGTTGGCAAAAAGAGGCATGGAGGCCACTAGTTTGCGACAGTTAAAGTTGATGATCTCCTGCACAAGACACAAAACAGTGTTTCACATTTTAAAGCAAGGCCTTCGCGTCCTAAATGGCTGTACAACTTCATGTGTACATTGCAATCATTACATTACATTACAGGTCATTTAGCTGACGCTTTTATCCAAAGCGACTTACATTGTATTTTTAACCCATGTATTTTTTTACATTTTGCCTGGGGAGCAGTTAGGGGTTGGGTGTCTTGCCTTCCCGGCACGCCTTCTCTAATCATAATAAAAGTAGGGCGGTAAACGGCTTACTTCTCTGTCATGAAGTACTCTGACCTTACAAAGTGTCCAGCTATTGCTAATCAGATTACATGACTATTAACGTTATCCTGCAAAGTAAGGGGGTCATACTAGATTTATAAAAAATTAACAGTTTATAGCAAACATGCTCACTTCATCAAAAAACAAAAGCAATTTAGCCTTTATAAGCCGTTTGTGCATATGTAATACATATTTTAAGTCCATATACGGACATTTTGAATGGTGATTAATAGACATTAAGTAAGTAAATATAAATGATCCGATAAATAATACAGTCATTGATTAGCTGTTTTTATAGCAGCCTCCTTTTAAAGGTGCAAAAGAAAGGAGTTAGAGTCGTTGACTGATCTATCAATTAACACTTGTATCTGCTGACATCGCATTGTTATAAAAACATTTATTTAAAGTTATATACTGCTTATAAATCCTAAATGTAAAAATGAAGAAGAGTTAACAATCTTTCATTTAGTTGTGAAACATATCAGCAGTGTTATTGTCACCGATGACTGCTCACCTCTCGCAGCGGCTCATTCAGCTCCTCCAGAATACTTTCCTCGTCGAACATCTTTCCCTGATAGCGATGTTCGTAGTACTCGTGGATCCTCTGCCGCATGTCGGCAGGGAGCTTGTGGAAGGACATGTACTGCTCCACCTGCTTATACTGCAACCACAAAACAAGTATTACATTTAGAAAATATTTATAACAACAATAACAACGAATTAACACGAATGCAGATAATGATAATAGCTATTATATTGCTTAAATAAGTATCAAAGTAAAGAACTGCAAGAGAAAATGCAAAGTCATGCCAGAATTAATGTATTAATGTGATTGACGTGTTGGCTCAGAGGTGGACTATGATGTGTCTCATTATGTTAACAGTCAACTGTCGGGCCATCTGTGAAACCTGCCCGCAGAGCGATGCTTTGCCTCCGTCCCATCTGACAAATACAGTTGCGCCGTGCAGGCTGCAGCTAATAACATTAACTACTGTGTCCTTCAGCGGTGTACTCGACCAGCAAAGCATCACGAATGGCGTGTGTGCCCAATCTGTGTGAGTTACGTCCTGCTAGAAGTTGTTTAGCGGTTACCCACTACCTTTTTCACCAAGTGTCTCACATAAATGCCTAAAAATGTAGGACAGGTGTGTTTATTTCTCACAATTGTATCATTGTAACCACTTAAAGGTAGAACAAGAAGTGTGAGGCCCTCTGTCTGTATTTTCTCTGTTTTTTTTCTGGGTGTCGGGAAAGAGCATTTGCACCCCAAAGTGGGGATGTAACCCCCCCAGCCAACAGGCAGGGTGCACGACCCGTTCTCATTCCAAGGTCAAACGGCGTCGCTATGCCGCGCCCCTCAGAGTGCTGACAGGACCAATAGACACAGACACGGAGCAGACTGGCCACAGCGGGACAAAGCGTGCAATCGGCTGCAGTCGTCCTAAATCCGGCACCACCCAAAAGGTCTGTGAGGAGGCGTAGTCGGGGTTTTTTTTTTTGAGCATGGGAATTTAAACCCTGGTGAACCATCAGAAAATAACGATTTATTATTCTGATTCATGGCTTTGTTCTCAGTAATGCCGGCCCCTCTCTTTGTTCACTCTCTAGATCACGCAACCACTACTCGCACACACTCTCTTTCTCTCTCTCACTCACTCTCACTCTCTTAAACAATTTAAATCAGTCGAGGGATAAGTATTCAGATACTTAACTTAAGTACAACCAGCAGTACCACTAGTAAAATAATTCCAAATCTTCTTTGAGCAAAAGTATAAGTACCATCAGATAATTGCACTGAAATTTAAGGAGAAGTTGCTGATGTGTTGCATTAAATTATTGCATAATCAATATTGATGCATTCCTATAAGCAAAATTGTACTGGTGTAGTGAGGAAGGGTGAAGCTAATATTAAATAATTCATACAGTTGGGTGAAATGAAATGTGTAAAAAGGGATTAGATCATATAAAGTGTATTGTCTTTGGAAAGAGCAAACACCAACCTTTTCTTGGTACTGCCTCCTGGAGGAGTCCAGAGACTGAATGAGGGCGGTCGCGTGCCCCACAAACATGGCAAAGCAGGTAGCGCCCACAATCATGCTGAGGATGGTGAGCCACACGTCGGCCATGCCGATGGGGGGGTACAGGCCGTACCCGATGCACAGCATGTGACTCATGGCCTTGAACAGGGCGTAGGAGTATTGCTGACCCCAGGTGTCGTTCTGTAGGAGACAGAGAGGAGGAGGGAGAACGTTTATCACCGCTACATTAATGCTGCAGCGGATCACTGGGAGCCTTTTTACAGCTTAAGATCAGGTTCACAGGTGATGACGCCTTTGTTGTCCAGGGTCTCGGGCCCCCTGCACCCACAGTACAACAACACCTTACAAATCATCATTACTGTCTTGATGTATTCTTTGGTGTAAGCCTATTTTAGTATACCTATTAATATATTCTGTACTTTATTTTCTTTTTTTTGTTTACTGTAATGCATGATAAAGAAAAGATTCACACCCTCATATTTTAGAGGCTGAAACCAATGTTTAAGCAGATGTAGTATATGTGGTTGTTGTTGTTGCGAAATCTCATCTAAAGACAACTCTTTATTGTTTTATTAGAAGGATCTCATTATTAACCAATAAAAATATTGTTGTATGTTTTTTAAGCACCTAAAGACTGGGTTTCAAAATGACAAAAAGCTTTTTTAAATGCGTCATTCATGGAAACACAGGATGGAATATTTTTCCAGATGAGCCCACTTACTTTTAACAGCAAAACAAGCAGTGACAAATAAACAAAAGACCCCATCGACCACTCACCACCATCTTGTTTCTAGTGACCCAGCAGTCAGAAGGGAAGTCCTGCAGCATGGGTACCAGGAACTGCAGGCAGCCGTCCCAGTGGCACAGCAGCAGCATCATACCAATCAGGTTCATGATGCGCACCATGGCGCTGGCCAGGTCATAGGTCATATGGAAAACCTGTCACAGATTATCAGTGTTAATAAAACTGAAAGAACCAATTTAAATTTTCTCTCATGCAATCAGAGGATTTGAAATGGACAATTGGTGCTTTGAGGACCAATGGACACGGCGGTCCCACATCTGAGCACTCTGGTTTTTAGATAACCAGACGCTGTTTCAGTGTGATGTAATCATTTGCAAGCAACACTGGTGGCCTATGGGGATATTCTCAGCTGAAATTATAAAGATAATGCAGAAAATGGCATGTTGTTGAGACCATTCGTTTAGCAGGAATCTGCTAATGCAAGGGAAATCTCCCTAAGTATACCTCTTTTTTCAGAGGATCAACTTATTTGTAGTGAGAATTGAGAATTTGGGGAATTTTTCCTGACAAGTGACTATTATAAACAAAATTGTTGCTGGTTCAATTCCGATTCGGTGTTGCAGCTCAACTAGCTGGTTTAAAGCCGTGTGAATGTAGATGCACAGAGCCTTTCCGTGCTCTACCTCTTCCCACTGGTGGATGTAGCGGATGAGCCTGGAGAGGCGCAGGAGCCGCAGCAGACTAAGGATCTTGGTGAAGCGTACGATCCTCAGGGCTCGGGCCGTCTTGTAAAAGTCCGAGTTGATGCGTGTCTCAACAATGAGAAAGATGTAGTCCACGGGTATGGACGAGATGAAATCCACCACAAACCAGGTCTTCAGGTATTTGATCTTAATCTTATGCGGGTCGAGGATGATCTCCGTGTTGTCCTCCCTGACGATGCCCGTGCGGAAGTTGAGGACCAGGTCCATGAGGAAGAAGGTGTCCGAGACCACGTTAAAGACGATCCAGGGCGGCGTGTGCTCGTCCTTGAAGAAGGTGATGCCCACAGGGATGATGATGAGGTTCCCCACCATCAGCAGCAACATAGTCAGATCCCAGTAGAACCTGCAACACATGGCCACACACGCATAACTCGTTGGAGATAATAGTGGTTTAGGAGCATTCAGGTCTTTAGATCAGATACTCGTAGCATCAATCAAAAAGATGCGCACTATTATTTATGCATGGAATAATTAGTTGTTTTTTGGCCATGCTATGCTTTAACAGAGGTTAGAGCAGAAATAAAAACATTTTACAACTTCTCAAACACAAGAATTGAATGCTGTTCTTGGTCATGTGTGATAGTAAACTGAATATATTTGAGTTTTGGTGAAGAACCTTTTAGACAAAACAAAAACAAGATGACAAAGCAGATGATTTTGTTCTCTAAAGAGTAAAGCGGTGAACGGTTCTTAGAAGACGGAGCAACGGATTATGAACAGAAACCAATTTCATTTTGCCGTTTGGTTAATACAGGAGACTCTTAAAGCCACAGACTGTATGTGTGTGTCATACTAAATACATCAAAGCTATTCTGGACATGCAGGCCCTCCAAATGGAAATAAATGTCTGTGCAACATGTGGTCTAATACGGGTCCTCAAAATCCACTACATTTAAGTAGATTTAGATCAAACGAGAAGAACCAATGCAAACAATCAGTTTGAGCATACGCATTAACAAAGAAGGAAATTAGTTAATACTGTTCGATACTGGGTTTCTGGATACAGGACTCGAGAGGGAAATGGGAAATTGGTATTCATCGGAATTGCTCTTGAGGGAATATTGATTTTCACAACTAACCTAATCATCAAGTACCGGCGGCTGGGTGTTCCCTTTTATCTGGAATTTGCTTGTAAAAGAGGGAAATGAAAATTGCATTTCAAAGTATTGCAAAATCAATTCATTAAAATTCCTATCTCTACTAACCAAAGGTGCCAATATTGGTCAAAAAGCTCAATTTCTACCTGTTCATATATAACTATTGTGATATTTGTTATTATAAGTTATCAAATTTCTTGTTAAAATTCTCATTTCGGCAGTCGATGTGTAACAGAGAAAAACTATAATTCACAGGAAGCATACGGCAATGAGCAGCTCGGCCAAACAGGCTAAAACCAAACTGTGCAGTGTTTTGTTTTCCCATTTCAATCTTCAGGGGGTCTGTCTATGCAACGGGAGAAAGCACGCAAGCATATGATTGCATGTCTGATCCATTTCGGAGAACTTATTAGCCGTTAAATCAATCCAGCAGAAGCCTGACACCTACAGGGTCAGCGCAGACTGTGTCTCAGGCCTGCCAGGGCGCATGCATTACACCAATTAAGAGAACCAGGGCAGCATACAGTAACCACTCTGAACCAGCTGGACTAGCAATCAAGTTGCTGTCAACTATTAAATAAATTGGCTAATAATTAATCAGTTTAAGTTTCTTCTTTTTTTTAATTGTCAGTATTTTCTTTTGTGACAATAGACCTTTAAGTGGATGAAACAAGACATTTGAGGATGTCATCATGGGCTTTGGGAAACACTGATACACATTTCATTTACCGATACAAATAATCAATTAAACCAGCAAATGATCAAGGCAGGACTAACGGCTCATCCTCTTGTCAACAGGTATGATTCAAAACTTCTGTTCACGATTGTGGGCGATTATAGTGCAAAAATAATTCATTCCATGGATGTTGCAGTTAAGAGGGACAGGATGCTCAGTGGTGCTCCTGTCAATTGGGTCCATTTGATCCAAATGAGATTCCAGAAGGCCACCAATAGCAGAGATATGACCAGGGGGTGATTCTAGTTAATCACCCCAAAGCGTCACAGGAGAGCATCACAAAAAAAGAGGGACCCAGTGAGGACATTGTGGCCCATTGTTCTTATCAGCTTTCTGTTGTTCTCTGCCAAACAAAGCATTTGTGTTCCTCTCTTCATCTGCCTGACACACTGGTCCTGATTGCACTTTCCCTCCCTCGCTAAATCCGCGTGATCTCCTGGGAATCCATGTCATCTCCAGAAGTCAACTCCCATCAGCCAGATGTTGAGTAGTTAGCATTACTGCTCTGCACACGTCATCGTGCTGCAGAACCCCGGAACAGCTGGACCACATAAAAAAAAAGAAGGTCTACAGGAGACCATGCATTACCGCCTCTGCAGACAATTTCCGTTTGCTGACTGTGACCCTTTGACTGTGCACACGGCGTTCAGGCCACAAAGATCAACTTGCTGGGGCAATCTGGTGCTACCATCAGAATAAAGCTGACGGTTATGAGGTCTCAAGATCTCTGCTGGTTCAAAAATGAATCTTGCACTATTTGGGTCAGAGTGCAACTATGCTAAAGAGCATGAGAGCACAAAGAGCGGAGTTACAAGCAAAGTGAACACAAAAAGGCTTAAAATGGGGAAAGGAGCTTAGATCAATCAGGACAGCTGAAAAAGGGATCACATTTGTACTAGAGATACTTATCTCTTGATGCCAGAGCACAGCTGAAGCACAACAGCCTGCATAAAGCTCAGTGGCTTAACACACACCTGTACTGTGGCTCAGGCCTACCAGCAATCATATTAACCATATTTACGTGGCGCGCCAGTTCAGTATGTCTGCTGCTGTATCCCCGGGCGGCTTTACTAAAAGAGAGCCATTACTTCTGCTTTAAACAACACAGACTTTAGAAAGGATGCAAGGAGAGAGAGGTTTGGTTTGATGAGCTGCTGCACAGTGGTCATGGAAACAGTGATGGCAGTGGTGATTGGATCCAACAGTTTCTCAGAAGCTAAAAAGATGTAACAGCTGGATGTCCTGATTCCTCTCAACATTATTTTCATTCGAGCCTCTCTCTGTGTGTTGAGTGTTTTGCGCTGTGTCCCCTGCCCGTCCACACCATCTCTGCTCCATTAGACTAATTGTACTGTAATAATCTCCACTGATGTGTGCTTCTAATATCTCCAATGGTCATGTTACCCTCTTTTGATTACCCCATTTCCAAGCCCCTGCTGCACTCTCTGTAATCCATTGCCCTCGCTCAATGACCAGAAAAAAAAGTGTAATTCAGATGAGTGGGGAAAAAAACCTGCAGGGACACACATCGGCATACAACTGGCCAGTGAAAATATGATGACAGAGAGCCTCAAGGTTATATGTCAGGAAAATCCCTTGATGGCGGTGATGAACAGAATGCTGGTTTACATGCAGCGTCCGGTGAAATAACGTGCATGTAAGCACGGCACAGTGTGTCTGTTAAATTAGAAAATACAGGTTGAAATTATTCCATTAACAGAAACAACTTTTGGGTAGATTACAATGACATGCATTACTATACTTGGGAATGAAATTGTTCTCACTCACAGGCTAATCAAAAGATTGATTTATATGTATATATATATATAAAATTATATATAAATTGGCTTTCACTGTGCTAATAAAATATTTTCCATACCAGTCAACAGTTTTAACGTTAGATCAGATGTTTCCCTGTAAGAATTACTTATAAGCATTTTTAGAACAATATATTCTTGTTAGAAATGAAGCCATTCATCTATTCCAGGTGTATGGATTAACCTACCGAGGCATATTCCGGCTTATGACATGCTATCACCACCCGATTATTACGTTATCATCACAGTGATGGAAGAAAAAAAAAACACTAATGGGGATTAGTGTGTGTATATGATATGAAAGTTATAGTGATCATAGCTGATGGCCTGTTATGTCTGATTTTCTGTTCTAAAATGACCCCTCTTCTACATTTCTATGTCAAGCACGCCTAAAAAAAAAATGTGTGACAGGTGCACTTTTTTTCCCTTCCAAGTCTGACTGTTTTTTTTTTTTTAAGAAAATAGGTTTTCTGCACAACAAGTTACCTAAAATCACTGTACGGGTGGATTATCCAGAAGCCGGCAGACTTCACCCGCTCCCTCTCATGCTCCACGGCCCTCTCACTCCCCAACATCCGCAGGGAGAACTTGTTGACACCCGGTTGGAGCATCGCCCCAAACTGCCGGTGCATGAAGCCGGCTTGGTACAGCCGTTCGTCCTCGGGTGCGATTTGCTCGGTGCCTTCCAACTTAATAAAACTTGACTGGTCAAACACAGAGCCGTGGCCGGCTGCGCCACTCAGACCCCCCGCTGCCCGCTGCTGGGCCCCGGGGCTGTTCTCACCGGGGTAACTCTCTCTGACGCCCGCCTCGGGGATGAGGCGCTGCTGCTCCGCCGGATCTGACCCTGCAGGATGCCGCCCGGTGATGGAAGAGATGCTGCCCCGAAATAAGCGACAGTCCCCGTTCAAGTTAGTCTTCACGGTAACGTTCTTCTCCAAGTCCTCGCTCCTGGCCTCCTCGACACTCTTGAGACTGGACGCAGGAGAAGGAGAGGACAAATGTTTTAGCCGAATACTTTTTCTCATAGTGTCCTTGTCTTCGTTGTCTCCTTCGTCCACCGCGAAGGCTTTTTGCCCAATGTTTTGCGGCAGGCTGTACAACCGTTTGCGCATGGACGACTGGAATCTTTCCATTCTGAAGAAGGAGAAGAGACGCGCTCTAAAGACAGCCCCTGGAAACAGATGGATGAATCCTGAATCTCGTGAGGGTTGCCACCGGAGGCGAACAGCGACGGCGCATCCGCAGGACGGGTTGGATCTGATTTGACACTTGGCACGTGCCTCTCTCCCCGGGTTCAAACATCGAGATGCGTCAACGACATACGCGGCCGCTTCTCGGTCCGAAGGTCACGTTGGAGCCGCCGGCGGGAAATGCGTGTGCGTCCAGGTGAAGCCACGGCGTGCAGACGGGGCGCGCGTCGGGATGCTGCATGCTGAGCGCCGGACGTGCCGAAGTGTGAGAGCGCCGCCGCCGCCGCCGCCGAGGTCCTCAATGACAAAGCGTGATCTCCACCTCCCCAAAATATCTGAGCTCTCTGTCAGCGCGAGGGGATGACACGCGTGCACGAAGCCCGCACCGGCGTTCAGAGAGCGCTGACATCACTGGTCCATCGGTCCCCCGCTTCCTAATAGCGAGAAATGCAATGGGGTCGATCCCTCGGGTTGCCATAGGAGCCTGGACGGTTACACGCGCTCACCCCGCCCAGTCGGGACAGCTGGAGGAGGAGGATTCAAGGATGCCAGGCAGCCTTGGAGTTGGTTCACAGAGAATAAAGTCAGCTCTTTGTGTTGAAACGTGTGTTTTTTCTGAGCAATGGGTTTTCATTTGGTTCTCGTTTTGCGCTTTGAAGGTTGGAATACAACAAAAGCCGTCAGTCAAAAATTGTGGTTGCAGAAACTTTTAAGAAATTATAGGCTTCCCCTGTCGCAACGAACTTAATTGGAGGTATACTTAAAAGTGTAGACTACCACATGAAAAGTGGAAATTAAATCAAATGAACATGGGTAGTTCCCCTCTGATCTAGCAACGATGCGCATGGAGTAGAGTGGATGTGCAGGGAACCGCAAGGTTGGCGGTTCAAACCCTGGCTGCTCCATGTCCCACGTCCCTGAGCAAGACACCATAACCCTTGACTGTCTGAATGGCAAAATGTTTTTACAAAATGGGTTAAAGTCGCTTTGGATAAAAGCGTCAGCTAAATGACATGTAATGTAACCTGCAAACTGTTTGCTCCCATTATTTAAATCTTTTTTTTTTTTTTGGGGTGGGGGGGGGGGGGGGGGGCTTTTGCAAGTTCAGGGACCTTTAAATAGAGGGTTTAGGCTGTAGAAATGATTAAGCCCGTTGTGGAAACACACAACAAAAATGTACTTGACCTGCCAATATACTGCCTTTCTCTGCAGAGACACACATGTCCAGAATATAAGAATTGAATGTCTCAAAATTGAAATCACCACAACTTCTGAGCAACTTTCGAACCTTCAGCTCGAGGAGAGAAGTCCATCGAAATAATGTCTAATTCTTTCCTTGTTAATGGGGGATTTGTTTCAACCTTTATTACGCACTGACATATTATATTGAGGTGCAACCTTTTGGGCAAACTACTCACTTTATTATGGCAGATGCATAAATACTCTCATTGTCTCCAGTGTGTCATTTTCTGAAGAAGACATCGTCAAATATTGCTTGAGAACCATCAGATTTATTGAACGGTTCTTCTTACCTGAATCAGAGACTAATCCAGAGAAAACAACAAATCATTTTGGTCGAAAGTTGTGTCCCAGTTTTCTTTAAGTCACAGATGTATCTCTGGAAGTTAACTGTTCCAACTGATCCAAAAGAGTTACAGTAACATTTTTATCGGTTACCGTTACATCATGAGTCAGATCCAGACCAGTAAAGACCAGAGTAAAAAGGTATGAAGAACACATTGCAATATTTATATTGATTATAAATGTTGCAGAAAGCCAAATAGCGAGACGGCAGCCACAGTAAAATATTGACTCTCTCTGCTGTGCTGCTGCAAGTTTTCTCTATAATGTGTTGAATGTGCTGCCCCCTACTGTTTGAGAAGAACACAGCAGATTATCATATTATTTACTCAGCTGACAGCTCATTATGAGCACCAGGCCAAAAAACAATACCTGCACTAGTCACAATTACAGATAGTGTTGATGATTCGTAGAGTTGTTCATCACTTCCAGGCCTAAAATGAGGATTCCAAGTAAAAACCCTAACCAGAGCGACAACTTTAACCTAGCGTTGAACCCAGAGTGCAGGTTGTGTCATATTTTCTAAATGTTTCATATCTAATCCGTAGTTTATACATTAAAAACATTGGAAGAGTGTGGTAAAGAAATGTGACCTTTTACACCTTAGCCTTTCAGATGTTATGTTTTTAATTCATAATAAAAGAACATTGTTTGAGGAATCCCAAGATACAAAATGTTCATCGGCAATGAACTGCAGCAGTTTTGCATTTCACAAGACCGTTTCCTCAAAGCCTCACTAGGTGGCGCCGTTCTCAGCAGGTTCTTGCTTGTCTGGATCGTTAATGGCACAAAAGAATGTCGGCTGCACTCTCCAAGGAAACTTCACTCAACAGACACTCCCTTTTCTTTTTCAGATATTTATTCTTAAAAACAAGGTTCGTTCTCCACCCCCCTCCCCCCCCCCCTTCCACCACGTCAGCTATAGAGAATTCATGCAGCGGGGCGGTGCTCCATCCACGCTAGGCGATCCTAATAGCTTAAAGCTTTGTCACAGAGAAATCAGAAGCTGCGATGGTTTTCAGTATATTGATATCGATAATAATTGCATAGGATAATAGCCATGCTGTACAAGACCCACGTTTATAAAACAATGTCAGAATGATAGATTTCCTAAAGTCGGTTTATACAGTTTATTATTCTAAACATTTAAGTGCATCATATTGTATGAATGGTATTTATATTAACGCGATCGTAGTAGTTATAGTGATTTAAGACATACAGTAAAGTAAATCTTATTCAAATTGAGAGGGTCGTTGCAAAATTAAAATGAGTTACATATATTTTCTAACATACTGGTGTGCAGTGGTATGATCAAACCGTACATAACTGTCATACCCGATTCGACTGGCATTTTCTTCCCATTGCCGAGTCTTGTTTTTCCTTTTAGAACACACAGTACAGATTATCTAAATGAAGCCACTCTCAGAGAAGAGCAAACAAAAAAAAAGCCGTTTCCGTATCAAACAGAAGGTCGACGTCTTGCATGCATTATTGTAGAAGTAGTAAAAATGTAAGTTCGAGCGATGAGAGGAAACTAAAAATCTTTAAAACACCAACAACCGCATGCAGCAACAATGTTTGTAATGGTAACAATAACATAAGGCATGCGTCATCGAATTCCTCCACCACAATACTTGTAGTGGCATGTACATCCTCCAAAACAACTGGAATGGATTCCTTTCCGGTTTACCTTCATATGGTCAGGACATGTGTAATGGAAACCTGGAGACAAAGAGAACGTTGGACTCGTTAGACCACACTGAAGGCCATCCCATTTTGGTTGGGCGTTCAGTGAGAAGATCATATTGTAACCTGTGGCCACAGGCTTAGAATACAAATTTATCAGCATGCCTCCTCTCAATAATGTAATACTTACTCAGCAGACGGGCCGCTTAGTTTGTATTCCTCTGGCGGAGATTCTTGTCCTTGTGGTTGTTGGTCGAGTTGGTTTTGCTTTAGCAGGAAGCAAACGACACTATCAGCTGATACCTCAATTAAAGTCATTTGCAGAGTAGTAATTCAATGTAGAAAAATAAAAAAAAGACAAAACTTCACTCAATTTACACACAAAGTTGAGTGAGCATTATACAGTCTGAGAAAATGAGCAGTGTAATGTCCCATCAATGTTAATCAATAATAAATAAAGACTTTAAAAAAATACTTGGTTCAGCTGTAGTGAACTAACATAAAATTATAATGTTTACTGTGGGGGAGTGTACCAGACCTTCATTAAAATCATATTTTTATCCTTCAATGTTAACCTTTTACTTCACGTTTCTTGTTTATAATCAGAATAGGTATATTTAACATTTAGTTTTATAACAAACCATAATGTAGTTGTAAGCAGCAATGAGATCATTTCTAAATTAATATTTTTTTTACTTTTATTTTTTGACAAAAGGTCCAAAGTACTAACTTTCCCTATAGAATACATTTTATAAATTACTACAACTTTATTTTACAACTTTCATCAGGTCAATTCAGATGATGACTTGACACTGACGGTAAAACGCTCACTCATTACATTTCCTTGTGATTTATAGGAATGCAGCAAAGCAACGATTGCATGATGCTCAGTTATTTGGGACCCAGATTTGACTGTACTGTACTCTAAACTCAAAAGACAGTCTGATAGGCTAAGTTACAACTAAATACACATTATCAAGTTAAACACACAAGTTATTGTAGATCTTTTTTTTATATATACTTACACTGGACCTGGAGAGTCATCATCTGAGGCAACAAGGGAACATTTGGAGAAATTAAGACCAAAGCATAAAATAAACTCACGGATGTTGCACACGTTGAAGTAACAGGTGCAATAGGAGCACTCAGTTCTGACTGAAACATGGTGCCCCCAAGATTGACGTTTATGTTTTAAAACTGTACTGCACATGCGGATCGCGTGTTTTTGTACAATGTGCAATGGGATGAAAACGTAGCTCAAATGAAGTAACAAAACCGGCTGTCATGCCACAGGTAAACAAGAAAACACCTCACAAAATCAAAACACAGTGCAGTTAAATCCAGCAAATTTACATTCGGGCAAAAGTCAAATAAAAAAAATACTGTTGTCATGCACGGTCAGGCAGCTTTTACAGAAAACAGCTGCGCCCTCAAAGAGATTAGTGAGGAGCAGCTCCATTAATATCAACCCTGTACTGAAGGTAATCAAGTCGATGAAGCAGTGACTGACAGTGACGGATAGTGACGGATAGTGACAGCATGCCATCTCACTGCTGCGGTTTGATGCAAAAACACAAAGTCACCATTTGTAAATAAAATCTTAAAAGCCAAAGATTTTGAAGGGCATTTGACACTAATGTTGAGGCTGAACAGAAGTGTGTACGGTGCTGTGAGCTGGAAGAAGATGAGGCTGAATGCTTATTAGAATTTATGAGGCATGCAAAGTCTTAGACTTACCAAAAACATGGTTTAGGTTACGCAATTTGGGGAGAAGGGGAACAATCTGTTAAAATATTAACAGCATGAGCTAACCTATCTAAAATAGGAAGTATTTGCTGAATGACTTATGCGATCAACATCCATTTTTTGAAGGGACTGTGCAGATTCTCAGGGTGCCTTAAACACCACGTGATGTACTATAATATTCTGTTCAGCGTCACAAACTGATTGAATGCCACAGCTATGAGCTTCCAGTCATTCGATGCACATTGAATCTGATCAGCATGTGACAACATCAAAATTCAGTTTGAGAGGAAAAGGTCAACTAAGTAGCATTGATGCATTATTCACAAAAGAGCTCGACTCCGTAGCGCTCCCTAGTAATAGTAGACGATCCCAGGCTGGCATACAGCGATTCCATAGCTAAATGTTGTGTGTCATGGTTAAGCTTGCAGCAGCTGTCGGCTGGCATGAGATCCCTGGAAAGACGTCAATAATTGAAACTGCCCAACGCTGCAAAACTGCAGTATCACATTTCTCATGAATATAAAATGAATGAAATCGTCCTGACAAGGTGCGACCTCCTGTATCAGTGACTGCCTGTTGGGTCGTCCTCACACGACTGAATTATTGAATGGAGCCACAGCACAGTGTCAGGTGACTGTTGTGTCTCCTGCTCAGGAAGGACACCAAGGCGACAGCAAAAACTAAAGTGTGCCTCCTTTCAGGGTCGCCGCGTTGCCCAACACCACACGGACAGCGGTTTGGGATGAAAAAGACTCATTAGCAGAGATCCATGTTAACTCTGAGCGATGAACTCGTTTCTCCTCAGATATATTAAATAAAAAAAATTAAATAAATGAAAACACACTGGCTGACTCACCGTCTTGTAAATCCTCCGGCTTCTTACGCTTCTCATAAACGACGATGATGACGACCAGGATGATGATCTCGGCCAAAACCCCCAGCAGAGGCCACAGGGGGGCCAAGTTGCTGCGAACCCTCAGCAGGATCATCTGGTCACGGCTGCCGAACATGTTGGTTGCATTGCAGTGATACTCGCCTGGATCAGAGACAATGTCCAGGTCCATAATGTTGAGCTCGGTGTAGTTGTCTCTGCTGTTGATGAAGAAACGCCCACTCGTGTTGTCAATTTCCTATTTCGGGAGAAGAAAGACGTGTACGAATTATGTTCAGGGACGTTGGTTGTGTTTACATGGACAGAGTTGCATCCATACTGTACTTAGGCTCATGAGGATTTAGAACATGACACACTATTTCATGCTGCCACAGCACCATGTAAGGACTTCATGGACAAGCTGCTGAATGGGATTCCTGTTAACTACATCAGGAGGTGCATTTTCACATCACATACCCTGTGGACGCCGTCGTCGAACTTATGCCAGGTCCAGGCAGGGTGAGGATATCCAACAGACTTACAGTACAGGACAGCAACTTGGCCCTCGTTTTTATTCTCACTGCGCTTGTGGCCGATAATGTCCGGCGCAGCTAAAACAAAACATCAAACGTTAGGTGTTATAATACATTCAAGATAAAGGAAAAAAGTTACGGTCCACTTTGCCTCCACGGCAACGCGGGTGACAGCAGAAAAGACACACAAGAGACATAATCCCACGGCATCCGCCAAACAAGACGCCATCTGCTGCCACCGAGCCGGGCAATGGTTAGATGGAGGTGTCAAGGTCGTCACCCCCCTGCCTCCCCCCAGCAGCTAGCAGAGCCGTTCGAAAATCACAGGTCCTCACACGACAGCGCTGCGAGAGCTCGAGGGCATTCGGAGCCATTTTGGTCCGGGGCCGTCTCTAATGTGGCCTTCAAAGTGACAAGCAAAAGAAAACTGCCCCGCGGCTCCCGGATCAACACCTACATCTAATATCTATGGTGGCGTTCGCCGGAGGAGACATCTCGAAGGTGTAGACACACATGTACCATCCGGCGTCGTCTCCTCTTGGTTTGTTCAGCCTGCAGAGGAGAAACACACCTCCCGTTAACCCACAACAGCCCGCCGCCTGTTACACACACACACACACACACACAAGTTGTGTGAAGTTGGCAGCGACTCCTACTTGTACTCTGTCTGCCTATTTGGGCTGCGTGTTTCGGGGATCTCCTCCCCGTTCTTCATCCAGTAGCTCTCCTGGGGTGGACTGCTGCTGGTCAGGTTGCACTGCAGCGTGTAAGTGCCGCTTTCCTTGGACAGCGTGGTGTGTTCAGAGGTGGAAATGGACGGTTCTGTGAGAGAGAGACACCGATGAGCTCCGAGCAGACGTGACGCTCGATGGGACCCGTGGGTTGGAGGGCGTAAGCGCACACGGGGTTCAGACAGACGGCACAGTCAGCCACGCTCTGTGCCACGTAGAGCAGGAATAGAGTCGCGGCGTGGGAAGAAATATTTCGGGCGTCCAGGGTTCCACGCTCGTTTTCTGTTTTCTGAGGTGACTCGGAAGTGGGAGCATCAACCAACGTTCGGATGAAACTCCCTCGGTTGAGTCATCGGTATAAACACGTCGAACTGGTTTCTGGTTCTTTAATAAAACGTTAAGCTTGAACCGTGCACACGGTTTGTGTTTTTTTTTTGAGACTAAACAACCAAGATCCAAAAAGGTCACCTAATATTGGAAAACCCTTTGAGTGGAAGAATAGTAGGTTTTAGAAACAAAGAAATAATGCAGATTACAACAATGAAAAAAAACAAAATGAAGTGCAATATAATGTTCTCAGAAGTGAGAGCTAATGGGAGAGAAGAAATATCAAGTAATGTGGAAACGGAAAAAGCACAAAATACTACTCAACTAAAGTACATAAAGACTAGATTGTGGTGGGTTTTTTCGTAATTGTCGAGGTCTAGTGAGGTCTAGCTAGAGGCCCCCGGCAGAGGCTCCAGGGGGGGCTGGATGACGTTTGGTTGCTACGGGATGGGAGGATGGCGTTGCTCCTCTACAGTGACAGTGACCACTCACTCTGCAGCACCGTTATAGTGGCCTGAGCACGGATCCACGTGGTGGCCGGACTTTGGTGCAGGTCGTTACGCCGCGGGTCATTGCTGGCTCTGCACTCGTAGGTCCCAGCATCGTCCAGCGTCAGAAGAGTGACGCCCAACACGCTGGCGCCGTTGGAGCCGTAGGCCGTGCTGATGGACACCCGCCGCTTGCGGGCGCCGTCCCACAGCTGCCTGAAGGAATGGGCTCGGTTGATCTCGGAGTACCACCACTGGATTTCCGGGGTGGGGTTTCCCGTCACGTCGCAGTACAGCTCAAAGGTGTCACCCGTGAGCTTAGTCTCAGAAAACGGGGATTTCACAAAGCCCGCTAGTGGAGGTTTAGGGGACAGCAGGTCAAGAAATACCTCCCGTATCCCCCCACCCCCCCAAAAAAAGGAAAGCAGGTGCAGGATGGAGAGGCCAGAAGGTGACGGATTAGATTGGATGAGAAGAAGAAACAGAAAGACAAACAGAAAAAAACATAATGTGAAATAATAAGAAAAAACACTCAAGACAAAAATGATGTTAAAGTAAAACAGGTTTGACTAAAGTAAAATGAGAAAAGAGCAGAACATGTAAAAAAATATAAAGCCCCTGAGTCTTAAACTCAAAGATTTTCAATTAAGTTATGAGAATATTAGTGCAAACATTTGTGTTTTGTTATTTTCATTTTCATTCATTCCACTCTGACACTGAACATCAAACCGTTAAACCCAAAACAGTAAAAAAAAAAGTCTCTTAGCAAAAAAAGAGCGAGATATGAGAGACAGATCTGCCAAAGCCGTTACTGCTTCTATTTCTAGGAAGCTTTCATTCAATTCTGCTGGGACGCCTGTGCGAGGCGGCCCTCGCTTCATTTTGTCTAATTAAAATGACATCATAAAAGATTTGTGCCGGGCTCACACATGCCCTGGCATCTAAAAGTCCTCCAAGTGACCTTGTCATTGTCACTACGTCTTGCCTGCATAAATAAAGCAACATTAATGCTGCTTTATAAAATTATTTAGAAATGGGACACAGAAACCGGGCAAACTTTTCATTTCACGGTACGCAAATCACTCCGAACTGAGTGAAGCAATTGATCATGGCTGCACAGATTGGACGAGGTGGTGGTGGTGGTGGGGGGGGAGGGTGGCTGATGGGGGGTGGGGCTGTAATTCTGAGCCTGGTCTTTAGGCACTCTGCGATTTACAGAAACGGCATCTCTGCGGGGGAAAAGCGGGAAGCGGGGGGGCGCATGGTGATAGACCCCACCCTCCGCTCCCCGTTTCCATAGGAGCACTCTACGGCAACAAAGTGGGGTGAGGATGAGACGGCCAATCGGACCAGGCTGCTCGTCACAAGACGGAAAGACATCTTTTGGATTTTGTCCAGCTGACATCAGCACCCTGCTGTACATCAAGACCAGAACACACACACACACACATATTAAAACCAGTGCAGTCTGATACAGCAGCCCTTCAAGGATTCCTCCCTCATGAAGGGAATATTGTTGAATCGCACTGTATTATACTGTCAGGTGTATATTATTTAGCTTAATTTATTTTTATTTTTGCTGAGCTGCAACCAAGTCATCGGTTTCTTTTGTACGATTTATCCATCCACTTTGCATGCTCAAAAATCAGTTGTTTTCTGCCATCTTTTTATGCTTTTTATCACTTATCAGCAGAAAGAGTGAAACAAACAGTGTTCAAGGTGCCCTTGATTTTAAATACGACAGCAATTCTTATTAGAACTCTAATGATGATCAATTGTCAATTAAGAAAAATAACCAACAGCCATTTTGATAATCAATCTTGTTTAGTAATCATTGATCAATAATTTACATAATCAATATGTGTCCCATGTGCAAATTATACTTGACAAAATCTATGATTATTGCTTTAAAAATGTCAATAGAATAGTACATCTTAAAAGCTTCACTTTATTCGTATTCTATATGATTAAATAACATTTCTCTTTAATATCCAAGTTGAACATGTTAGTACCCACTTGTTTGTCATGAGAACTGCACTGACCTTCTTCTGCTTGAACACTAATATGAACCCAAAGGCGATCATTTAATCACTTGATTAATTAATGCAGCAACAAACTCCTCAGTTTGTATTCTCCCGTTCAATAACATTTATCAAGGTTTTTTTTTTATGCGGCCTGAGCAGGAAATTCCTTAATGTAATACGTTTAATGATGTAAACAGCCTGCTCGGTGAAGCCACTCTACTTCAGGTCAAACAAACATCCTGAGGGGACTTTGGTGGGAATAGCTTCACGAGGACGGCCGCTCTGCACGTTAACGGCATTACCAGACTCAACTAATGATATATTATCACTATGTAAAGTATACCGGGGCATTCTCTGAGCCGTGATGAGTGGGTGTGCCGGGTAAGAGATGTGTAATGCATTCCTACACATGGTCAACTCAAGGGGAGCCCGCGGCTGAATAAATTGACACTTACGGTTACACAATTTTTGCAAATAGCAGACTTACCGCATCTACCACCAAAGACTCAGCTGAGAGGGCTTTAAACTGCCCGTTGACCGTTTTATTGGGGGGGGGGTGAGATTTATTGAGCAGAGGGGTCCGTCGCACAAGCAGAACCGCGCTCAGGAATCAATGGCATTCTGCAGTGCAGCGCAGTCTCAGGGAAGAGTTAACAGATTCAGTGTTGCAAGAGGACATTCATGCCGTGGTCTCAGTGCAGCATCTCTGCGCTAAAAATAGAAGCATGCAGCAAAATGGACCAGTGCTATTTACAGCACTTCTGAGGTCCTACATCTAATTACATACATCTAGTCCATCGCAAGGACCTGGGCGGATGCAGGGTATTCTCTCACCCTGTGGAATGGGGTGATGACACAGGGCTGTAAACTGGATTTCCTGACATACCTGAGCAGAAACCACACGCGTGTGACAGCATGATGGTTGTGTGAGAAGCAAGGAGGAGCATGGAGGGTGTTAAACTTCATTGGGACACTATTTCCCTAAATCCACCTTATACCCCCCCCCAATCCTAATGAGCAGAACTTGCCCTTGCAGCATTGAGAAACGTCTCACGTACAAGCAGCTCCACACTTCGAAGGACATTTAAGGGACACAGGCGTCCGTTTGGCCTCACAAATAAGGGAATTAATCAAAATTCCTTTATTTCCAATGCAGAGAATTACCCCCCCCCCCCCCAAAAAAAAGGCAGCGCTTTACTCGACTATTAGCAGTTTCTTACAGTGTGACTGAGGGATTATGTAATGACACCTGGTTTCCGGGGAGACATTCGTGATGGGCGCCAAGTCTTGGTAATGATTCATTGAAAACAACTGCAGAAATAAAGAGGACATCACGCATTTTTCCGCATGACGCGAGATGACCGCCGCGTAGTTCCCCGGTCGGAAGAGCTCCGTGGTTCCTACCGTTCTGAGAGGAGACGGACTGAAGCAGCAGGGCTCCGACAATCGCCACCGAGTAGGACATGACTGCGGCTCTTCGCTCGCCAGGTGTCATCTTCGACGGGAAGGAATGCCGGCCACGCGAGCGCTGAGGTGACCCGAGCGGGATGCGGGATGCGGCGACGCTGAGGCTCTCTCCTCCGCAGACTCTCCACCCCGTGTGGCGCAGAGACAGAAGTGGCGCTAGGTAGGCTGGCGGGAGTCCTTTGCGGTCTACCTGTGCGGCTCTCTGCCGTCAGCCCCGGTGCAGCAAGTGAACCACCTTTTTTTTTCTTTTTTTTTAAACCACCCCGTTTTATCTTAAAATCCCGCGAGATCTCGGAGCAGAGACGAGCCGGTACATCACACAACGTCCCGTCTTAAAGTGGGGCAGAAATCAATTAACTTTCTATTAAAATAGACAACAAGGACGACAATTTATTTCTCAGGCATTTTTTTTTCACATAGTCATTTAACACTTAGAGGCCACTTGTGAAAATGTGTTTGGAACCACGTGTTCTCGGGGTTTAGATTTGCAATGGTAAATGGAGATTAGTTACCTTGGTTTACTGTAAATTAACAGGGCAATAAAACGTTGATGCAACTATGGTTGAGCTGTTATTTACTGGTTCTAACAGCCATGTGATAATCAATCAGGACCGAGTCATTCTCAGGTATTGATTCAACTGTAATGCCACCCAAGGCTCAACAAACCGCGACTAGGCCTTAAACTGTGGGTCAAGTAGTATCTTAGTCTGACATAAGCCCTCACCTCAACAGCACACGGGGCTTTACGCAGTAATCCGATTTCTCTTTGAACTAATGACTGTCTCAAGCACCGACAAACCAGCGTTAGTTTGTGTGTGTGTGTGGCCAAAACACTCTTCACTTGCGGTTAGTTGTTAATGCCATTGGATCATTTCATTGTCATTGGTGTGACTATGATGCAATGTGTAATAATGAAACAATTGAAAACACATCAAGATCATATCCCATTTAATATATATTGAATGTAAAGAGCATTTTACAACAAATAAGCAAGAATGTTCTGATATAGCCTGAACAAAATTCAAGCAAGGGATTTAAACATGCATCTTATCTCCTGTGATATCATTTATTGATAAAACAATGTCAAGAAAAACCAGCCAAAATGACCTGGCAAAACATATTTGTCCCGTATCACAACTGATAAAAAGTACGGACTATCCATGCAAAACCTTTTTTTCCCCACTTGTTCTTAAGTCACAAATGCAGGAGAAAGAACCATTTAGATGAGATATTTCTTCACTAGGTTTTGAAGCAACATGTACGTACACGTTTCATTTCGTTTTTGTTAGATATGATTTCATCAGGGGAGAAGTTAAAAGAATGTAATTTGCCAGGAGTTCCTCGTGGTTCACCACAACATATTAAAAGCATTCATTTCACCACCTTCTACTAAATCTCTTTTCACATTTTTGAGAAAAACAGCCGTTGTCCCCGTCACTGCTTCGAAACCCATATTTCTGCCCTAAAATGGGAGTTGCTTGGATTCAATTTCTTAAATAAAAAATGGACCAGATCAGCATCAAAACAATGAGCATCTTTGCTTTTGAGTCTGTTAAAAAAACCTTGATGTTGACCCATCCTGATTCAGATATTTCTTTTTATTTAAAAACGTGGTTCAGTATCATTGATTGAGGCAAATGCTTCTTGGTTCGTTGGTTCTGGAGGAGACGTTTTGAGTTGGCAGTTAACAGTTGTTAAAGGTACTTGGTATAATGCTATATTTCGGGGGAGGGGGGGGGGGGTTGTTTCAAGATTTAATGATTTATTTTGTTCAGGTTCTTTTGTTCTCTGATCATTATTAATTCTAGTTAATTCATTAAGACTTTTTCAGATCAGTCTCTCATTTCTATTGCATCATTAATTGCTTGAATAAAAAAAGTCTGCTTTTGTCTTTCCTTTAATGTATTTCTGCTTTATTTCAAAGGGATGTTATTAATATTCATCACCAGAGGGCGTCATGGAGCCATCGTCATGGGACCTTACGTGCAGGTAAGTATTGCACCTTCTTTGTAAACGAGGATATATTACGGGTACTCAGAAAAGTACTGCTGCAGTTCTCAGCATTCCATGTATAGAAAATCAAATCAATCAGCTTTGAGTAGTTTCAAAATTATTCTTTTTTTTGTTGTTGTTTTTTGGCAGTATTGTTTGGTTTTAAAAGTGCATTTCAAACCATTTCTGTACTCATGATGTTATTTTGCGGTCAGATAAATAAGAGGTTTAAGAGATTCCTTCTATCAGGTCAGTTTGTGTCTCGGACTCTTGTTGGTCCTTGCACCTGTTGAGTAAGATTTAACAGGTTCGTTGACATTCTTTCAGAATAAGAAGTAACTGTTAATGGATGTGGACATTCAAAATAAAAAATCTGGAGTCATCTGTTTCATGTGTCCTCTCAATGAGACTGCATTTTATTGTCTCTCTGTACCTTCAAGATAGGTTGTATCGTAACTTTACGAATGCTATAAGCTTTGGTAACCTCATACACAAAGACATGTTGGGTTGTTGTTTGGTAAATCCTACATGTTGTTTCCCCTGTCATTCATGTTTCACTTTTTTCCCAACTAAAATAATCCTCCACAGTAACCCTGCAATTGAAATGCAAGTGAATGTTACGAGCAAAATAACTGCCAACAAAGCAGCAATGACATCAAGAGACTTGTAAACAAACCAGGACATTTTGGTGGACTGAGTCGTCAGATGACGGGCTCCTTTGTGTCTGATGACATATTCTATCCAAAACACTGCCTGATCCAATGGTTTCATGGGCTTATCTCTGCTCAGCCTTGACAGCCTCTGCATGTTTTCCCTGTAGGAGGAATTGTAGAGAGCCGCCTGGAGGGCATCTGCAAAGACGTGTCTGTCGAGCTCGGCAATATCAAGAATCACAGCCCCTCCCTTTGCTTTGATTCTGGAGAGGTTATCCGGCTGATCAAAGAATAAGGGAAGTCCAACGACAGGAACTCCGTGGTAGATTGCCTCTTGTACTCCGTTAGTGCCTCCGTGGGTCACGAACACTCGCGTTTTGGGATGTCCTAAGAGATCTTTCTGTGGCAGCCAGTTGACCAGTAATGTGTTGTTGCCCAGGTTTGCTGGCCTTTGTCCCACATACCTCCAGACGACCTTCTGAGGCAGCTGGGCAAACGCTGCAGCAATCTCCTCAGCGATATCTTGAGGGAGCTCCCCGACCAAAGTTCCCAGAGTCATCATAACGACCCCGTGATCTCCAGAACCCTGGACAAACTCCTCCAAGTCGGCAGGGAGTGGCTTCGGGGGCTTGCACTGAAATCCACTGATGTAGATTATATTTGGCATTGTGGGACGTGGAAATTCAAAGACAAAATCATTCCTCATAAGCCAGATATCTGCATCCAGGAAGAACGTTGAGTAATCCACATCCAGACCAAAGTGCTTTTTCACAACTGGTTTGTAATAAGGTTCTGTGATGCACGACATTGTGTACATCCCCAAATTATAGCTCAAAACATTCTTTATTCTTTGTGGGAAGGTCATTTTATCTGTCAACTCTGTTGAAGTGAAAGGAATGTATGACAAAGGCGAGGGGGCCATGAGGAAATGAGCCTCCCCTTGAATGGTCCATCTGACATTAAAGACAAGAGGAACTTGGAGCCGACGTGCCAGCATTGCCCCGACACCGACACCGGGGTCGGTCAAAACAACATCATATTTGGCTTCAAGGAAAGACTGCATCAGGTTTTCATCTTCTAACATCTGAACGGCTATTTCACTCATCCCCTTGTGAAACTGGGAGAACTGCTCTACAACCAGTCGCTCTATTTGGATTTTAGTCCAGATTTTGGACCAAAAAGATCCATGCCTACCCTGAAGCCGGATCTCCAGCTGTCGAGCCAAAAAGGCTTCAAAGTACTTTTGGTTAAATCCACCAGGACTAGAAATAGTGACAGAAGTGTAGAAAGGAGACTTTTCAGTGATGTACCAGCTATCAGAGGGCCGAACCACGGTGATCTCGTGGCCTCTGGCATGCAGCTCCTCTATGATGACTTTCATATTCACCCAATGGCTTCCGTCCAATGGGAACACCAGGATTTTCCCCCAGGATGAACTGGAGAGTTGAACCAAGAGTAGGGCAAAGATGATCAGAGATGACCGAAGCGCCCTCATGCTGACGTCCCTCAGAGACCTGCAATTTGCACAAAAAGAGATGGAAATAGATATTTGTTTTCTTTACAATCGTGTTAGAACATAAAATGCAATGGTAGATAAGAACTTTTCAAACTAACTGAAACACTGAACTTGTCATCATCATTATTTACTTGTACTCTAAGACAAATGTCCCCTCTATAAACTTATCAAACGCCTCATTCATATAGCAGCTTGAGGGTAAAACACACAAATCAAGTAATGAAAGTCAATAGACTTCTAACTAAAATGATCTTCTGTTTATGCAATCAGAAGATGCAACTACAAGACTTGCAGACACGTTTCAACGCACATTCGTAACTGAGTATTTTCGTCACACTTACCTAAATCTACAGGTGCAGAAAAGTCAACAGCTGTATCACTTATTCAACAGGTCCCAAAGTTTGAAACTAGTCCTAGCCTGTCCCTCAAAGTCATGACCAGTTAGCATGTAGTAACATGTGGTGCACTTTGAACAGCTATATTGTGTAACAAGGTGTGTCCTGCTGCACAAAGTGTCCTTGTTGTGTAATACGGGTCCGCGTACGTTTTGATAGTCCCTTTTACCGTAAAAAAAAAACAAAAACGAAAACACTCGTTTTCTCGTTTTTCAGGTTTTCTCGTTTTTCCTTTTAAATCCAAAACGGATTCAACGAAGTTGACAGTCGTTTTCGAGTTTTTCGTTTAGAACCAAAAAATGAGACACTCCGTTAATCCCTTTTAGGGTTTTGGCCATAAAACTAAAATATGAAGCCGAGCCGCTAAACCGGAAGTACGTAGATTTTCATAGTAAGAGTCAACGCAATGGAACGTTTATGCTAGAAATCCGTCTGCGATGCCAGCGGTTAAAAGTTCATAAACACCGTGTCTTCTCTGGGCAAGCGGACAGCCACATTCATGTGCGTCGATGTGAGGACGACGGACCGTTTCTACTCTCTGGTCCGTGATCTGAAGCAGTTACGAGGCCAGCTGGACGCAGTCGTTGACCTGGTCCCAAGGGTGCCAGAGGTCTACAAAGCTGCAGACACTAAAGACATTTTGAACTGCCTCAAGAAAGATGTATGAAGTTGCCCATTATTTGTGCATTTTACATTTATTTCTAAGGTTTTTCTGTCTGAACTTTATGTGAATATTCGGTTTAACTCCACTGAATATTTTGTTTGAATACAGTATAGAAGTTGTTAGATATCTGCATGTTATAATGTATAAACTATTTATATTAATGTGAGAAATAAATAAGATTTTTGCAACAAGACATGGTGTTTCTCATAACTATAAATTGCAATTTGAAACAATGCATACCTTTAAGTAAAATTAACTATGAAAGTAATTGTAACTAAAATAAGCGAGTTGAAATAATTTCTCAGACCTAGTTAACACAATGCATGATTTTAAGTTAAGTTTATTTTAAACATACATGCTAAGTTGAATAAGCATGTACTATACAGTCATGAGAACTTACAGAGATCAATCCAGAGCTAAGTAAAACAACATTATGAGTTGTACCAAATTGTAAATCCAATTTGATTTGACTCAAAAGTGTAAGGCAACTTTTGAACTTATGTTTGTAAGTTAAACCCCCTTGATTTTTTTTTACTGTGATGCAGATGTATTTTCATTCATGTACACAGCAATACGCATTCAAATCGGTACACTGTTTGATGCAATATAGTTGATAACGTAGGTAATAATATAGCTAAAAATATAATTCAATCAAAGTGGTTTATTGTCATACACTCATTGCTCTTGGCTCTGATATTTATTTTCCACGTATTATGTTGCTTGAGTGAACGCAGACAGTCCAATGAGAGGCAGAGTAAACGTGTTCGTATCTCCACCAGTTGGTGGCAGAATACGTGTATTTAAACCATAAAATTTAATTATATTAAACTGTTTATTTTATTTATCTAGGTTATTACGGATGTATTTAATGCAGTTTATTGTATGTGATTTTTATGGTTCATTTGCAACCATTGTTGTATACATCTTGTTATATTTATTTCATGGAAGAGGGAACATGTGTTTATTAAGCAATGACAGTTTATGAATAGCGATGTTTGTTTTCATTAATTCTGGTTTATTCGTCACAAATCGAACGGTTAGGCCCAAGAGGTCAAAGGGCCCTGATGATAAGAAATAATGTTGGTCAAATGCTGCGGTATAAGGAAAATGACTTGTATGGCTTTATGGTATTCATTTTGACTGTAGAATATTCTACATTTTTCTCACGAGACAAGAACAATTAAGAAATGAATTCATTCTCTTTTCGTCATTGCCTCCATGTTTGCTTTCATGTGACCCTTAGAGTGACCTCTGGAGCTGTGGACGGATCCCACCGTCAGGTTACTAAAGTCACAGGTCACATTTATCCTGAGGACACTGGAGGAGTCACATGGTAACTCTGGAGGTGGACAGAATCTGTCCACAGGACAACTAGTAACCGTGTACTCCACAAACCTGGCTTTGATAGAAGAGTGGCAAGAAAAAAGCCGTTGGGAGTTTTCCACAAGCCATGTGAGAGGCACAGCAAACACGTGGAAGAAGGTGCTCTGGTCAGATGAGACCAAAAGTGAACGTTTTGGCCTCAATGCCAAACGCTGTGGTGGACAACCAACACTGAGCACAACATGCCAACAGGGAAACATGGTGCTCATGGCATCATTTCACATTCTATATTTGACCTATTTACAAGTAAAAGAAAGAGATAAAAATAACAAGTGCTGACAATGTCTTCTTGTAACACCAATCAGGCATTTGAGTCCATCTTGAAAAATTGTGGCAATTTATTGAGGGCACTGTCCAGCAGTACAATAACATCTGTAAAGCACATTCCATCTCTGCAGCTTCCTGATCCCGAGCACTTAGTTGTTGCCAAAGTGTGATACTTGTGTTAGTGAGTCCACCTACTCTGCAGCTACTGATGCATCCGGCTTCGCTGTCCCGGTAACTACTACTACTCTTCCTTAAAATAAGAATTGAATGTTTAACAATTATTTTCTGTTGGAAAAAAAATGTCTCTGTGCAATCGAGAAGCTGCCCTAAAATCTGGCTTTGAGGTGGAACAGACCTGGACACAATCAGTGTTAACTTAAGGCTTATCTTTATCAAAATAGTAACAAATTTTTGTTGGAACACAGACCAACATTAGATCTTCTCATTATTTGACCCCTTCAGTTTAACTATTCAATTCAGGATTGAAGTGTGACAAATAATGATTATTCTTAATGTTAAAGAAACAAAAAGTCTCTATTTTTATTGTCATTATGTATTACATTGTGATCAACAAACAACAAATTAGAGGTATGTTTGGTTTTTAAATAAAACAAGATGAATACCACAATGGTTGTGAATGAACCCTAAAAATCACATGAAATAAAACAGCAATAAATGCCTCGGAATTAACAGATACATAACTTAAACACAGTTAAATATAATAAAATCTATGGTTCAAATACACGTATTCTAGTGGTGGAGATGTGAACACGTTTACTCTGCATCTCATTGAACTGAAGCAACACTTGCGCGGAAAATAAATATTAGAGCCAAGAGCAACGAGTGTGCTACTTTTGCTGACACACATTCCATCGGACCAGGATTATTTATTTATATCGATTAAGTAACTGGTATTCTAATGTTACCCTGGTAACCGCTGGCGTCGCAGACGGATTTCTAGCATACAAACGTTCCATTGCGTTGACTTTTACTATGAAAATCTACGTACTTACGGTTTAGCGGCTCCGCTTCGTATTTTAGTTTTATGGCCAAAACCCTAAAAGGGATTAACGGAGTAAAAATTTGTGAGTTTGTCTCGTTTTTTGGTTCTAAACGAAAAACGAGAAAACGACTGTCCACCTCCGTTTTACCGTTTTGGATTTAAAACGAAAAACGAGAAAACGACTGTTTTCGTTTTCTGTTTTTTACGGTAAAAGGGACTATCAAAACGTACACGGACCGACCACCGTGTTCTGTGTACAAAGAGAGAGAAACTCACTATTGGGCCATCTAGTGTCAAGCTGGTGTATTGAATGTTATGTTATATGGCTCTTGATTGTTACCTGAGGGGAGCAGTAATATAAATTAGTCAATGTTGTCACAGCTTCTTTTAGGAGTTTAACCCCTTAAAACCCCTTAGGTTACTCTGTAGACCTTGTCGTAGGTTGCACGCTGGGTGAGAATGTTTTATCTGAATACAGTACTTTTCAGGGACTTGGAGATGTAATGTACAGTTACACAATATCACAATGCAGTAGCTAAAGAAAACATTTTCCTTAACCAAGATGAACTGGAGAGTTGAATTTAGAGTAAAGCAAAGGTGATTGCCCAATATGCATAAAGTCCATGTTACTGCAACGACACTTAGTGTTTAGTTGTGAGCAGAACACATTGATCTAGTTAGTCAGTATCTAATGTTTATTTGCACATGACCACTTCCCTAGAGGAGCAGTGAAATCAAAGGAAAGACCTAAAAAACGCTATAAATATTGTTTTTGTTGTGGTAAAACAAATGACAATAAATGAAATATCCCCCACAACAACCAACACGAACTGGCCATGTGGCTTTTGGTGGTTGTTGAGGTCGGATTTCATGAAATAATAAGAAAATGACAAAACCACAGATAAAATAAAACACAATTAAGTGATTTAAAATTTGAGTTGAGCACTGTCAGTACTGTCAAATTCCAGTGACAGTGTTCACCGAGGATCTCACCCTCCAGCCCTTTGTTGTTGTTCTCACGCTAATGTGCGAGATCCGTAGACCCGACTCCACTGCGCGGCCACATCCCGCCCCGACTTCCCCTCAGCCAGCGGCCTGGTGGTTGGAGATGAGTAGAAGATGTCGGTTTCGGGGCTGAAGGCCGAATTGAAGTTTTTGGAGTCCATTTTTGACCCAAACCACGAACGATTCAGAATAATAGACTGGAAACCAGATGAACTCAGTTGCCAATTCAACGTCACCGGAGAGAAGCTGCTGATCATTCACTGCAACATCACGGTGAGCCGAGGCCAGCTCTGCGCACAAGCTAACCCAGCCACTGACTATCGACTGAAACCCAATCATTCCGTGGGGACGGTTCCGTGTTTACAAAACTGCAATTTGAAGTGTTCGCTTGTATTTTCCTGTTGTGTGTAAAGCCACCAATATTTAAGAAACCCAGTTGAGGTTGAAGTAAACAACTGGTACTGGTGTTGAATTCACTTTAGAAAAGTGTGCGCGAAAACGTAGTTTCACTAACGACGCCGCGGTAGCTTTTTGCTAGCACAACGTAGCGGCAAGTACCGTGGACGCTAGCTTGTCTTGTTAGCCTAAATAACCATTTGTGGTGCTACGTATGCTAACTTTATAATTACTGAACTGAATCCCGGGCTAATTTAATGTTAACGTTATTTAAAGTTAGCTTAGTCATAGGGGAAGTTTCACAACAGCCCGGCTGTTTTAATAAATACAAGAATACAATTATCTACACAGGCATTCCGCTGAATTACGCGTTCATATATATATATATATTTAACGTTAAATAAAGATTGTTCAACAGTGAGTTGTTCCACTGTGTTTTGTCCCCTTTTCAGTAAATAGACAGACCCCTTTGGCGAACGCATATTAAAACGGTGACGCTATCGCTTTCCTTAGCAAGGCTAGAATTCAATATAACGTCGAGAAGAACTAAGGTTAGCACTATCCTCAACAACTAATAATGTGAGCGTTTCCGTACATGTATTATGATTGCGTAGATGTTTTTTTTTTATGCAGTGCAACAGCAGCTCTTCTAAGCGGTGCATATTCATCAGTAGGGTGATGATGTGAATAATCTTGAAACTTGTGCCAAACGCGTTAAGTCGTGTGAAGGAAGAGGGGCCGTCGTTTTCATGGCACCTGTATTTGTATGAGTCGAGTGGTGCAGTTCGCTCGAACGCCACCCGATCATCCTCACCACATCCTCCTCTCTCCCACACACGCAGTTACACTTCAGCTCGATTTTGAGACACAGACGGGGCCTGTTATAAAATAAATTTATAGCCGTGTCATGTTGACACTCAACTCAAGCTTGAAGATGCCAAAGTACACTGAGTATCGCAATATGAATCTAGAAAACAGAAAAGTGAGTCGGTCTGGTCCCCCTGGTAACGCGAGCCATGCATGTTCTCCATGTCTGATTAGCTGGATCATGTGTGCTTACCAGCTCTTGAGGGGCTGAACACACCTCATCCAGACATCAGTCATGATTAGAACAGGTGGAGATGGAGAATACTCAGGCTTTTTTACTCCATGGTAGTAGGATTGAGAGCCACTGCCATCTTTATGTGTTGATTCTTGTCACTGTTGTGTGGGGCATGTTCCAACACGAGTATCGTCTTTGAGTTTTTTGCTTTATGATGTTTTACGAATGCCAGATCCCCAAAAAGAAATACAGATAAGTAAAATGTTGAATAGCGCCCACTCCGACATACAAATCATGATTCTGATGGACACTCTGATACAGCTGGCTCGGCACTCGACAGCGAATATGTGTCTGAAAACCAAACAATGGCGCCCTGTGTCAGCCACGGTGGGTTATACGAGGCATTTAAGAACACAACAAATGGTTATTGCACAGTACTTTAAAACCCCCCCGTAACTAACATCAGACTTAAACAACTGCCATCAGTTGTCAAATGACTTTGTAAAGATAGGAGTTGTAAACATAGGAGTCTTTCCCATCTCTGGCAACCGTCCCATATATAACAGGACACTGTATTATACACTCTCAGTCCTAACCAACCCATCTGTCGCTTTTACACATAAACATCACCACAGCTGTATAACTAAGTGCAGCATTTACTGGAAAGAGTTGACGATAAAAGCATTAAAACACAAGCATGACTTCCTATAATTCCATGTACCGCTGTTGACTCTGTTGCAGGAATCTTATCCCTCAACACCGCCGATATGGTTTGTTGACTCCGATGATCCGAGTCTGGCAGAAGTGTTGGAGCGCTTGGAGGATGTGAGAAAAGGCAGCACATTGGTGGGTTGGCCGACACGGATGCAGGCTTGCTCTGGATGAGAATGACACATGCATGTATTGCTGCGACAGCGGAGACTTGGTGGATTTGCTTAATGGCAGTCAGCGTTTCGTAGTTGATGTCTTGTCTTTCTCGTCTCTCCCGCAGCTCCTTCAGCAGCTGAAGCGCCTCATTTGTGATCTCTGTCGGCTTTACAACCTGCCTCAACATCCAGATGTAGAAATGCTGGACCAGCCGTTACCAACTGGACCGATTACCCAAGAGAGAAAGGTACTCTCTTGAAAAAGGGTAATAAATGCACTGTTTCTGTGTCTCGCTTCCATTTTAAAACGCCATATTTGTCCACTCCCAACGTGTCTTATCACTGCAGCATGGGCCGTCAGATGAGGTGACATCTGAAGAGGAAGAAGAGGAAGAAATGGGCGAGGTAGCCATATGTATTAATTAATATTCTATATAGTTTAAAGGTCCTTTTTGTTTTACATCCTGTATCTAAACATGACATTGATACACTCACAGCAGGACATTGACCTGGACCATTACGACATGAAAGAGGAGGAGCCAGTGGACGGGAAAAAGTCAGAAGATGACGGGATTGAAAAAGAAAATCTGGCCGTCTTGGAGAAGATTCGTAAAAACCAGAGGCAGGATCACTTGAATGTAAGTACTTACTGAGGTTTTGTTTGTCTTTATTCAGTTTTGATGACTGTAATGTCAAACATTGTGCTCGCTGTAACTACAACGTGAAAATGACACAAGCAGTATAAGATAGTAAATGTTCCTGCTTCATGGCCTAATTGTGTCCCACACTGCTGTGTACAAATTAAGTGGTTCATTAACCCGATGGTTAGCAGTTATTTGTCCAATCAGGAACCATTTGGCTAAATGTAACAAATGATTGGACACCAACCCGTCCCCTGGCTGGTTTGAGCCACCGGACGATTCCTCTTTTTCATTCCTTCAGTTTCCTCATTTTCACGTCGACAGTAACAGTGCGTCCAAAATACGGACTCCTCATTCTTTTCCCTGCTGACACTGTGTGCCTGCTGCCGCAGAGCGCTCCCGCAAAAAGAAAAGCAAGGCTATCCAGCCAAAGGAGTAGTTTGCATCAGGCAACGCAGAGCATGAAAGAGGCCAGCCGAACTCTGAAACAAAGCACGAGGCGACGACTTAATGGAAAGCTGATCGGACCATTACTGCATTGGAACACTTCATCATCAAGGGGGTTTTTGTAGTTTGGTAACTCAGCACCACTCTGGTGGTGACTTTCAAATCATTTATTGCCATAATATGTCAGACATACAAGGAATTTGACTTGGCGGTTGGTGCGTAACAGCAGACGGTACGACAATGAACAATAAGACAACAGAGCCAGAGGATTAAAATATAATGCTATGTTATGCATTATGCTATGAAAATGATCAATTGCCGATTGACAGAAGTGTACAGGCCTTCAACCGTCGTGGTGCTGCAGCGCATCTTATTTAACCAGGTGTCCTAGCGTCTGTGTGCTTTACGGTTGTGACTTGCGTTGCAGGGTGCCGTGTCTGGCTCTGTGCAAGCCTCAGACCGCCTAATGAAGGAACTCAGGGAGATCTACAGGTCACAGAGTTACAAGACAGGTGACTGCACTGACACATTTCCCCTCCCCGATGCCTTCTAATGCTTGCACATCTCATCAGCAGGTCAAATTAAAGCTCTGTGCTGGTGTCGTGTATTTCCTAGGTATTTATTCATGTGAACTAGTCGGCGACAGCCTTTATGAATGGCACGTCAAGTTAAGGATGTAAGTTGCCAAATTCATTTGCTTCTCAACTTCTACAAATATTGTGTTGCACATTGCTTTGTTTTTTAATTCGACGTGTTGTTCTGTGTCACAGGGTAGACCCGGATAGTCCATTACATAGTGACTTGCAGGTCTTAAAAGAAAAAGAAGGAGTGGACTACATTCTGCTCGATTTCTCTTATAAAGTGAGTCCTGTAATAATATTTGTCAGTGTTTTTATTTGTGAAAAAGTTTTCTCGAGACTCAAAATCTCCTTTTTTTTAAAAAAAATTCTTCACATTACAGGATAATTTTCCTTTTGACCCTCCTTTTGTTCGGGTTGTCTCCCCTGTGCTCTCCGGAGGGTGAGTTTGAGCTCTCCCTTATTTGCAAATGAGTCGCTCTGATGTTGAGTCACTGGCTCTTGGTCTACATTGTTGTGGGCATCGTTTTCTAGAGGAAGTGTTAAGCTTTGTTGGGAGAGATTTGAAGCACACAAAGTGCAGCTTTTACACTAGAATGATCCTTTTTCTTCTCAGTTATGTTCTGGGAGGAGGGGCCTTGTGCATGGAACTTCTCACAAAACAGGTTTGTAATTTAGTTTGGCGTAAGGTTTGACATAATGTTCCACATCTTCCAAAAGCAGAAGTAATGGTGTTTTGTGTGTTTTCAGGGCTGGAGCAGTGCCTATTCCATAGAATCTGTCATTATGCAGATAAACGCAACATTGGTTAAAGGAAAAGCCAGGGTGCAGTTTGGAGCCAATAAGGTAAGGGACGTCAAACATTTGTCTGACGGAGCACAGAATGTAGTCGAATTGTGATACTTAGACACACTGCAGGACGGTTTTTATTTAAGGCAGCGGTGTCAAACATACGGCCCGCGGGCCGGATCCGGGGAGAAAAACATAAATTGCATTTCTATAAAAGTAGCTGCTATTCCTAAAAAGTCCACCGGGGGTCGTACTCTGTGAGTCGACCGTACCATCTACGTCCGCCCACCCGGAGGGGGGCAAGAGAGAGAGACTATATAAGACGTGCAAGTTCAGCCAGACACCAACATGTGAAATTCCATTTAGAAAAAATGTGTTGACTGTAGTTTGCACCGTTCTTACTGCACAGCAAGCTGTGGCTGCGCGTCTAACAAAACATTATTGGGTTTTTCAGAACCAGTACAATCTTGCCAGAGCACAACAGTCGTACAAATCCCTTGTGCAGATTCATGAAAAGAATGGTGAGTAATTGTTACTGAGTGGTTCTCACACACACACACACACACACACACACACACACACACACGCACAGTGGTTTGGATCCAGTGGCAAAGGGGTTTGTCTTTGTGTCTTTACAGGCTGGTACACACCACCTAAAGAGGACGGATAAGGAGCTACTACCACTATGCACTGGGAACATGTCTTTGGGTCGAAGTATCTTGTTTTCTTTGGAATACACCCCCCCCCCCCCCTGACTTGACTGGGATTATATCATCCTGTTGGCGGAAACCCTCTTGTTGGCTCATCTGACAAGTATTCCTTCGCCCCGGTCCAGTCGAGACTGTATTCTGGTATCACTTTGCTTCTCCCCTCAGTGTTTTAGTACGGAAGATAATATGTGGATATCACTCGTCCTCAATCCTACGTAGGCTCGTTTGTCTTTAAAAAAAACATTTCTCCCTTTTGATTTTGGGGAAGTGATTTTTCTTTAGCTGCTGTGACAAAGTGGGCTTTACAAACAGTTACTCCTCTAAACGGGAGTTTTAAACGAAGATACTGAAGCTCTTGATGTGGCACCTTCCTGCACCTGTTTTTATTGGCCTCATTCCCCCCCCTTTTTTGTTTTGCAAACTAACTGGTACATGAATGCAAATATTATAGACGTATTATTCAGCTATTGTTTTTAATATTTGAGCATAATAGACAATAAATAAATTAAACATTTTGGAAGCTTATCTCAATATTGAGATGAACTCTGTTTTAGCTCTTACTGTTTTTAAAATATATGAAGAATATCGGGTCAAGCAGTATCAAGAGGATGTTGAACTAAGATTAACTGTTGTCTGTGAACAAATCCACCTGTAGTTGATAATAAAATAGGGCCAAAACATCTCACAATTTCCATGTTATATATCATGAGTGAGGAGGAAATGGATTTTTCCACCAGATGTCAAAATGACCGATGGGTCATCATTTGAGACCTTTTTACAGAATCTAAAGAGCTTTTTTTTTTTGCCTCATGTTCTGTTGCTACAACAACCCCGTAAGCGTTCAGTTTGGTTACTGGTCTTTTCGTTGATTAAAGCTGCGGAGGTTGATGTCTAGTTTGATGCTAAAATGAAGCCCTGTGTGTGTCTCTACTGCTGTTCTACAAGATTTTAAGCAGACGCGCACTGGGATTTGCTTTACAGAAGGAATAAATGAAACGTGTTTAGATGTGTTTGGATTTTTTTGCATAATATTGCTCAGTTTAGCGGAAAATGTGTTATTCATATCTTCCTGACGTACATGGATTGTAGATGCTTTTCCTGCCCAATTTAGTTTTGAAACTGCTTCCCTGCTCTACGACGTCCACCGTTGCCACAAATATGATTCGGCATCAACTTCGTTGTCTAAAAAGATGGATCATTCCAAACTTAATTGAAACTCTAGGATGTTGTACGTTTCAGTTTTGACCAGGCAACATACCGTAGTACTTCCTCCCTACCGCCGCTTGTCCTACTGCAGGACGAACTGGATCTATTAATCCGTTTACTTGTGAAACTGTTTGAATCGCACCTCAGGGAACAAACAATACTTAGGAGGGGAATCGGAACTTGATTGAGCTTGCAGTTTATTTCTTTAGATTAATGAACGCTCTGTACAGCTGACATTGATGCTTACACACACACACACTCACTGATCAGATGTCAAAAACACATGAGCTTTACAGTAACATGGGTCGGGTGTTTCTCTTAATTGCATTAATGAAAGGAAGGACAGCAGTAGCATGGTGACTACCCCGCGTAATGGCGCAATGATTTCCCCACTGTAGTGTTTAATGCTTGGTTGTTCGTCCCAAGTACTGAAGATTTGATTTCAGCATCTGATCTTTGAATACTCTTTTTAAATGAAAAAAAACATTTGCACAACTGACAACAACGTGCCTGTAGAGGTCAATTATAACAAACGCATTCTGATCTAAATAGCTGAACGTCAGGAGGAATGATTTTTTTTCCCAGCACGCATCCTGTTACATGTCTGATGAAGAGCGAGGACGAATCATCAGGTCTCTAAAACCAGAGGTGTCCTCATCCAAAGGACTATTGAGAGACATTTGAGAGTTTCGTGGTCGGGATGTGATGAAAGGACTTGCACGCTAATCCAACTGGACTGTGGTTTTGAAATGATTCGTTCATCTCAACTCCCAACTCATTTTCTGGCACCAACAAAACAAGTCTGGCACCTTTTTGGCTCGCTTTAGTTTTCTTTTATTTCTCATTTTAAGACATTTTGACTGTGTACAGTAATTTGTAAACTTGCATCAAGTTTATGAATAAAGAATTTTAAGATTATTGCTGTTTTACTGGTTTCCCTGTTATTTTTTTCACTGCTGCTTAATGGATTGCAGATGTATTGGGCATATGTTTATATTTTATTTAATGAATAAAATGATTTACTGCTGATACAACTGTCCTACTGATTTGATTTTGTTTAAAAGTGTTGTTTCCTGTCTGGCTGCATTAAAGAGGTGTTAATTTAAATTTAGTTTTTACAAGGATGACGTCTTAAAAAAAAAATGCTATAAATGAATTCAAATATCTTTGCGATTAGATACACATCCACACATTTTCAATTGAAAGTCCAGTAACGGCGTCTCTGCAGCAGAAGTCCGTCCTCAGCTCGGTGAAATGTGTGAAGTCACTGGAAACATCGTCGCTGAGTCAAACTACGACATCTGACGTGTTTATTTTGATCCTCTAGAGAATCAGCGTATGGTTCAAAGTAGTTTTAAACAAAGGCACGATAAATAATTAACATTTAATTGAGTGTTTTAAAGCATTGTGATAAATCATCTAATATGGTGCTTTGTGTTGCTTTAACAATACTGTAATGTACAAAATGATCCAATAACTAAACGGGATTCAACAATAACTTTTTAATATATATTAGGGTAAGACCAAATAATACAAAAGTAATACACAAAAATGTATTCCTCATTTAGTTCATTCATGGAGACACGGCCTCCTCAAACCTTTCATTCACCAAAGCACAACATGTTTATATTGAATGTGTTTATCCATGGCAAATATTTACCTAACTTCAAGTACTCATATATTTATACCTAGGAATGATATAACACATATCAAACAACATACAGTACACGGGGGAGTTCAGGAGAAATGGCTTTCAGAAGCGTCGATCCAGCAGCGTGAAATGCAGAGTGTTAGTAGTTGCATCCGACATGCGCTGCAGCTCCTGCTGCATGTTGGATGCATAGCTGTCGTTTCCCAAATCACACAGGACGTATCATATAGAAACAAAAAAAAGAAGCTTGGACTGAACCAAATTTATTCCTCGATGCAGACTTTCCACTTGGACCAGCTGAAGTTTGTGCATTTGCTAACGGATGATGTACAGGGAACAATTCATAATCTGCTGGTGAAAATGTTATGCGTGTCTCCATCTGGACCGTTGGTATCCGACCTGAAAACAGGCCCATTTTCAGGCGAATGTTATGGTTACTACTATTCCCGTCTATATTTAAAGCCTGCACAACCCCACTTGATCCTAATAAGATGACTATTTATGTTTCGTCTCCACTGGTGTCATCACTTCACAAGTGCACAACATTATCAAATTAATTATTTTTATTTATAAAAAAAAACAAATTCAAAATCTGTTGCCCACAGCCGTGGGAAGACACGTCATCCAAAATACACAAAATAATAACAACTAGAGTGTAAAACAACAGCCTATTGATCACCACACCATCACATTCAGACAAGACGACAACAGGTTTTGAAAGAGCATTCGGAGACGAATCGCAACTTGTTTCAAGTCTAATACTGTTTTACTGTAATAACCATCTACTGAATCTTGAGGACGTTTTCAAAGACTTGCGTGACACTAAAATCAAAATGAGACGGTCTCTCACTCAACGGCGACACACACACACACACACAAATATTCTGTCTTTTCATTTTACTTCATATAGAAATAATTGGCTCGTATTTTATATTTCCTTTTATGTAAATATCATATCACAGCTACTCATAGAATAACACAGACAGCCACGGAATGACACACTAAGGCCTGAAATCCAGTTCTTCACGAACAAGTAGTCTTTAAGCGTTTACACGGAGGGGTAAGTGGGAGAATTTGCCTAAGGGGTGAAAACATCCATCACTTCATACAATGCACCTACCACAATGATTGTTAATATTTACTGCGTGTCCGACCCTCAAGTGTTTTGGTTTTCTTTCACTTTGAACATGTACTACATTTATTTGGAATGTTTCATCCAATGAAGTGAAGTCCTAAATACTGCATGTGCTTTACTTTGACATGTAATAATTAACTGAAATCAACTGAAATCAAACAACGTAACAAATGACCAGTGCTTAACTGGTCGTGGCGCAGGGGTAGGGAGGGTGCGCTGGGAACCGCAAGGTTGGTGGTTTGGGTCCCAGCTGCCCCATGTTTAAGTGTCCCTGAGCAAGACACTTAACCCCCAATTGCTCCCCGGGCAAAAATGTAAAAAGCCATGGGTTAAAAATGTAATGTAAGTCGCTTTGGATAAAAGCGTCAGCTACATGACCTGTAATGTAACAGAATGGATGCAAAATGGTGATTAAAAGGAGACAAATGCCCAACCTGTTGACACTTTAAAACCTTTGCTGAGAATGGAACAAATATGCTGAATTTAACGAAAAGGTTCACTGAAGCAACTTCTCATCAGGGAAGAAAACATCTACCGTAAACAACGCTTTAGAATATCCAGAGGTTTGCGGATTTGGGAAAATACCTGCTTGACACATTTAGCTTTTGAATTTTAATTTAGTTATTTTATTTAATTCATCGTTCTGTTTTTTTTGTAATTATTAATTTTTACATTTGAAATGCTAATTTTGTCAATATTTTTATCTTGATGAACAGCCTATTTTTCAACAAATGAGTCATAAAGATTACATCAGTAAGAAAACAACTGACCACTGCCAAACATAGTATGCTCCCAAATAATAAACTTAAGTAATAATTTTACCCTTAACTAGATTCACACAGAAAGCAAAGGAATTTGTTGACTCGTCCCTTTAATGACTAACGTCAGCTGACTATTAAGCAGCTACACCGAGGGTAAATATATTATTTAGCGTTTGGTGACCTTCAAGTCGAAGTCGAAGTAAACACTTTACCATATAGCTACAACAGAACACAAAGAAACACATTAAATGTAAGCGATGTTTTAAGAGTGTGACATCACTCTGTGGTGACCACAGACGAGCCGACCTGATTAAACAAATGAAGCTCAGGACGTTTTTAGCTTTATGATGTGTCTCCGTTGGAAAGCAACACGCACACGCACACGCACACGCACACGCACACGCACACGCACACGCACACGCACACGCACACACACACACACACCAGCTAACATTGATCAAAGAAAAAGTAAAAAATAAAACAGCTTTTCTTCATAGCTGGCTGTTGGTTTAAATGTGAAGTGACTTAAATATTAACTCCATGAATGTCCGAATCCAATTAGCGTACACTTCCAAAGACATGACTTTTCCTCTACATTGTTCTGGTTGAATTCAGCGTGTACAGTGTTACAACGAAGGGCGCCTAATTCTGACTTGTGTTCTTAATTGATCCCTTTCCATCTCTCCCCCGCGGCCGCCCGGCCCCCCCTCCTCTGGCCTACATGGGCTCGTCGTAGTTGTAGGTGGGAGCTGCGGAGTACTGGTTCTGCTGCACGGCTCCCTGGGCAGCTCCCATCGCCGCCTGCTGGGCTGCCTGCTGGACGTGGGGGTTCTTCCAAGCCCCGCTGGCCCACTCCTCCTGGGCCTTACCCAGGCTGCCCCCCGTACCACGGTAGAAGTTGTGTACCTACAGAAGAAGTTGTTATTCCCAAAAAATCCCCTCTCTGTAGAGTATGTGGAATGAAGCATGCATCCACCGTGTCACGTTCTTGTCATGCGGGTGGCTGGGAAAGATTCCCATGTTGGCGACTAGCATGCGTGCTAACATTAGCTAGCCAGAATAATTAGCTTCTACTCAAGACGCTAGCTAGCTCAGTAGCTTTGAGTGGAATATAAGCTGCATGAGGAGTTAACATAACCAATGCTAAATGGAAATGGTGGGGAAATGTTGAATTCCTGCTTTTTAGTACGTTGAGCCACTGTGGGAGATTTTAACGTCGACATAATGGCAGACAGCTTTGCGACGGCGCACATTTTTGTTTAAATGAGTGAAAATGTGTTGTCACCTTAGTGAGGGCGATGAAGGAGAGTACGGCCACCGCAGTGAACATGATGGTGGGAATCAGCATCACCACAGCTGATCCAATGTTGGTGCTGAAGAAAGTGATGGTAGCCAGCCAGCCACTGATGGGAACAACAAGAGAGTTAGTAATACCTCACACCAAAGAAAGTGGCACTCAAGACCTATGACCATGCAAAAGCTTTAAATTCGGATATGATAGCTGGGATTTCAGATTCGGCGTGACTTCCAGAGGATAGCGTTATCTCTCCATCGAAAAATAAAGCTGCAAAAACCTGCTTAGAAATCATAAAAAGACACTGGCGCCGTTACAAAGTCATCCGATAGTAGTCGCTACAGCCGTGGGGACGTTTCCCGCAGAGACATAAGCGATATATAAATGCTTGCATACAAGCCACATGAGGTCACTGGATTGAATACCCCCATCATAATTAAAAATATTTCAGAAGAATAGTGCTTTTATTTGTCTCCAATCTTTATTTACGCTTTATAGCAAACATATCGGTTTGTCGAAGCGCTTACCACACACCCCAGCCGGGAATGCCAACGGTCTGGATAATACTGATCACCACCTGCGCCATGAAGACGAAGAAGAAAGCCATGAAGTTGAAAGAGCTGTCCGTCCTGAAAGGAGAAAATAAAAAAAACATCAGAGCACTTAAATTGTACGTATAATGGCGCTTACCTATAGCAAGTTGTAAATCAGCTTATTTAATGAAATTGCACTTTCTTGTTCTTTTGAGTTGGTATCCCTATGGTTGAAATGCACTTATTGTAAGTCAGCTAAACGTAATGTGATCCAGAAGATCAGCAGGTAAAACATGCAGAGTCAGCTCACTTGAAGGCCTTGTAGATGGGCCTGAACCAGCACACGTAGGAGCAAGGTGTGAAGAGGATGAGCCACAGGATGGCCATGCCGAAGTTGGTCGCTCCGCCGCCTCCACACATCCACGCCAGACAGCCGATCAGATTGACGGCCAGCGTGGCGCTGTTCACTGTCGACGTCGCAGAGAAGGAGGCGAGGATGACCGAAAGGAGACAGATTGAAGACAAAAGCCTCCATAGTGAATCTCCCACAGGCTGCGTTACTCAGAATTCAGCAGGAATGACTCACTCTGAATCTCAGCGACGAAGAAGTTCAGTTCTATACGTACTGTAAGCTATAATGTAGCACCCACAGCACACGGTTTGTATTCTACACTTTGTTAAAACTAATCTACTTTCATATCAGACTTACGTTCCTGTTTTCAGGTGGCAGAACCTATGTGGTGAGGAGAAAGATACCATGATGCGCACATGAATGCTCTTTTCACATTACACTACACTGTTATCATAAAGAGCTGTTTTCTTTATTTATGGATCTGGTCTATATGATGACCAAGATTGTGGATAAAAGTCGCTGAGAGCCTGTGATGTCTTCAAGCATTTTTCGAGTTTTCTCACAAAAACTTAAGACATTCAAACTTTAGTGAGTGACAAGAAAAGCAGGAAATGTTCACATTTAAGAAGCTGGTGCCAGATAAATATGCTAACTATTACATTTCTGCAGATGAACTTCCACCCGAGCTCCCCTTTCAGATTTGTAAAGATTGTTAGTCGACAGAAAGACCGAAAAGCGAATGTGTCAAACAGAAAATAGACACAATATATCCATCCATGGATGCATGAAAAGGCACGAGATAACCTTAATGATATCCTCTGTGACTGTTGGACTGGTCAATCTGGTCTCACAGCTGTGCCGGACTGTCTGCCATGTTTAGTTCTCATGATGTTTGGGGTTAAACAAAGTGACACGGCACAGAAACACAGAAGCCGAGGACAGGTTTACAGCTTATGCTGCGATACCGGGAACCCACATGAAACGTGAGTTGCAGTAAAAAATGTTGTGCATGCAATGCTGTACTGCACCTTAGCAGTCTACACAAACGGTTACTGCAGCTATACTCACAGATCCATAGGTAGTAGAGCCTTTTGCACATGGTACGATGTTGGTCTGGGATCTCATTGAAGTCTTGATAAAAACATGGCCTGAGGGGGATGAATCGAGGCAGGGGAGGGAAGTTGTTTTCTAGGACACAAAGACACAGTTCACACAAATCAAGACAGCTGCATGGAGGATTACAAGTTAGAAATGGGTCATTTTTTTGTGCACAGTCTCACATGCATGACGAACAGAAAAAATATAGCTTACCTGCCATGATGCCCGTTCAGTTATCGTCTCCACTTGTAAGACTTTCCTCTCAGCTGCCTTGGAAACGAAACTGCAGAGAAATAACGGAGCTGTTTTATTAAGTGCAGCATCACTCACTCACTCACTCACCCTGCTCTCCTTGTGGGAAACAGGGCCACAATCCTCCATTGGCCTCACTGTGTATGCATGCACACACTTGGAATAAAAGACTTTAAATGCCTGCATGATTTCATCAGATGGGTTGCGGAGCCCCTTTGCCGTATCCACCCCTGACAGATAAATTGACAAGATGAACACGTTTGCTTGCTCACATATTACAGCTGTGTAATCCGCGGTGGGAGGAGGGGGGAGGGGGGGTGACAGTGTGGCCTTGTCGTGCTTTTTAACATGTAGGCTATTCATAACCTAAAGCTATGGACGCAAGATAGGCATTTCCAGGCCTACAGAGTATCCCGATGGGCACATGTATGACTGTATGATATGTTTTCCTGGCTCTTTAACCCACGAATAACGAAGCACCAGAAAGGTTAGTAGAGGGTTACTGTAAAGCACAGTGCAATGCATGTGATGGTGGATGGAGAGCGTGTAGCTCTGAAGGGCATCTTCCTGCCACACAATAAAGCAACCTGTGCCAATAAAAAAAACCGTCTGATCCCGGTCGATCCACATGCATTACGAGCCTTAAACGCTCCGCGGTGACTGCTCGGTTTTTCCGCCGGTGGCAGTGATGCTGCAGCGGGCCACAGTGCATCGTGATCACGGAGGAGCGTCCTTCAGCCCGCACCTCACGGTGCGTCGGTGCTTCCTCTTCATCCGCCCGCCGAAAACTCCTCACAATGCACCATACAGAATACAACGTTTGGTGGGGTTTTATCAATCTAGAATCGGGGTTTATTTTTAACAGCCAAACATTACACCCCCTCCCCCCCCGTTGATTAACGCCTTACCTTCGGTGAAGTCAGTTTAGAATCCCTCCGTTCGTTTAAATAGCAATCTGTGGATTAACCTGCATTAAAACGCGTTGGAGTAAAACGACCAGATCTGCAGCAGCTACGACAGCGTTGCGTTATTCCTCAAATGACGGGCTTGGGAGTAAGAGGTGGTCATGTGACGTCAAACCTTTTCTTTACGCACACATCTCTCCCCTCCCCATCCGCAGGTTTTACCCGCCCGAGCAACATCAAGGCCTAGAAAACAAGGGGTTTTGTTGCTGGCCGGATCCGACCAATCACAAATCAGGAATATGTATACAAGTCCCGCCCCCGTGATGCTGTCCACAGTGCTGAAACTCAAAATGGACTTTACACATTATGATCGGATTGGCCATATCTGTATAGTAATACAAATGTCAGCGTGAACTCCAATAGTGGATTACACATTTGGTACTTTTTGAGAGTGTTTTATACACACGACATCAAAGGCAGGTGTATTTTGTTGCACATTTCGAAAATCAAAGGCTGGAAGAAATTATAACAAATACCTTTTGTTACAGTGGTTCTGAGTTTTCAAACTAGGATTTGTGGTTTTCCATCTGCTGTAAGTTTGTTCATGGCTCTGTGATACAACGCTTCTTTTCCCTGTTTAGTTTGGAATCTGTGAATTTTGAAGGACCAAAGGACCTGGTATTTTAAAAAAGAACAAGCAGCTGTAGAGTTGCAGTGGCTCCAATCTATTTGTAGTTGTTATCACTAGTAAAATAGGCATCAAAATAGTCTTCAACTAATGTGTGAGCTCTGGTACCGTGAATGGAAATGATAGTTTTGTCATAAGTGATCAGTGAAGCAAGAAGACTGAACTCACTGTCCTTTAGATCTTGGTTATTAAAAAATGTTTAAGGTTTAAATCAAGATATACACACAGACACAAACACACACATTTAGACTTAAAGATAACCAACCAAACCAAACCAAACCAAATTTACCGTGCACTTTTGGTTTAGCAGTTTTGTCTTTGTCGCCCCTGCAATTTAAAAGGCCCTGGACATGTGCTGAATGTTGCTTTCACCTGCCTTGTAATTCCCTTGTATTATTCAGGTTGTAGGGCTTCCGGAACATAATAAAGCAAAGCACATTTAAAAATGAACATGTATTGGCATTTTTACCAGAGTCAGTTGTGCGCTCTTGTACTCACTGATACACACCCTCAGCCTTCCCACTCGCCTGATCTGCCACGTTTGTGCTTACTCTTTCGTCAATGCACTAAATTGTCATATGTCCTCTATTTTCTACGGATCTTGAACGCAGCTCTTCGTTAAGCTAACGTTAGCGCTTCCTGCAGTGCTATGAGTTGAGGAAGACCGAAGGTAAGGGAAATACTGATGTAAAACTAGTGTTTTTATTGTGAAATGGCTATGTGTGCCACGGGGAGGTGTTTTTGATATGGTCCGAATTCCGTAGCAGTCAGATAATTCCGCATTCCTCATCGACAACGAGATTCAGCGACTGGTGAAAGTTATTAGCAGATCTTCTGTTGTGCGTTAGCGTAGCTAATGTTAGCTAGCGTAGCATCCTCACACCCTACTAAACGATACAGCAATGAACAGTTCATTAAATAACTTTAACGTTACAGCATCGCTAGCTAACCTAACACAAAAATCTACCAGGAACTTATGTTGTTTGCAGCAAAGATTACGACTCGGGAGGAAAAAACTGCAGCCTCTGTATGACTTTGTTTGTGTTAGTTTATTGTGTTAGTTTGTTATGTTGGCAACAAAAGTTTAAGGGACAGCAGACGTTAACTATTAATGAAAGTAACACCGGGTTTAACTTGAGCTGCACACTCAAAACGAGTTTTTTCACGGTGTGATACCGCATTAAACGTTAGTTTCCCTGTGAGAAAATGTCTTCCCTTCAAAGTAAGAGAAAATGAGGAGGGACTTCACACTTCCGAAATATGACGTTACACCTCCGGATCACGCGTTTTGGGTCACGATGATGTGAAGTCAACCAACCCAAAATTAATCCGACTTTTTTTTAAAGTCTTTTATTTTGTGGTTGAAGATTCTTTATATGAATGATCTGTGGCGTTAAATCGTCTTAATCAATGTAATATTTGTGGAATTTGAATTAATGAATTTCATTTCTCACCATTTTTCCAAAGATCAATTCATTCAGGAAAACATGGATTCATTGTTCCATATGTTGTCACGAGGTATTTGCTCATTCGCCTGTGCTGTCCCATCACCCCTTGTCTCCAGTGGTGGGAATGCAGCCTCCGCTCCCGCCTGAGGCCGTCAGAGAGCTGGTGGTCTCCTGTCTGCACAGAGACCCGGTAGCAGCCGACCTCCGCTGCAGCCTGTTTGTCGCTGCTGCACAGAGCTACAAGAGGGACTCTTTGCTCAGACCCTTCCCCCCGAGATACATAAGTGGTGACAACAAGAACTTTGAGGAGCTGGTAAGATGTGTCCTGACAGCCAACACTCTGATTAGTTGTTGGAGGTATTGGTGCAGAAAGAGGCTGCATGACGACCATTAGCATGGCTTTGCAAATGTATTTTCTTTTAAAAAGTATGTATTTTGGTGAAAAACATTATAAAGTACAGATATATTCAACAACTGCATTTCCACTTTAGTGAAGCAGAGATCAACATATTGTTTCAGCTTAGCAGGTGTTTAAAAACAAAGATTTGTGTCTTTACGAACGTCGTGCCAAACTCATCAAAGGCTCAATGTTCTTTTAGTTCTTTAGTATGCAGGAACTCCTTATATTTCTTCTTAGGCTTGGCACCATAACACACACTGTGTATCACAGTATTGTATCTTGGTTTCTGTGGGCGTTGTCATGTTGTAGAATGACTGGCCCACATTGAAATGACTGCTCTGATTACGAGAGACTCATAATTCAAGGAAACTACATCTTCACACACACACACACACACACACACACACACACACACACACACACACACACACACAGGGAACCGGAAGACAATAGTGTGACTACATTTGAGGCAATACGATTTTTTTTTTTTTTTTTTTTAAGGCTCTTTTTTTTTTCTCCAGTTGGCGGATGTGCAGTCTTTGCCCGGTGTGAGAGAGTTGGTGCGACTACGAGCCAGAGACGGAGATCATCATCTGGCTCTCACACACTGGATTCTCTCTTCAAAGAGCTTTGCTGTAAAGACGCTGCAGAAAGACGAGGTACATCACCAACAGATGTGTCTTCTACTGGCCGCTTCTTTTGCTTACAGCGTGTGTTTCAACTTCACCAGTATGCCAAACTCTGTGACCTGACGGACAACGATGGGCTTTCTGCGCCTGTGCCCGACTTCCTGTTTGAGTTGGAGTACTGCGATCAGATGAACGCCAGGTTTGAGAAGACGAGGGAAGGTAGAGACGTCTTCTATGCATTCCACGGCAGCCGCCTGGAAAACTTTCACTCGATCATTCACAATGGGCTGCACTGCCACCTCAACAAGGTTGGTACAACTCAATCCCGGCTTTATTTCTTGTTTGGCCAAAAACGATTCAGTTTTTTGTTGTTGTGTCGATGTGACCTCACAAGACTTCGAGGAGCTGTTCAGACGTATGGACACAGAAACTCAGTCGATCTGGTGTATTTCCTTCCCAATGCATGCGTGCAGAACTCCGTGTTTGGAGAGGGGACGTACCTCACCAGTGACCTCAGCATGGCTGTCCTCTACAGCCCGCACAGCAGCGGCTGGCGGGAAAGTCTTCTGGGTCCACAGCTGAGCTGCGTGGCCATGTGTGAAGTCATCGATCACCCGGATGTTAAGTGCCAGGTGAAGAAGAAAGGTGTGTGTGTGAACCGCGTGAAAATCCTGCAACACAGATTTTCCAATCGCTTCGTGTCCAAATGAGCAATTCGCTTCCCATTTCAGATTCTGAGATCATTGACCGCCAGCGCTCCAGAGCAAGGAACAGCGAAGGAGGGGACGTACCGCAGAAGTATTTTGTAGTCACCAACAATCAGCTTTTGCGAGTAAAGTACCTGCTTGTGTACTCTCAGAGGAAGCACCTGTCTAGGTAAGGATCACTTGACATTGCTGAAAAAGCATCGATAATCAATGTTACACGGAGTGCTACGACATGTATGACACATCATACATGTAAACCGTAACATCGGAGGTGTATCATGCTCTTACAGATTGTAAATTGAAAAACATGCTCAAATATTTAAAAGGCACCACTGTGTGAGAAAGATTAACCTCTTTATGTAAATGATCTGTTTCAGTCACACTTTGAGCAAAAGGACAATGTTGCTTCCTACTGCACTCGACAATGAAAAAAGTTCTGATGAAGAATTTGTTTGTACTTTACATTTTATAAATACCAGTAGTTTTGGTATGAACAGTCATACTAATTACAAAGCTTTGGTAGCTGTAAAAATGTCTAATGTTTTCTGTTGCCTCTCAACAAAAGAAAACAAATTAAAATCCGAAAGGTTGTCAGTTTGGTGGCTGTTATTTCTGTGTTTTTCTTTTTCAGACGTTCCCGAAGCACCTCCTGGCTCCTCAGACATCATTTTGCAATCATGATGAGTCTCTACTTTCTGCTGCTCATATTCATCGGTGCCTTTAACTCCACCACCTTTGTTTCCTTTTGGAGCCGACTGTTTAGGTGACAAGAAAAACCGTTCATTATCCGCAGTGCCTTCCTGATCCGAGAGGAGCAAAGATGAAGCTGTATGCGCCTTTTTCTATACAGACTTTTCTCCACCATCATTCTTGCTCCTACAAAAAAAAAAAAAACGTCCATCCATCCATCTGCAAACCACTTATCCACGACAGTGCTAACCACCACACCACCGTGCCGCCCTACAAAAAAAAAAAAACGTAATTACTGATATTCCAGGATAAAATGTTTTTAACTGGCAAATAGTGGGATGATTTATTGTGTTAAGTCTTCTTATTTTTATGAAATTCTGCGTTATGAAAATCTTCAGCCGTGATTTGTTTAAGTAAACATCCTGTTTTATTGCTACGCTTTGTTGCTTTGCTTTAAGATCTCTTTTTGGTCTGTCATGTGTTAAAGTGTGTAGGATTTGGCAGCGTTTGGTGGTTGGTTGCAGATTGCAAAGCAAGTGCAACTTCTGCCGGTTGCCAAGGGCGACGTTTGTTTGTCCTTTTACAGGCTCCGGTAGAAACATGGCAGACGGCTCCACGGAGTAGATCTAATCCGTATGTTGATATAAACGACTAGTTCTAAGGTAACAAAGACACAATGATTTTTATTGAAAGGATGTTGTACACTAAACAAAAATGCTTTATAATTGAATATTCCATTGCTGCAAATCGACATTGACAAACAGACCACAGTGACTCATTCATGTCGCTGAGGGCTAATGGCGACGTCCCAGTTTAAATTATTTATATGATTTTGCTTTACTCATTTATGGTAGGCACCTTTTCTCTATTACATGAAGTTATTGTAATTTTAAGGCATTGAATATAACTGTTAGATTTAATGAAGGAAAAAGATTTTTTGTGGTTCTCACATACTGTGTTTATAATGATGGTTCTTAAAAAGGCTACTAATAACCCGTAATGATTTAGGATACACTTTTAAATCCTTATATTACGTTAATTTAACTGTCCACTGAAAGGCTGTAGGTCCTGAACATTTGTAAGAATATGAAACCCAAATAAAGCAATACTTTTGATGTAATCTCCTTCGATTGAGGTTAATTTGTGCCAAAGTTGACTTGAAAATAAAAGCGTGTTGGTTTTTGACTTTAAACATACATCACACATTAAGGTCTCTCCTTTATAATCATCTTCTGTACTTTTCCTTTGTTTTGCATTTTATTCAAACCCACTTGGGCTTCTCCTGAGGGTGGGGCACATTTATTACTGCTGGCACGCTAACAGTCGTTTGTTATGCGTTGTTTTTATCAGTTTAGAAAAAGAGAGCCAGCGATATGGGATTGATAAGAGGCGGCCTGCTTTGGTGACCGATCCTTCTAATTCATGTGTGAAATACTTGTGGTTCCACAGTTTAAAGAAGCGCACCAAAAGGAATGGGATTTCCATTGTTTCATGGCAAACCACAAAACTTAGAGCACAAATAATTCAATTAAACGATGAAATAAGACCTACTTTTACAAATTTCCCAAAGATTAAGTATTGGATATTTTATCCATTTTTCTGGATGATGGTTAACCATTAGATCACCGTGTCTTTAACAATGCTTTCATTCATTTAGTCATAAGGAACGCTGACAGGACAGGGAGCTGCTTCTCTGTAAATTATTACGGAGTCACACTCAAAGACCCACAAGTCAAATGAAGATGAAAGAAAAATCAAGCCTTGTTTTTGGTCTAAAGAAATACAATTTGCTCTTGTGAAATCCTTCAGATAATCTGCTTCTCTTTAGAAAATGGCTCACATTTGAAGGACACAGAACAAACTGCCCTTTGTTGGTCAAAGCTTTATTCCCTTTCTGTGCGAGCTTCATTATTGCTGCCTCATAAACCGTCTGTTATTCAATAACCATCAACTGTCAGGGGGACTCTTCCCCGTCTCTGTGAACCACACAAACTCCCCAAATAAGAACAATTTAAACAAGACTGGTCCCACTTAATTACACTCCCACTTAATGTCTCATCCTGACTAGTTTCTTGGTTCAATCATTCATTTTGACCTTCACTATAAAGGGATTTTTTTTCATTCTAAATACCAAAAAGAAGGAGCAGCTGAGGCTCATTGGAGTACCGTTAGTTTTGTATTTGAAAACATGGATTTGGTCATAAAAAAGGTTTGGAGACATAATGTCACGATGGTTCTTAACGAAAAGTAAGATGTGTAATCATAAATGGGACATGAATGTTTGAGCCGAGTTCCATGGCCATCCATCCAAATTGGAATCTATCTGTATACTATTGAATTGTTGGATTAATTGGGTCCAAATACATGGGGGGAAATCATTTTTAATGGAGAACTATGGATTTTGCGTACCGTATTATACTTAACTTACTTAAGAAATGGACAAAATGAAATGTGTCTTTAAGGAATCATAGAGCACAGCACAAGATACACAAAAGATACAGATAACTGCTTAAAAACGATCGCTAAAACCCTCGACCGGATCACGTCCCCATTGTTCCTATTTGATTAATGAAATCACAGCAGAGTATGAAATATCATTTTTATTCATTATATAACAATACATTACATTTCACAGGTTTTTTATTCAGGTTCACATTGCATACATGTTGGATAATAATTATTCCAGTAATACATACAGTTTACAGATAGCTGCCTTTTCCTATTTTGCTACATTAACTAGTGCAGATTTCCTCTCTTTACATAGAGAACTACTACGCTGTGTTTGTACAAGCTGGGACCAAACACAGGAAATGCCCCACACCATCAGTCTGCAGGGAAAAGAAAAGAAAGAGAGTGCTTGGATTAATTAATGAAGTTCTGTGAGGCAGAACGGCATAACAAAAGAAATACAGTCCGTTGATACCTGCAGGTTGTTGTGGCATACGGGGCTGTGTGTGGCTCTCAGGTGATTGTGCACACACTTCCCAAAGCGTTGCAAGCAGGGGGAATGGGAGGCGGTGCAGCTCTGGGGGCAGGGTGGGGGTTTCAGCAGCAGGCAGCTTGAACAGGAGGTGTGCTGGCAGGAGCCCTGGCACGCTCGCTTCTCCAGGGAAACAGACCTGAGGGCATTTGGACGTCTGTTAAAAATGCATGTAGGAGAGAAAGTACTTGGTGCAAAATGGCTTTTCTCTCTCATTTCGAAGTCACCTGGCGGAGCAGATCTCCGAGGGGTTGGCCTGGCAGTATTCCCTGGTGCACTCCGGGTGACAGCTCTCTGGATCCAGCGATTCGATCACTGCACGGAACATTTTCAACACGCAGTAAGACACAGGAGTGGTCTCCACAAGGCTTATTACACACATCAAATGTAATATTCCCATATTTTCTTGGGGAGCATCATGCACAAAACATTATCTCGTACTACGTCTGATACCGTATCTGTAAAGGTGACAACTCTGAGGAGATAAGAGGCGTAATTATGGCTTAACTTTTAGCAGAAACGTTTGATTCAAAGGAAGCCTTGAGCACACTATCAGTCTTCACAGCTCATAAACAAGATTCACCACATCCAATGATGATATAGTATTCAGGTTTTGCAAGGGAAGGCCTTTCACTTTTTATTGACTTTTATTTCATTTCGTTAGTTGTTTGTTATTCACAAAACATTCAAAAAACATTTAATGCATTTCTGTAGCCTCACATTTCCCACAGCAAACAACACGTTCAGTGTTTAAATGCATCTTCTTTTTTAACAATAATAATACATTTAATTTGTAATGTACTTGCGCTACATGATAAGACAGGTAAGTGCTAACAATAAAAACACATGGAGAGTTTGAAAAAAACAAACAAACAAATGAAACACTGACAGAAGCAGTTCTGATGCATGATGGCTACTTTTAGTTTGGATCCTTTAAGTAAGTTCCTCTGATGGCGCATCTGTGCTTTGGTATGCAGGAGTTTTACTTCTAAGGGAGTATTTATAGATCGTGGTACTGGTACTAAAAACACATGTTTTTTAATAGCGGTATAAGATGCTGCATCGGGATGAATACGTTTTAACAGTCATCACATGAACTCGCCCCCGTCGGGAGGGGGGGGGGGGGGGAGTGGGGGGGTCACAAACATGGTCTCACCTGCCCTGGAGGTGCCTGTGCGCTCCGCGTGCGCTTGGTCAGCTGTCGTGTCCCCGTAAACGCACACCAGACCCTCGTCACACTTGCCCAGATAGTCCCACGTCCCCCCGCAGGTCTCCCCCTCCGCCCTGGCGCAGACGGGGCAGCAGCCGCACACACCCGTCGTGACCCCCCCCGCGCACTGGAGCTTCAGCGCCCGCCGCGTGGAGCAGTGGATCCGCTCGCAGGGGGGGCAGTGGAGCGCCTGAAGCTGCTGAGCCGCAGCGGGGGGCGTCGCCGGGGACCCCGACACCCCCATCAAGGCACCCAAAAACAACAGCGTCCACATCCTCGAATCACACCTGACGCGAGGTGGAGAAACACGGACACCTCCTTTTTTATAGAGGGGGACAACGCGGGAGCTTCATAGTTTATGAGCCCCCCCCCCCCCCCCCACAGACCCACAGACCCACCAGCCAATAGATGAGGCCAGAGAGGGTCACGTCTTATCTCCACACTATCAACAGTGTGATTTTGTTTTGAAATCATTTCCTTTTGAATGAAGACTGGCCCCCTTTGTATTTGGAGTCACGTGACCTCTGGAAGGGGCCGTTCGGTGCACACCTACAATCAGGTAATGACCTATTTCTTGAAAGAACAAAAGAGTTAAGACATCGGCAGGTTATCTGATCGGGACATCTCATAAGTGTCGTATCAAACACAGGTTGTGTACACAACGGTAAAATATGGCTACTGTCACAGATACAAAGGAGGTTTTATTTCTCCTTTTATCTGGCTCCCTCTTTACAGGGCCGCACAATGAGCAGCTGTAGTGTATTCCAGGCATGAGGGGAGTGTGGGGCCATCAAATGATGGCCGCCCTATTCGACAACAAAATAAGTACATGAAAGGAAATAGGAAAACTACTTGCTTTGTACCGTATACAAGGATTTAACTGTGTTGTGGGTCTTCATGGATTTGAGCTGCACATAAAAAGCTTGTTGCATCGCTAAAACATTTCTGCTTGCAGCTATAAATTATATTAAGGACATTGAGAGAGCTTCTTTTTGTTTTTGGAATTTAAAAATACAAAAAACAACTTACATCTTTTTTTTTTTTTAATGGTGCAGTGAAAGGCTAGTGGCCAAAATGAACATGTTCACTATCAAAAAATAATAGTTGTTCGATCGATGTTGTGCATGTGAATGACTGGCAGGTGGCTGAGTCGTATAAAAATGGATTTATTTTCAAGAGAACCATTGATTAACACTGAATACAACAGGAGTGATCATTCAATAGTCAATAAAACTCCCACATCATAAAGATCAAACGTACAAGACGTCTTGGAAAACATAATTTCAACGCAAACAATGTTGGCAATTTGCTGGTGCTACGAGTTCATTCTCTTCCACCCGCATAACAAATCGAGGCGATTCACCCCTGTGTAGAAAAGTGACAAGATCTTACATCAATTTACAAAGGGCTGGATATCAAAGTGCAAGATGCCCGAACCCCCCCCCCGATGTACTATCAAATACAAATCTCCAAATTTAAAATTCAGCCATTATGGCTTTGTATTCAGTGGAGACTGAAGTCTAGCTTACATTACACTCTTTTAAAATAGTTTCAGAAACATTTCTCCCTCAAAAAGATACTTCTTTTTTTCTTTTAAACAGCACCGTATTACAGACAACTGCATGTAATGGAGTAAAACATCACAGGAATAATGCAGGCGTACCACAGAAAAGCAGCTGCTTATCAACTACTTCAAACAAAACACACTAACATTTTGTTGGTTTATAAAAGCAAACAAATCAAAGAATACGTACTAAACTCTGAAAGGATATTAAACTGACTTAAAACCCTTCAAAAGGAAACTATGTACATACATTTACAAGTATATTGGGTTAATATTATACAGGTTTGAGTGTCCGCTCACGGTCAGGCTGACGTGAAGTCCATAAAGATCCAACACGACATTGACATTCAGGTCTGCGAATCCAGAATGGTTCTCAAAAGACAAAATGCCTTCAAACAAACAAGTGAAACGTCTACCGCTGCATCGGATTTGTCCAAAACTGGTTCGTATGAGAGTGTGTGTGTGTGTGTGTACACAAACATCCAGGACTTTTGATTCAATCATAACTTTCAATGTTTTGCATAAATTTAAAAGATAACCATGGCAATGTTTGCAAATTGAAATCTGTTGCGTTTGTTCTTGTGGGATCTTTTTTTCCCCTCTTTGCGATGTTGATACCATCTTGAGCTGAGAGACGAACGCGCCGTCAGTCCGGAGGAAGGAGGTTGTGTAAACGAAACTGCTCTCGGATGTGCGGCCTGACATCTTCATTCTGTGAAGAGGTGACATCAGATGAAAGGAAATGGACTTTTCGGTTCATTAGAGTATCTGTATGTATTACAGGTGCATCCAATGTCGAGACTCTAAAAAGAGTCGCTAACAGACTCACAACGAGTCACCAGCAGCGTGGGAGCGTTCGAGAAGTCGAGATACATACCAGCTCCACGAGCTTCTCGAGGAAAGGAACGAGCTTCAGGAGCTCGTTGTCATTTCTGTCCACAAACCAGCTCTCGATAGGAATTCCATTGGAAAGCTACGAGAGACGCAAAATCCAGACCGTGTATCAATTTCACACAGGATCATTGTTCCACCAGTTGTCTTTACTGTTACAAAAGAGGTTTACCTGATAGGCAAAGGCTTGGGGCGAGTTGTCGATTATTATCGTCTTGGAAAGATCCCGTCCGAGAATGTTGAGGTCTTTAATGTAATTTCCTTGAACACACACACAGTGCTCACGAAATAGCCGATGTCTAACAAGAGCAGAAAGAGGGAACAATGGTGAGATTATGTGCAGTAAGACGTCTCTTCAACAAGTTCTTGAGTTTAAGGACGATAAAAGGAACTGGTAACATAACCGGGATTGGACTGTTAATGATCTTCATTTCATTCACAGATGCATTTCAGGGGGTTTTAGGTTAAAGGATGAGATTTTACACTTCTAATGGCAGAGAGAAGACGCCGTCTTCACATATTCGTACAAACTTAAAAAGCAGCATTAACCAGTTCCTCCTTTCGTTTGTTCCCAAGGAGAAAACTTGGGCCGTCTTTGTCTCTCCATCTATGGGTTCTCCATCTATGGGTTCTCCATCTATGGGTTCTCCATCTATGGGTTCTCCATCTATGGGTTCTTCCCCAGGCCGAGTGGAGAGTAAAAGTACTTCTATTCCTTGCTGAATCAATAATCAAAACGTTCACCCTGCTTTGCTGTAGTTGCACATGATTAAGTAAAAGATACTAATTTAACATCATTTAAAAAATGTGTTTTCCAGTTTTGGCCACTGACCTGACCAGCTGTTTCTTCGGATCCAGGATGTTGAGCAACTTGTCGGCATACACTTTCTTTGAAGCCGTGAAGAGAATAATCTGAAATGGTGATAGACGGCAGCAATAAATTCATGATACGTCACTTTAGAGCAGGTTGGAGTAAACAGATAAGATGTTATGTCTTAAAATAAAAGCGGCAGTTCACCTCATACATTTGAGACATACGCTCAAGAAATTCTCGGAAAAAGGGCCTCAATCGAACATAGACCTTGAGAATAGAAATCAAGAGAGACTTAAAATGACAGCAGCAAGAAAACAGAGCTTGTGATGAGAAACGCTGTGTGAGGGTTTGTACCTGGTAGATCACATCCTGAAAGAGCACAGGGAATGTCAGGGCTGCGTCTTCTAGCTCATTCAAACTACAGTGGACCAGAGTTTCGTCCTGACAAAGGAAACAAAAAGGGAAAAAGTCCATTGAAGTCCACTTCATTTTAATATGAGAAACAGCACAAGAACAGTCTCACTGCTTACCAGATCCAAGACGAGAGAAAACTCTGGTGTGCTGCGCGTTTTCAAAGGTAACGCTGGTTTACGTGTTAACTGCTCCTCTGTCAGTGGAGGCACGTGCTTGATAAAGAAGTACCTTGAAGCAAAGAAAACATGTTGAAAAATAACTCATTTTACCAAAACAAAGAGAAAGAAAGTTGGAAAAAAATAGGGCGTCTGTGATCCTGGCTGAACGTGAAGTATTAATGTGCGCGATCCTTTAATGGGTTTGTTTTTTCACCACTTAATAAACGGAATATGTCCGGTTCAATTTCAAAACTACGGGGTTCTGAGAACATTCAAAGACGTATTTAGATGTTTCAACTCGTGAACTGTTGAGCACAATGAAAAGGAATAAAAGTCACATGTCCTCTCAATAGAATAGTCACAAAGAGTCTGGTTTTTGTTGCCATCTGGTGTTGCAAATGTCTGTTCACATGCAAAGTCACCGTGGAAATTAGGCTATACGTATATTGGAGAAACTATACACCAAATCAGTCTAAATTCAGCATTCCTCATTTTGTGTTCAACAAATACACTTCAGAATTATTTTTGATAAAAGAAATAGCCATTGTTGTCATAAGCGCCCCCAAAATCAGTTTTAACTCACGGATCAAAGACTTCCCACTCCTCTTCATACGTTGCTCCTGGGGGGGCTGAAGGCAGCGCGTGTGGGTAAACACCGTCCGGCATACAACCAGGAGCTGATGAAGACAGACAGGAGGTCAGATTCAAATCTCAGCTCTAAACCTGCGAGTCCACCACATGCAGATTCTGGAGCTCTGCTTAAATGAGTTTATAAACTCAGGGTTTACGGTTTCTTTCATATTAAATTACAACGCAGAGTTCACTTACAACTTTTCAAGAGACCGTGAAACCGGACTTAGCATATGTTTCAGAAGAAGAGCAGTGTCATTTAAAAAAAATCTATGTAGCCATCAGAATTTGATTTTTTCCATTTTAACAACATTGTAAACCCCTCTCATCAGAACAGTTTGCAGTTTGTATTTCTCTCCCGTAGAGGTCTAAGGCGATGGTGGTTGTACCCGTTAATGGTGGCATGTCCGCTTCAGTGACTATTTCTCCTTGTTCTATGGTTGTGTCGGAGTTGATCTGAAGCCTCTGCGGTACAATCGGGGCAGCGTGGCACGGAGCCGTTCCCTCTGTGGACGTCAGGATGCTGCTCGGCATTTCTTCTGCCGGCTCGATGTCCAGCTGTTTGATGATTTCCTCCGCCTCCATCGCTTGCCCGGGGGACTCGGAACCAGGAGTGGCTGAATACCAACGACAGGCGCAGTCAATTCACAAATCCTAAAGAATTGATATTATTGTTTAAATAGTATGAATACTTATGGTTGTCTTTTGTTTTACCAGTTTTAGTTGCTGGTGAGAAAAAGTTGAAGACTGGAGAGAAGATTGTGCCGAGCAGGGTGGTGCGTGGGGGGCTGCTCACTGCCTCGAGGGGGACCTCCAGTTTACCGTTCGGTTTCATGGGTTTACTGCTGCAGGTCATTGTGTCTGAAAGAAGGGCAGCAACTCTGATTACAATCCCAAAAGAAAACATCTGTATAGATCAGGATTTGATCTATAGATATAAATGTATAGAGGTTCTATTCTTTTTTTTTTTTTTGGAAGAGGAATACAATTTGTTTGATCATCATTTATTTTACAACAGTTCTTTCTGGATACCTTTAACTGGACTTTCCCGGCAAACTCTGGGAACGGTTGTGTTTGAAAGGCCTCTAGTCTGTGGCGATGAAGTTATTAGATTGCTCTCAAGATTACAATCAACGCGACTCCTCTTTGCAGGGATATCCTGCTCCACCTGAGGAAAACAATAAAGACTTGATTTATTGAAATGAAATTATTTTGTCATAACAGCAATTACATCATATGTGTCCATGCACATGTAAAAAAACGTAATTCAAAAATTCCACATTAGAACTACATCAGATGAAAACTAATCTCTCTTTGGTGCAAAAGAGAGATGATTAAATGCTTTTCTTTTGTTTATAGAATGTCATGGCAAACAACAACAAACTTGTTGTCAAACAAGACAACAAGAACGTTTTGCAAAAAAAACATACAAATAGGAAGGAGGAAATAGGAGGTAGGAAACAACATTGGCAGCGTTGAGACTTTCCGTTTCTTTGTTTCTAAGCACTCCCGGCTACTATGTGTGAGCCACTGATTGTGTGTTTGTGTGTGTGTGTGTGTGTGTGTGTAATCATTCAGTGTATAAATAGGTTACAGCAGAAAAACATAAAACTGTGGAAAGAGTAGCTCAGAATTCGGATGGAAGCCCACCTTGACAGCATTTCCACGGATGAGTTTCTTTATGGTGGAGAAAAGGCCCGTTTCAGTCTTCTGCATCTTGCCTCGACGTCTCACCGGAGACGGCTCCACTTCACGGTGTTTCCGCTTGGCTTGGGACGGCTGGATTCGACGGCCAAAGTTCGGCTGCTGAGGAGCTTTACGCACTCTCAGCTTCATAATGCTCGAACGTCACATAGAAAAGTCTGAAAAGGGGGGGGGGGGGGGGAATTATAAATTGGGGAACATTTTACTAATGAAAACATTAAATCATCAAATGCGTAAACAAGATTATATGTCTGACTGGATATTTTAGGCCAATACTCTGCCCGATATGTTGCATCTTAAAGTAATGGTTACAGTCTAGCAATAACTTCCGGTATTAATCAAACAGAAGCTATTTTTAAAAACGAATATTGTTTTATATTAAAACACTTGAAATGACTTTGTGGATATTAAGATCATACACTCATATTTATCTCTTGCGGATATCTCTGGTCAAGGCGCAATATTGTAAACAAAGTGAAAGACACGAGTTACCGTATCACTCTCCAGCGCGTGGAGTGGGCGGTGTGACGTTACGTGATAAACACGAACGCTAAACGGAAACTCGGGGCCTTTATTACGTTCAAATTCAGCGGGTTCTCACAACGGACCGTTCAAAGAAAGCACGTTTGCGCAATTATTCGACAGCTTTATTAGCAGCTTGTTGCAACATTAGGGTGTCGGTGACTGTAAGTATGTAACGTCGTTGTGTGCAACTGTAATAACACCAGCGACGAATGATATCGCTAACGTTAGCCAGCAGCGGATATCTAACGTTAGCATGAAAAGACCAGCGCTCAGCTGAGGCTGGTGTTCCAACTATGCTAAAAACACGCAGGTGATTTGACGCGGCTATAAAGCTGGCACTGTCATCTAAACAAGTCTGCAATCGATCGGAAATCATTTTAACGTAAACCAGATGCGCTCGGTGGGTTCCGTCGCTAACGTTAGCTAACATAAGCGGCTAAACTTAGCCACCAGGGTAACAAAACGCCAATGGCAGTGAAAGCAAGACCATGACATTTTCCAGTTCGGTTCCCATGCCACTGCTCAAGTGTCCCAGTAAACATAGCGGTGTTTAACATGGCAATTATCCGTCAACTAGTTAGTTGGCTACGCTCAGGCTACGTTAGCCTCCATAATGATTTTCAGCCATTAGACTACGCCCCCTTCCCTCCCTTACGTTAGCCGCTAGCTAGCAGCAGCCATGCTATCAGGTGGGGGCCGAGGGGAGGGGGCATACCTTATTGTTTACATGTTGACGTTGTTCATTACTTACTGATGATCTCGGAAGCTCCTCGAAACGAGCCGCGGCGGGCTGCTGTCGGCCGCGACCGTGGCGGCCACCGGTAGAGGTCGGGCCGTGGTTGTGGCTGCCCGCTGTGTGTCGCTCGGTAGCGAGTCACAGACCAAACATGTCTGCGGACGCCATTTCCCGCCTCATCACAAACACAACGCTGGTGATGCGTAGGAGAATGCGACACGCACGTAAGTTACGTAAGCGGCGGGTAACCAACGTGGCGGAGAGCGCAGTCAACAGAGATATAGCGACGGTAGTGAGGGAGCGATGCGCAGCCGGATCCAGATCCAATACTCAGTTTATCCCTTCTGGTAATGTTGTGCACCTACAGGGCAACTAAAAAAATGATATGGCCTGGTGCACAGTAATTAAACATTATATTATGAACTGAATTATGTTGCATTGTTTTTTTTGAATGGGGTATCGGACAGAAGGCAAATTTGGTCTTAAGCAGAATGCCAATGAAACAGCTTCTGGCATTGTGCAAGGTACATTTACGAACAACCAGAATAATGTTTCAATTGTTTGAAACTATAGTGTTTGAAAATGACACTGGATCACAATACACTTTCAGTAAGCTTTACTCCGTTCAGTCAGATGCAGGTCAAAGAGCAGGTAACAGAGAAACCAGCACATTGAAAATGATGAACTACGTTGTTGAATAATCAATCAAACCGAAACAAGCAAATTGAAATGTTGGGACAGCTGATCTGAATGTTAATTTGATGTATTGTTTTTATGGTAGTTGGTCTTGGATCAAGTTCTGCCTGTCAGTGAATCAGGAATGAAGAATGCAACATTTGATTTAGCAACGAACGGCCAAGATGTTTAGCACTCAGGAGGATAAATCACCACGCACATAACTCTTTCCAGCATGGATGTTAAAATGTAAGTCAAGCAGTTGGCATTGTGATGGTCGTGGACAATCGCCGGGGTAAAAGGTTTGGTAGCGAAAATGGGCATTACTATCTGAAAAAGAGCATATTTGTATTCTATAATTAATTCTTTCAAAACAATGTTTTAAAGATTATTCAATAATAACTACATATGTAGAGTAAGGAATATCCAGAAAAAAATTCAAACGTAATTTTACCAAAACAATACTTTTTGTTGTTTATTTATACTACATAAATATAAAAAAGCTAGCTCAGCTTATTAAATGTTTGTGGACAACATGAATACATAATCATTCTGTTAAATACTCATATGATCTATTTTTATCATATGCATTTAATGTGCTGTAAATATGTTAATTTGTTCATTCTGTACACACATCTTTTGCACTTCTGTCCATCCTAGGAGAGGAATCCCTTCTTCCTTTGTGCTCCCTATTAAACAGTGTTTTTTTTAGGGTAAGGCCCTTTCTTTTTTTTCCTGTTCTGATAAGAGTGTTCTGGGACAGAGTATGTTGTGCCAATTCTAAAATACGGAAATCTTTGATTTTGGACTAAACATAATTTCTGAAGCTTAGGGATAATTATTCATTTCATTCCAAGATGTAGGAGCTTCCTATACGGTCCTGGTCCCTCCCCCAACCCCCCCCACAGTCCCCTGGCACAAGACAAATACAGAACATTGATGAAATGCGGTCTGAGTACTATTAACATGCATTCATTTACTGTAATCATACCGAAGAAGCCCATGTGAGATGACATCAGCTTTCACCACCCACGTAATGCAAAGGGACAATCCAAGAATTGACCTGAGAAAATATACAGAATATCTTCTTTAAGGTAACTTTAGTTGACATTGAGTGTATTATCAAAAGACAACTGTGTGTTGTTTACCTTGGCAAGAAGAGTCCGTCTGATAAGGGTAAGTTACAGGCAAGCCGGGAGAAAGTTGGACCTGCCTCTAGTCTGCAAGGATGGCAGGACTTTCAGAAGTTTTGTGAAGAGTCACACAATGTGAACTTTGAACCCTTAAAACGAGGCGCGGTAGAACGTTGACCTTAAATAAGGCAATATGGGATTGATAACAGAGGGAGTCTGCTTTGGTGACAGATCCTGTGTTTCTAAATGATATCCTTAAGAGAACAAGGCAACGTACCATAGGACATTTAACCACATTTCTTTTTCACAAACAATTAACAAGTTTAGGTATTTAGCCCAGATTATGAAACAATTACAGTAACCTGAATTTAATGATTTCATCCATTTATTATGGAGCATGCGGAGAACAGAAAGAGCTGCACATTCGTCTCTTCTGTCGATCAACATGAGAATAGACGGTTTCACCACAAAGATGTCTATAACTCAGTTAAGCATTCCTAGAAAAATAATCACCATGCACAACACTCAAGCATGGAATTTAAGAAAGACATTTTGTAGTTTCCATGGTAATGGTGAATTATTTCCAAAGGCAATGGCTGGCATAAAATGGTTTTGTAGCAAGAAGTATCACTCAAACAACACATTTAAGCTGGAGACAAACCTATAGACTGTCAAAATCATAAAACGGCAAGAAACCACACATAATATTCTGCCACTACTGTAATTAATGACTAGCACAGCAATAGTTTAAAAAAAACTATAATGAGATAAGGCTAACTAAGCTGAGCTTAAATAGTCTGTGGTCAACAACATAAATGCATCATTATTCTGCTAAATACTCAGAATAATGCATCTAACTGGTTGTAACTTGTTCACTTTGCACACGTGACATTCTTTGCATTTCCATCCACCATGAAGTTTGTTTGTTTATATATTTTTAGGGGTGGGAGACTTTTTCCAGTTGTGATCCAGAGGTCCTGGGACAAGTGTACGGACTGTAAAAACCCGTGATTTTGGGCTTGACAGAAATTGAAAAGTTTAGCGAACCATTCATTTCATTCCAAGATGTAGGAGTTTCCTGTATGGTCCTGGTCCCCCCCAGAAGCCCCTGGCACGAGACAAATACAGAGCATGACATGTGGTATGATGACTTACAACAACCTATTGACATGATGTTCATTCACTGCATACATACCGAAGAAGCCCATGCCAATAGAGGTGAGGCATGACATCAGCTTTCATGAAGTACATAAGTCGTCTCTCCTTTGCTTGGTTGATGGGAAAGGTTTCCAGTGGTTGTCCGCTGTAGTCAAACTCTGCCAGCACCACGGTGTTGTAGCTCGTGACCAAGGGGCACGAGGTGTAGCCATCATACTGTGAGCAACAAGCTTACGGATTATGTATCTGCACAACTTTCAAAATTCAAAGAGATGAATCACCATTGAGGTTTATGGGTCACCTACTTTCTTATCTGGCTTCTCATTTTTCAGTACTTTGCTTATGGTTCTGTTCAGGATAGCAGTCTGTGCAGCTGAGAACCAAAAAGGAAATGGCAAGCTTTTATACAATAAATGTGGATGTCCTCTCTTTTATTACTAAATGTGATGTGGTGGTGAGCGTGGCCTGTGCCCAGGGGGGATATGGGTGGGAGTGGTTCGGGGGGGGGGGTTACTTGGCACAACTGTAACCTGTCGCTAATTATCCCTCAAGCTCTGGAGCCGGGGGAGACGCACGAGGGCTTCCAATTAAACAGGCAGGTCTATGGCTTCATACATTAACAGACCCTCATCAACGCCTGTACAGAGAGACTTTCATATTGCTAGGAAACAACAACAACCAGTAAACCACAACGCTGCCCAGTCATGCATCACCTAAAAAGTGTAACCCCTCTGAAAGCCACAATGTTATCGGACCTGGCCTCGCATTTGCATCCATGCAATTCCTGTAAAACTACTTCCCTTGAATTTAGAGGCAAAGTGCATTTTGTCCACAGTATTTCTAGATTTTAATCAGGAGTCATGGCAACATGTCATTATGTTGGATGAGATGGAGTTTGATTTTTTTTTAAAACAACAACATTTCAGCCACAGGTTGTCTTGTCCCACCCAACCCCCTCCTTCCATTCACTGCATCATGCAGCTTTGCTTAAAGCACGGATATGTTGTGCACTCGCGGTTCGACAGGTTTTTTGCTTACCGGACCGTCAATTCACGGCCATTTATTTATTTATTTAACACAAACTGGCAACTTCATTGTCAACGTGAGATATCACGTGTTACTAATAACAGTGCTTCCCCTACCATTGAACAAGGGGAAAGTCTGGAATTTGTTTTATCCACTCCTCGCTGTGCATTGCAATTACGCCCCATGGGTGCGCACAGACACGTGCGCACATAAAACGGACACGTGCACTCCGCAACGACAACTATCCTCCCCCTCCCCCCGGACTTGTGCAGACTTGAGAATTCATAATCCTGACGACATGTTTATCCATCAATAGGGTGCATTCCAGAGCTGCATTGGTGCAGCGTTGAACCTGATGGCACTAAAACGACTTACCGACCGCAGCACCGGTTTTGGACGTGGGCAGGTTGGTGCAGTCGCCAATTCCAAACACGTTTGGATATCGGTTGTGTTGCAGGTTGTCTTTGTTCACATCCAACCAGCCACCCGCATCGGCCAGTAGACTGCCTTTAACTACCAAATTGGGTCCCATTGGTGGTGTGACATGAAGCATTTCATACTAAAATAAATAAAAGTTTCAGTTTTTCTAATTAAAAAAAGGGTCAAATGATGTATTGTGGATAAGGTGGTTAGGCAAAAACAGAAAAAACATTTTGGGGTTTGAAGAGGAAGGGAATGACTCAGCACATATAGTAACAGGTTATCCAACAAACACAGTATTTATATGTGAAGGCTACTTTTGAGGGACAATGAGTTCCTTACCTCGAGCACTTTGGTTTCGCCTGGTTTGTCAAGATTTTCAAACACAGCTTCCCGCTTATCTGCCCGCACTTCAATCAGGTTATGCCTCAGGTTCACCTGAAGGTCCCTTTGTTTCACAATCTCCCACAATGTGTCTGCGTATTTCTTGACCCCAAAGAGCACAGGTAGTGATGTGTTGTATATGACATTGGCCTTTTCCCTTTTCCCGGTCTAGGAAAAAAAAAAAAAATCTTCACTTGAGAGAATTACACTTGATTGTCAGAATGAATTAAATTAACATTACACTCCAAGATTAAAAGTACCTTTCTGAGATAGGCATCAGATAGGTACATAATCTTCTGTGGCGCGCCGGCACATTTCACAGGAGTATTTGGAAAAGAAAAAACGGCGTTGCCCTCCTTGAAGTCCTGCAGCGCTTTCCAGGTTTTCTCCACAGTTTCGATCGAGTAGTTCGACCCAATCTTTGGATGTTCAAATCCTTCAGGCAGTCCTTTGATCTACATGTGAGAAGAATGTAGATTGACTTGTCTGATGGAGATTAAATGGACCTTTAATAATCCAAAGGTTAATTATTGTGCCAGATTGATAAGAAATAAGAGAAAAATAACGAGTAAAGAATAACGTAAAACTAATACATTTCTCATAATATATTGAAAGTATTGCACATGATACAGGAATGATCAAAGCATCGCTTCACCTTCTCAAAGTGGATTTGTAAACCAAGAGCCACGATCAGATACTCGTAGGAGATCTGCAACGTGAGAGAAAGTACAAGCAGGGTAAGATGCAAATAGATCACAATCCATCAAAATCTACTTCATATACAAAACTATAAAAAAACCTCAATGGCGAGCCAGTAGATGACACATTATTTTATAACATTAATATGTATGTTAGACAATGGATTCCAAAAGTAAAACGTACTTCATTCCCATCGTCTAAGCGGACAGTATTAGTGCCCGGGTTTATTTCCTCAACTTTGGATTTCACCCACTTCACACCAGAGGGCATAACACTCGCTGTGGAGCGACCTGATGAGGTGAGAGTTTTTGCCCCCGCGCCAACCAGGGTCCAAATGGGCTGATAGTAGTGAGTCTGCAGAAAAACAGAAAAGCTATAGGACGCATTAGGGATAACAAGGTTCAGCACAACAGAAATGCAGACATTTCATAATAAAGTGCGTTGAGGAGTCTTCCGTTTAGGTACAAAGAGAAAGGAAAGGCAAACGATCATCATCATAACCCCCCCCCCAGCGATCCTTGCCTCGTTGGACTCCACGACCGCCACATTCTCGGCTCCCAGCATCCGCTTCATTCTTGCAGCCATTGAAATGCCGCCAGTTCCTCCTCCAACAACGAGCATTTTATAGTGCTGCTTGGCCAGAGCACAGCTGCTGGTGTGGAGGTGAGAGACCGTCATGCCGCTGGAGGCGCATTGTCTCAGACGGCGCAGTGCAGCCATTCTGGGTCAGAAACAACAACAACAACAACAACGTCACTGAGGTTGGCAATGAACTCGGCGAGCGGTCTGGGCCTCGCGTGTGCAGATATCGCAACAAGCGGCGCTTCCTGCTTTTGGCTGCTCTCAATTTACAATTGCACCACGAGCAGCGTAAATAACCGTAGTGAGTTTGTTGTGATCGATTTGAGGCGTGTTGTGTTCTGACGTGCACGGAGGACAACAGTATCGTTAATTGACGTTAGACAGAGGACATAGCATCACATGGAGAGAAATAAAGGGAAGCGCTCGAGCAGACATCGCTGTCGTAATACCGGATAAGACGTGTGTTTTATTTACCTCGAGCAGCACGTCGGACGGTCTGTCTGACCGGTGAATTACACGAAATCCGGAAGGATTAAGTCCGACCTTCCGCGACTTTGCAAAGATGGTCGGGAAGAACGTGGACTCCAAAAACCTCCCAACTAGGGACGTGCTGACTGTTATAGAGCAGAATGTCTGTCCCGCCTCCTCCCCGCGTCGACCAATCAAAAGTGTGAACAGTCACCTGTAAGTTTAACGAAGCTACGTTTATACGCGAAACGTCTTTTTCAAGGAGAGTCGGTTGCGTGATCACGAAGAAGCCGACGCCCAAAAGTCATATATCCAATGTGACCCACAGAAAATGCGGGTCGCATTGTTCTAAACTCACAAGTTCTCAACTTGTTTTATTGCCTTCCCATGATGCAACTGTTCAACTGGTTTTGGTTTCGCTCCGTTCCGTTCCATCCCCTTCAAAACGATTGGCTTCTAACACAATCATTCACTACAACAGTAACACATTTCAGTTTGTATCACATCAGATGAGATCATTCTATAAGTTTGAATAGAAGGTGATTTTTGCCATATATTGTTGTATATCTATACAACAATATATGGCAAAAAAAGACATCAAAGTTTCATCAACAGTCGCAGAGATAAGCAGCCTCCTCGCAGTGCCACGGATCTCCGTGTGGAAACCAGTGAGTCCAAAACAAAACAACAGCTGAGCAAGAAAATGCAAATACAAATTTGACCAATTCTGTAAAGATTTTGACTACCGGTCGAAATGATCCTGATATCTTATTTTCATGTGTAGTGTGGCTCTATATATATATACACAAACTGGACGCTGCAGTGACTATATAAAGGGTATTATATAACGTTTTCACATTCCTTTTATGTTATGTGACTTCTCTCGACAGATCATTGGACAGATTCAATCGGACCTTTAAACTTCTTTAAACTGGCTTGATAGTTGTATAAGATTAGGTCCACAGGTCAGTAAACATGTTAACTGACACGGTTTCCGCACACATACTATAACGCAGAGTAATTGGAGAATGGGCCATTGCTCAACCTGGCCTTTGGAACAGGTGCTGTGTCGAACTGCACGCTCGGCCTCGCCCTGTGTTTTAAAAACATTTTTCTACTTCTACCTGATGGCACATTTGAACTTCTTCAAAAACATGTTTTGATTTAACCTGATTTGAGTTTTTTCAATGACATTTTCCGATACATTTTTAGACTTAATATATCACGTTTTTTACCATGACATTTGTAGAACTGTATTTTTTAAACACACAAGGATAGCTTTCAACAGCATTGCTGTATGAATGAATCATTCATATATATCATATATATCATATATCAATATGGCATATAGTTATAGAGTATCAAAATACAGGTAGCTCTGTACATTCAGACACATTATTTGTATTGGTGTAATTTACTGTGCCTGCTTGTACTTTAATGTGTACTTTATGGTGCTTTTTAACAAACTTCTTTTGGCCTCTTGTACGGGAACTTTGTTTTAATTTTCTGTTTTTCTGTTAAGCACTTTGTGACCGTTTGTCTCTAAAAAAAACAACGAATCTCTTTGTTGATTGACCAGAAAGAGTTCAAAGTAATAACTGCCTGGGTGAGGTCTGATATGATAAAAATCCATGAGAGATAAATGCAGAATTTGGCAGTTACATTCGGTTCATTACAACGTGCCTCAGACCACTGAGCCTTGATCAGGACCTTTGTACACTCATTGCTCCGTGACTCACACAACTTCCACAAAACAAAAACCCGACACATTTTAACAGCCAGAAGAAACATGTCTGAGTGAAGCTGCTCCGATGATGACTGCTTCAATTGTACATAGAAATGTTCATTTAATTATTCACGATTTCATGCTCTTGTCAAGTACATTATATTCACGTGTAAAAAGGATAAAGGAATGGACTTCTTTCATACAGTGGCACAAATTAGATGTCATGTTAAGCCAGTGACAACAATGTTCAAAATAAATGTATTACACACACCTTTGTGATTTAAAAAACTAAAAGCATATTCCCTTTGGAAGAAGCAGTTCTTTACGGTTAGCAATGCTCTGCCATCATATTCTATAACAATAAAAAAAAAGCAAAGAAGTCATCTGTGAGTGCCGTCTGAATCAAACGTAAAATAATAATAATAGTAATATATTCCCCAGCAGAAGTGTATTTCAATGTGTCATAAACACACATGGAGAATGCTTTCTACTCTGTGAGGAAAATGGCAGCCCCCCCGCCTGGCTTTGACACAAACAAACTCTGTTTTTCCATCGCTGCTCTGCGTGGATCGTGGAGGTAGTAGGCCTCGCTCACCGCTCGTAAGAACGACTCGACCTGCTCAACAGGAACCATGGAAACAGCACAGCCGCCCCAACCTGCTCCCGTCAGCCGGGAGCCCACTGCCCCGGACCTCCTGTCGGGCAGGACATAAAGGACACAGCCGTTAAGTCAGTATTTCAATGACGAAATAGGTTGTTCTTAACTTTTTATTGGTTAGGTATCCGTATCTTCGTTGGCTAATATTTCCATTTCATTCCATCCTCTATATCTGTAATAGCTGTGAGCTGCACTCACAGACAGATGTCCACCAGTGTATCCAGTTCGGGGCAGCTACACTCATAGAGGTCTCTGCAGCTCGCGTGGCTCTGGTTCATCAGCTCTCCCAGCAGCCGCACGGATTGGGCGGGCTCGGAGTCGCACACGCTCTTAAACGCCAGCACCCGCGAAGCTTCACCGTACACATGCTTGGCTCGCTGGTGCAGCTTGAAATGTGTCACTGAGAAAAGGGAAGAAGGGACGGATGTTTGTCAGGTCAAATGTGTGTTCAGAACAAACATGCTGGTTTTTGAGGATGCGTTATTTGTTGGTCTTTAAAAGGACGCTCACTAATCATGTTTTGAGATTGAAAGAAACGTATTGCCCCTTTTCTATGACAGTCATTTGTCGACTACTACTTATAGACCATTTAAAAAAAACCTAATAATATCAGCTGTCCCAAATCCTCTAAATATAATACATTTACAATGATATGAAAGAGAAACAAGCAGTCTCTCAATTACAATTACATATTTGAGCAGCTTTTTGAAGACAACTAACTTTCCATCCCAATATTTTTGGTCAAATTTGGCATTGTTTAAGATCTCGATTCTTCACAAATCTGTTTCAACGGACGGGACATGATTCAGTCCAGAGATGTAAAAATACACAGACGTTTCTACCGCTCACCGTGCTGAGTGTTGGCGCTCAGCAGCTCTGATGAAAACTGCTCAGCGGTGACACCGAGCTCCTTGCAGATCTCCTCTCGGCTGTAGGGCTCAGGATGCAACACCTCGTCCACCAGAGCCAGCATCTCCTCCAGGGAGGCCTCCAGCTCAGTCTGAACCTGCACCAGCTTCAGCAACCTGCTTGGGTCCAAGGCTCGCGCCTTTGCCAGCATCTGAGCCCAAACCCACATTGGAATGTGAGATTAGTATGGAGATTAGTTTGGCACCAAACTTTAATGCTTTAAAAGAGAACCAATACAGAGGTATTTTGGATGATGGTCATGCCTTCATATAATTGCCAACGTGGGATGTGCTCTCTGTGCGTTTGATTCGATTAATGTTCAAGATATTGACCTTTGTGGCGATTCGACACTCCACCACACGGATGTTGAAGTGAGACGAAGCAGCTTTGTTCATCTCAACGCAGCAGTTGGAGATCACAAACACGGCGCCCTCTGGGAGCTTGACATCAGTCGCCCTCAGAGGCTGGAACTCTATCAGCTTTGCCTGATGGTTGAAAACAAAGAACGGTAATAAAACAAGTGGTACAGGGGTAAAACAAAGCATTATTAGAGTTACTACTTATATAAAGGTACTTTAAACCCATCCAACATACATTTCTGCTGGAAACATTTACTTTCTGAATTAATATTTAGGATGAACAAATGACACTGATTGACTCGCATCACCTGTTTGCGCCAATATAAAATCAAATGACATACAGTTCCTTTCTCTGCCAGGAAAGAGATGGACTGGTCCATGCCGCCTCCCTCTGTGCCAATGTAGCGCTCGCTTTTAGTACAGATCTCAGCCAGTGCCGTCTGGAGGATTTAGAAAATAATGACAAAAAGGGGTCAATTGAACAATTGAAATAACAAACACTCTCTCACATTGACCGCTTGCATTGAAGTGAAGCAAATCATATGTCAGCAATATAGTTTGCTTGTACGGTAGCACACTTTAATATATGCATGAATATACACAGGGTTTTGAAATGATATGCTTGTACCGAAGAGCATTTTACCTTGGAGAGGGACTTTTGATTTGCTTCCATTGTTACGAGCCCGGCGCAGCAAACTAAGGCACTGGAACTGGAGAGGCCGGAGCTCGGGGGGATAGTTCCATCTATGACGCACGACATCCCCGATAACCGAGCACCACCAAGCTTCTCCTGTTCAAAATTACACATGCGGAAAGTTTACTTCAGTTCATTTGCAGGAAGTACCCCTACCTCCCTACCCAGGAGGAATAACTCACCTGAATACCTTTTACTCCACAGAGAAAGTAATAATACCACTTTGGATTCTCTCGGTCTATGGCGATGTCCTCTGAACATGACACGGTGAAATCCCTGCACGCATTGATGATGTGTTTTAAGATGAACACAGTTAATATTCGACAATGATAACGGGGGCACTAGCCTTACTTGTACTGAGGATTTGTGTTGGCGAGTACGATTGTCCCCGAGTTGTTCACTGAGACTGCTGCCAGGATATTCTGTTCAATGGCCATTGGAAGAACAGCGTAGCCACAGTAATCGATATGCTCTCCTATGACAAAAAAGACAAACAGATTATTCTTTGCTAAAGTTAATCAATGCCAATGAGGAAATAGTGAAAATTTCAGCATTGTCATAATATCTTCTTGCATATTGTGTACAGCGACGTCAGACCAATGTCAAAATGGCACTCCACTGTTTTAAGTCACCTAAATATTGAAATTACCTATTAGATTGACCCTCCCAGGTGCACATGCATAGAATAGAGGAGATTCTCCATACTTTGTTTCGAACGTGTTCTTCAAGTTGTGGAGCCTGTATTAAAACAACGACAATGACGAAATGAAGTAACGTAAACTATCACAGTTGTTTTCTCTCATTGTCTTGTACTACCGCCACTCACCTTTCATTCGAATTAATTCCAGTCTTTGACCTGGGTGGGTTTGAGGCCATTTCCACTGCTTTAAAAACAATGAATTGCTACGTTAAACGAATGTACTACTCCTTGCTATCAAACAGGAGCGTTCACAACTCTCAGCAGATCCTGGAACGGATCAGCTGACACTCATGCGTTGACCCCGGATGCCGAAACGCTGAACCGCGATCGGTTATGACACGCGACTGTGGTTCAGTTTAGTTCCAGTTAGGGGCAGCTGAGCTGATTCTGAAACAGTGGCAAAAACACGGAAGTGCCCGACGGACAGGGGGCGTGGTCTAAGGTATGTCCACGTGCACGCAACGGATCGTAGGACAATGACGTCAAAAGTACGCTCTTTCCGTTAAAAATGCGGGAGAGAAACAACACACACAAAAAGCGTGTTGGCTGACAGGGTTAACCCACTAATGTATCATATGTTTGCTCTGCGAATTGGATTATAACTTGCATTTAAACAAACATTTATTCATTTTATCTTTTAGGTTTTCTTTTTTGGGGAAAAATGTGTTGTTAAATGATGTAATTTAGGCTGTGTATTCATTTTCCGAATTTTAAGTGCGGGATGATGGAGGGATCGGGGTCCGACCAGATGGTTAAATCACTCGTACTTCACTAAAGGATACTGCCGCAATGGCATTATTTTACCACGAGAGGGTAACATAATATTGGATTTGAAAAAGTTATTTCTATTTACAGCTTACTAGAATATTAGATTTGAGAAATTCTAGGATTTATTTTGCTTATGAAATGAATTAAATAAAAAAAAAGTAATTAAATAAAATTAATGGACACGTTAGGTATGTGCTGTTTACAGCAATTTGTTTTTAATACCTCAGATTTGTGAGAATTAACAGATTCCAAGTATAGCTACTCTGCTTTTAAAGATTTTAATATTAATTAACGTTTAAATAAGTAACTCATTTAGTTGTATTCAGTTCGTTCGGTTCTTTTGCACCAGTTCGTAAAAAACACCGTAACTACATTTCCCATAAGTCTAGACGCGCTGTTACCATGGAAGCGGAGATAGTTTCTAGTTCCGGGGATAGCGGCAGGGAAAGACAAAATTACAAAATACGTTCTACTGATCATCTTTTCTTTTTTTCATGTATATATAATGAATATATATTTGACTAATAAATGCGTATATGGTGAAATAATGTATATAGTGCATATATATATAAGAGTAGTCCGTGAGTTCTCTATTAACACACGCAGAGGTTTGGCGCTGATAATGCGCGCGAGTTTCGAAGTGGGCGAGTCTATAAAGAGGACGTCCGACCACCTCGCCAGAGTTTGCTAGCTTTGTAAATGAAATTCTACCAACAACTTTTAACGCCAGTGCTTGGCTGAATTACACGTTAACGGGTACTTAACTTCCCATGTGCGGTGACGAATGTTTGATGAAATGTATTCGCGGCGTTTTTTCAAAGGTTGGCCAGGCGGTTTTTAAGTGTTTTCCGGTCGTTGCTAATATAACCTTATTTACCGCTAAGCTAGCTAGCTAGATAGCTTCTTTTCAATGTAAACAATATTAACGTTACTTAACGTTAATGTGGCAAGTAGTTAACTTAGCTGATAACGTTTCTAAAATAACGGAATACGTAACCCAACAAAAGAAACCTCTGTTCCATTCATGCCGACAGGTAAGCTAAAATCTTGTGTTTGTTTACACCGGTTCTTATGAGTGCGTTTAGCTTTGAGCTAACAAGTTGTGCCTTGACTGTTAACATCGACCATACCAAACGTTAACGTTCTATGTTAAAAGCCCTGGTTGTTCGCGATTTCCATCTTGAGTTTGTTTCTGCACATCTTTTCACAGGGGATCGTACACCATTAGGTTCAGCATCATGTCTATTGATTTTGATAGTGCTGCTCTTCAAACCCAACACGATGAAGAGGAATATGACCCAGAGGACTATGCAAGAGAACAAGAGGTATTAGCCGACATTGTGATTTTCTTAACGGTAACATAATGTACATGTTTGAGCTGTTGTTCGTTTTTAGAATGTTTATGGTGTATATGTATCTATAATATATATATGATTACACACACAAACAAAACCATCCACCAGAACTATCCATCACGTCTAAGGACCTAATCAAACTATCTAGGGCATGCTTGGATTATAAACCAGTGACATGTGGTGTTTGCAGAGCTGTTGGCATACACACTTATTATAACCTTAAATATATGTAGAAAAATGTTATTTTCCTTTTTGAGTGTTACATTTGTCAGGTGCTCAGTTGTTTCTCTGTTATTGTTTTTATCTCTCCTGAGCCATTTGTGTGCTCTGCTGAATTTCAAAAGCACCGCCAGCATCTCAGCTAGAAAGGCGTTTTAGTTCTTACCCACGCCTACAACCTGTTGCACTATGAACCTGAGCTGTTATTGGCTCCTTCCAGGTGTGTCAGACAAAACCGGCTCTGTCCTGTGGTTTCCTTACTTTCACTCCATTTAACTTAGTCTGAGAGTCTCAGTCTGTGCTTTGCTTCTCTTGTGCTCGCTGACTAACTGAAGCAAGCAAACAGAATCTGTTAATTCACGTTTTACCAGTAATCTTCAACATGTAAAGGAAAGGGAGGGATTATTTATTCTCAAATGGATTCTTTTGTTTCTTTGGTATAGCCTGTTTACACAAGTTGATCAAGTGGGGAAAACATTTGCCACTGGTAATTGGAATGTTTCTGCTCCAGTTAACCTTGCTATATGTTTTGTCTAAACAATGGAGTTCTTTTGGAGAAAAAAAACACCGGAATACCGCAGGGTGCCTCAGCCAACAAAATGCCGTGCACGTTTTGGATGTTTCACATAGACTGTCATCTCCACAGTAAGATTAGTTTAGGAGGTTACCATGTGACTTCACTGCTGAAGCAGAGGTGCCTCTTTAACCTTTGTTAAATGCGTCAGCGGGATAACATGGGTCCTTTGGTTGTGGACACAGTGGAGGATTTGAGGAATATTCATCGGTCCTTGTGGGAAGTAAGTAAGTCTGGCGCTGCTTGTTCTGTCACTCATGGCGGGTTGTGAAGAAATGTCTTTTGGTTACTGATGCAGATTTGAGAGAATCCGTGGTTGTTTATCATTGCTTTGGTTCTCAATTTGATTCTGTAATTAATCCTTTTTTTAGGATTAGCTTTGTTACTGATTAAAAGTGGCAAAATGTCACATTATAACATGACTATTTTTTTTATAACAAAAGACTTAACTAATAATTAATACATGCTTAAAATGGACAAGTATCCAAACAAAAATGTTACGATCACTTAAACCAATGCGCAATGCTTTTATGGGCTACCTTAAGCCATAGTCCCCTGGAGACAATATCATTTTGGCTAAACTTGTTTTTGGATCATTTTGGCGCAAAACACTACAAATATATTCCCTGTCGCATTCTGTGTCTCCAGCTGTCAGTGTTTTCTTTGCTGCCGTTTTTTTCTTACCTGCATCACTTTATTACTCTGTTACCGAGCAACACCAGTGACTCATTTCCATATGCTTTTTTTCCACAGCTACACAAATTGCTCACCGACCTGCCTGATGACATGTTGGAGGACAGTGTAGACTCCTCCTCCCCAGAGCTAGAGTACACTACTTGCAGCCATAAAAACACTGGCAACAGGTAAAACATGCGTTGCCCCTGGCTGACGCTGGTAATCTCAGGTTTGAGATCTGTGGGTCTGTTGTCAACCATTTGTTGTTAAGCTTTATTTTCCCTCCTCACTCAGCCCGCAGTCCGCATGGACTCAGCAATGGTCAGACCACTCAAGACCAACTTCTCATGAACAGGTAGGTAGCTAGTTGGTTTTCAATGCTCAGTATTTGTTTTCTGAACGCCCCAAAAAAACTAAAAACATCCCTATTATCATTAATGTCTTTCTGAAGAAGCGAGAAGTCGGCCATGATCAACGCTCCCACGATGAGTACGCTTACGAGGATGAAGCTGGTCAGAACGATGGACATCACCCACAAAGTGGACCTCTGCCTAACGCCTGGAACCTGGATCATCAGTTCAGCCATGCAGATTATACATACACCAGCATTGGCTCTGAAAAATGCACAGACACCAATGATTTTTCCACCGACGAGAACAAGTGTAAACCGTATCCTCACGGCACTAATAACGCTGCCCCGTTTAATGGACAAGAAGGACGCAGAGACATCCCAAACTATGGGCATCATAACAACGGCAGAGACCAATTTCAAGTGAGTAAAGGTTCATGTTTGGTCTATTTTTTCAATACGGATGTTCTTGAATTCTATCATACATGTCTTTGAAAATGTACGTCCTTGTGTATGAATTGTATGTACATTTGCCTTTCCTTATCAATACCTTTTCTGATCTAGAAGTCCACCAGTTAGGAGCATGTTGAACAGATTTGACAGTTATTTGAATACAGTAATGTTATCATTTAAAATGTACTGTGCTTTTGTCTTCAGATTTTGAAGTCTAGAGTGTTGGACGGAGGGGTGGATCCGCTCCAGGCCAAATACAATCCTCACCTTCCCGCCCATCAGCCCCAAATGTTTACCTCACAGGCCGTTCAACAGGAAGGTCAATTTGATCATCTACAAAGAGAATTCCTTGACTCGACACAACGTGAGTCTTAGTTTTTTTTTTTTTTGTCTGTTAATATCACCGCCTCAAACTAATGCTTATCCTGGTATTTTACAACATACACCCTCAAAAATTACATTGCAGAATAGTTGAATGTTCCCACAGTTTAAATTAGGGATAAATTATTGATGTGTTGAATCAAAATGTTGTGTTGTGTTGCAGAAACTGCTGATAAAGAGCAGCTTGCCCAGCTGCAGATTTTAAACAAGGCTCAGCAGAGGCAAATTGAGGACTTGGAGCGAAAACTTGAGGATTCAAGGCGTAATATGAGATATATCGAGCATCAGTTTGCAATTGCCAAAGGTGTGTTTCACCCAGTTTTTGCTTTTAAAACGAGGGGTTGGACTGTTTGAAGTTGTTAAAGTTGCTTTTGTATAGAATTCATTAAAGGTAAAATGACTTATCTTATCTTCAGTCTTTCAGCTTGTGGGCTCATGATCTTTATTTTGTATCAATAGATGAAAAAGATGGCCTAGCAGTGAGTCTAAAGGAATCCAGTCAACTGGTTGAACATGCCAAGGAGAGAGACGTTCAAATGCAATCCAAAGTAAAAGCAATGGAGCACCAACTGCAGGTTCTAACTGAGCGAGACCAGGAGGTAAGTTCTGCTGGTTTACTCACTCGTATTAATTGTTTTAAGTTTAATACGAGACAGTCTGCGCAAAAATTGTGTGTGTGTGTGTGTGTATCAGATATATATATAGCTAGCGTAGAGGATTTTATTAAAAAACTGTGTCATGTCTATCTGATATGAAATCGCATAAAGGCCTCACTGAAATGTTTGCTACGTGCTCTTTAACAACGCCAGAGTGTTTGTGCTTGTGTTGTTTTCTGCAACATACAGACATCATTAACATCTCTATTGGAATCTACGATATAAGATTCCTATTTCATCGGTCCATACAGTAGCTTTATTTGGTTTGAACTGCAGAACTTGAAGAAGCAGAGTGTGGCAGAAGCTGCAGTGGACAGCATGAAGCAGCAGATGTTGGAACTGTGTCGCTCTGACACGCTGTCCAGGACGCGGCAGCAGCACGACCGAGACCTGGCTGTCATGAAGGAGCAGCACGAGAATGCAGTGTTGACACTACAGCAGAAGCTGGACTCGACCTCACAAGCTCTGAATGAAAAGGTCTGTGGTGCTTCTGTCTCAGGAGGAATTGGGTCAGTCACCTCTCCATTTACCACAGTAAATTCCTGTATTGTCGTTTTCAGATCGATGTTGGTCAGAGGCTGCGAGAGCAGGTGAAGCAACTCGAGCAGCAGAGAGAAGAGGAGCAACTGGAGAGAGCTCGAGTTGTCAACACCCTCACTCAGCGTCTGGAGGAGAGTCAACAACAATGTGCCAAGCTACTGGAGACCAGTGAGTGACTGTGGGCTTCAACCATCTCCTTGTTTCTTAAGGCTTTGCTGAAAGTACATTGAGAGGAAAACGAAAAGTAGCAACTGTGCCTGTTTTTTTTTAAATTTTCTAAATTCAATCAAATCCTTTTGACTTCAGGTTCAGTGCAGGAGATGAGTCAGCTTCAGATCAGACTACAACAGGCTCAATCGGCCAAAGCGCTGTCTGAAAACATGAACAAAGTCTTGCAGGTTGGATCTCTTCTGTTGCTACAACTCTGAAAACATTACTCAAATAAGATGTACTTAACCCATTTAAACACGTATGTATTTATTTTATTCCAAAGGAGGATCTGGCTGACTTGAAGGAGCAGATCACTCTGTACGAATCGGCTGTGAAACACGGTGTTATTGCAGTGGACCCGAGCAGTGACTGGGAGAACCAGCTGTCTGACTCCTGTGTGGATTTAGGATTCAAAAAAACAAACCGGAAAAATGACTTGCTTCACAGGTACGTCAGGATTATAGAACAGAGCCTTTGTCTTCATTGAAACTGGAAATATCTCTACTCATGAATCCCCACTGCCATTAATCCAAATATAACTTGTACTCCTGTTTGCTCAGTGCTGTCCTGGCTCACATGTCGGACTCCAAGCTGCCCAAAGATGAAGCTTTGCGGCGGCTGCGAGTGGAGATGCAGCGCTGCCTGGGCAGTTTAAAGGGGAAGCGGAAGAAGATAAGTCAGCTGCAGGAGGAGCTCCATCTCAGTCAGAGTCGATTGACCGAGCTGCAGACCCAGTTAGATGAAGCCAAGCTCTGCTCCTCGGTAAGGACTGCCCCCAACATGACCAGAGATGCACTTAAATGTTCCATTGCTGAGCAACGCATTTGAAACGGGACTGGTCAAACGGTTTGGTAGATATTATTCTAGTTCCTGTAGATTCTCCCATCCCATTTCATGCTAATGAAACAGGAATGGGAAAAAATATGCATGGGTTCAGGTACGACACAAACGGACCAGATAGGGATAGAATGTGCATGTTTTAATACCAGTTGAAAAATAAATAAATAAATGGACGCATGAATAAAAGGTGACTTGATTTGAAATAATAATCCTGTTCACAGGCAAGAGAGACCAGCCAGATGAAACATCTAGACGTGAATGGAGAGTCTCGGAAGGAGTTTGCGAGACTACTGGAAGACAAGCAACACTTGCAGGAACAAGTGGAGGTTGGTTGTAGATTCATCAAATGTATTGTGTTCATTTTGTTTTTGGACCAGCTACTAAAATCCGGATGGTGTTCTATCCAAACTCTAGGTGTTGGAACAGAAGAATATGGAGCTGAAGCAGAGTGAAGAAAAGGTGAAGTCTGACAACTTGGAGCTTTGCATCAAGATGAGGGAGATGATCCAGGAACTCGACCAAGAGAAGCAGGAGTCTACTGAGAGGTAAGGCAAGGAGAAGGAAAATAATACTAAGTTTTCTTAGTCTTATATTATCATGAAGAGTGTATCATATCTACGTTTCTGTTTCTCTGTGGAGAGCTGAGCGGATTCATCAGCAGTACCGGGACGACGTGGTGGATCGGGTCAGAACAGAGCTCATGCTCGATCACGATGCGCAGGTTGAACAGCTGACTGCACAGCACCAGCAACTGGTCCAACAGTTACAGTAAGTCCTCTGCCGGGTCGCTGAAAACCGGTATTACATGGGAACCGTGCAGGTACTTAACAGTACTTATTACTTCTTCCCAGGACCCAGCTGTCTGAGGCCAATGATAAGATGCTGGCTGTGCAGGAGTGTTACATATCTGTCTGCAAGGAGAAGGACATGCTTGGCAAGGAGGAGGCTGTGATCAGAGTAAATGAGGTCCTAAAATGTGTTTACAATAACGTTGGACATGGGTCCTATGCTCAAATCATTAAAATGGAGAAATTAACAGATTTGAAAAGATCAAAATACAAATGATTATTTGGAACTGTTCAATGTTTATTATTGTTATGGTAATTGTGTTGATTAAACTGGACCGATTCTATTTCCTAACTGTATAGCTGGCTTCTTAAAAAAAAAACAGTTTCTCACTGCTCAAGTGGACTTTATCCAACAAGGGATTACCTTTGGCCTGGGAATGATTTGTTTAATTTTTATTCCCAGGAAAAGATGATAGAAGAGCACGGCAGAGCTTTGGAGAAGCTTAGGGCTGAGCTTGAGGCTCAGCATCAGGCCTCAATAAACCAGATCCAAGCTCTGTGGTCCAAAGACAAGCGGACGGAGATCCAGCAGCAGGTGAATTCTCAGGTAGCCTCGGCCAAGGCTGCTTGGGAGGAGGAACTACAAAAGGTACGAGTTCCTGCAGTCGCTGTCCAGCTTCCCCAACTCTCTAAGGGAGATCTCAAAACAGAATGTACTGCCTCTGTGCAGATGGAGAAGATCTGGGGCCACAGACTGGAGGAGGCCAATCGAGCTAAACACAAAGAGACTGCTGAGGCAGCATGTCAGGCGGATGATATTGAGGCCAGCAGTGCGACCGTTACTATGGAGGAGCTCGACTCCAGGCTCAGTGCACAGAAACAGCAGCTGCAGCTGGAGGCTGACAAAGTGAAACGCAAAGCTGTGGAAGAAGCCAGCAAACAAGCCCAGAGAGGGCTACACGAGAAACACCTTGAGGACATGGCCAAACAGGCGAGTTTGTTACAATACTTGCTAGTTGACCAAATGTGCCTTAGCATACTTTTTTTTTTCTTTTTTTTTTTGGGATCAAGCCAATGGCATTACTTTTTAACGCTGGGTTCTTCACACAGTTTTCACCCGTCCTTTCACTTTTTAGATCTCCCAGCTACGTGGTGATTAACAAATGATTATGTTGTTGCAGGTCGAAGGTGCAGTTACGAGGGCCTACAATCGCTGGATTGAGGATTTGACTTCATCAACAGAATACCAAACCGCTCTCCAAAGAGAGAGGGAGAACTGGGAAGCACTACATGAAAAAAATACTGAGCAACGGGTATAATATTACTATAAATGTGTCACTCCTGTCAACGTTTTTTTTCTTTTTGGATAATGAATATTCCTCAATGTAAACGTGCCAGGTGTCCCAGGCCCTAAAGGAGGCAGAGGAGCAGTGGTTTAATAAGCACCAGAACCAGCCGGAGGGGGAAAGCTCTGGAAGGGTGGAGGATCTCCAAGAGGAGGTGGCCTCTCTCCAGAGTCAGCTGGAGCAGGAGAGGAGAGAGCAAGCCACCTTGCTGAAGGCCGAGCTGGCCGGAGCGAGAGCAGCCTGGAACCAAGAAAAACAGGAGATGCAAGAGCAGCGCAAAAAGCTGGAGCAGGCTCTGCAGCAGGCCAGAGAGGATGCCGCCCTCCGTGAGAAGCAGATGGAAGCCAAGCTGCAACAGACGCTGGGGGCCAAGAAGGAGTGGAAGAGTGTGAGTTTTTATTATCTGTCATCTTAAGATGAAATAACTCCGTTTGTAGCTGTTAAGGACAAGTTGCTTTTCTTAATGATTCATTTAGTGTCAAAGGAGAGAAGGTCTACAAACTGAAAAGTGGAAAGAATGTATTCATGGAATGTTGCAACAAGTAGAACCATGTTTAAATAACAACCAGAGAATGTATTGATGAGTAGCTTTTCGCGTTGTACTTTAATTTGTGACCGACAGGTGGACGAGGAGAAACTGAGCCGCGTGTTAAAAGAAACACCGGAGCAGCACGAGAGAGGTATTGACGAAATGCAAAGTATGTAATGTCCCTTATTGACATTGTGAAATCTTTCCACTCAAGTCAACATGATAAGCGTTATTCATTATTTTGTTTACACTATAGCTCAGAGCCTATAAAGAAGACTACGTGACAATAAACTGTCCATGGTTTCCAGGTTTTTTGTCCGAGAGGAAGGAGGAGCAAGTTCGCTGCAGGAAGTGTGCTGAGACTTTAGGTAAAGGGATAATTCACCCCAAAATCGGAAAGACATCTTACCTACCCCTAATTATTGATCTAGTTGCCTCCACTTGGAGATATCAGCGGTCTTTTTCTCAAATAAAATGTGACTATATGGCACTTATCTTGAGTAACATGCTTGTGATCTTTGAAAAGAGAAATTACTGTTGAGTTCGAATTAATATTTTTTACTCTAGTCCCGAAGTACTGGAGAGCAGGCGGTCCTCTCTGCGCCCGATATCTCGGGAACGAGGTAACTCGCTCCAAAATAATCTAGGTTAATAACGGGCACAAACTGTCCCTTTAGGTAAGCTGCAGAAGAAGAACCAGGAGCTCCAGAGGCACTTGGAGAAAGCCTGTCGTCAACTCCAACACACCGTTCGCCAACACAAAACCGACATGCAGCATCTGAAAGGTATTGAATACATCTGAAATGTTTGTTAAACCAGTTAAACAGATCAAGTCAACGATGTATTTGTGTCCTGTAGATCAGCATGAAAGTAACTTGCAAAAGGCAAAGGAGAGACATCTGCAGCAGCTGGAGGAGGTGAAGACTCAGGAATCATCAAGGTTTGTGTTTTTGATTGGATTATATTTTCTCTTTCTTTTAGATTCTGAACTGAGTTAATTTTTAACGTTAAAATAAATTCCTCAAGCTACACTGTTTTAAGTTGCCTAAAAAAATAAATACACCAATGTCCAGTTTCCAGTCAGTGTTGAGGGGGCAAGGTGCTTTTGATCACCCTAAAAACACCCATTTGATCTTCCGCACTCTATTTTCAGACATTTATGGATTTATTTTTATTGATTACAGAAGTTCTGATCACCAACAAAATGTTCAGCAAGGCCTCAAGGAGATGAAGCAGCAATATCTGATGACTGTAGAAAAGATCCGAGGTGGGTAACGGTTCTGATCTTTTAATATGCCTGTGTGGATTTAAAATATTCTGTAAATATTGGAAGCACCAGAATCCAATGAGGGCGGAGACTGTGCAGACCAAACGTATGTCTTGTGTCATACTATTTCTTTTTTTACGCCCTGGCTTGTGAATCTGATGTAGGTGTATTTGTTAGGTATATATTATAAATTAGTTTATTGACAAAATGTACAAGCACTGCTGTTTTCAATAAACTACTCTAACAAAGACAATATAAATGGCCACGGCGGTCTTTTAATATTAAACTTTAATAGAATAGAAGTGCACACGTCAGTCACAGTCGTCCTGACCGCTGAAGAACCTCTGATGAGGACTGAACCGAATTGAATAATTAGGAGTGCAACTGTACAACCATAACTTTTATTCAACTAGCGTAATGATGTTGTTTTTGACAGGAGACATGCTGCGTTACCTCCAGGAGAGTCGGGAGCGAGCGGCAGAAACCATCCGCATGGAGGTACAGAGGGAGAGGCAGAACACGGCCAGAAAGATGCAGCGCTATTATCTGACCTGTCGGCAGGAGTTACTGGAGGACGCGGGAAAGACGACGGGGCAAGAGGCCACAATTGTCCTGAACAGGTTTGCTCGCTTCACCCGGGCTCCTTGGGCTGATTGTGTCCACCTTTCTGTCTCCTGCAGGGCAAAACAAATGATAACTGCTGCGAGCCAGCTGGCCGGCATGGCCAAAGTGCTGGAGACGCCGTTCAGAAGTAGATCTGGAAAGAGCTACAGTTCAGAATGTGAGTCCTGTTGTGCAGAGATGCTTGACCTTAAATGTTAATTCGGTGGGACTGTGTTTTGTATTGACGGGTGGTTTTGTGGGCTTTGTCCAGGTAGAAACTTGGGTTTCAGTAAGAACCTGCCGACACTTGACGAGCCCCCAGAGATCAGGCCAGAGGAGCGACCCCACAGGGAGAAAACCCTCGCTGACTCGGCGCAGAAACGACCAGCGAGACCCAAACTTTTGAGTCACCAGGACTTCTCTCCACCTGGGAGGGAGGAGGCCTCGAGCGACGCAGGGCTGAAACCCCGAACCGTGAGGGGTAAAAGCAGGGAGCCCCGCGGCCACCCCGACCCCATGCGCCGCAGCGAACCGCTCCTCGCCCGGGATGCCGCCATCAGAGACGGGAAACGGGGCGAGTGGAGCGTGACCCGCAGCGACTCGGACGTGGGTCTCTGGGTCTCCACCCACTCCGGGGGGAGAGTAGAACCGGGCGGGCCCCTCTCTGTCTCCTCCGCTGACTCAGGAGAGTACGGCAACCCGGATGCCTCCGACCTGACCGTCTATAACGAAATCACCAAAAAAAGGTCCAGCTTCCAGCACGCGCTGATAAGTGGCCACAGGGAGCCCCCCCCCGGCTCTGAGGGGGAGAAGCAGCACGGAGTTGGTTGCAGGCCTTTCTTCTCAAAGTTGAGGCAACGGCGGCAGGACAGCGGCTTCGACAGTCCTTTGAATTAAATGAAATTAAAGTTTACATGATGTAGAACCTTTACGGTCATAGATGTTTTCTGTGCGCGTGTTGCATTAACATTGTTAAGAAAAGTCTCACGTATCGCAAACAGCACTTATTTACTAGACCGACAAGCGTTTTGCTTCTCTAAGGTTAATCATTTCACCCCACGACGAAAAAGCAAGTGGGGGTTGTTGTTATTGTGTGGTGTTCTATGTGCTAAAGGTCAACAGTCTGCACAATGTAATGTTTATCGTTTGATCCCGTGAGTGACTTTTACTGATGTCTTGCAACCTCCACGAAGTACGAGATCAGGATTCAGGAATATACAAAATTCTGTTTTATCTCTGTATCTGCATGTTTTTTTTTAATGTTTTAAAATGTTTTCTATTACGTTGGTGAAATGTGCTGTGCATAGATTCTAAATATTAACTTATTGATTTCATTTGTTTTAATAAATCTTATTTTATGGCATATTGAGTGGGATTCATTCATTTCTTATAAAAGTGGCGCCACTTCAGCAAATCCTCGAAGTATTTTCATATCAAGAGATTACTTTTAGTTTCATAAAGTAAAGGCAGCCATACTTCAATTCATTATACTTTCAATCTTAAATTGCATAAGATAATTAATCATTTAAAATTGTAAAAATGTGTGTCTCTCCAGCTATTCTTCTGATGTCAATTTTGTTGGTTGGTAAATTGTGCAGTAAACTTAAGTAATATTTATCTCCCCTTGATATGATGGCTGTGCTTCTGATAGAAGAATTTTACTCGACACTGGTGTAAAATCACTGAAAAGGGTATTTCTGAAATGCCTCACACACATCAAGGCTACTCAAAGCTTTGCTTCTCCAGCCTTGAGTTCTATAGTCTAGACTCTAATGTGACAGACGGCTCCACTGGTCCCTTCAGGGGAGATTGGATCAAAGAGTACACTTTGTTTACATGTAAACAAATGGACGTTACAACCAGAGTTCCTTGGATTCTGTCCTGATCCTGAATTAATTGACTTAATAAAACTGATCTGTTCATCACAAGAACAAGGGGGGGTACTTTTGGATGTGCAGCCTTTAAAGGTGATTAACACACCCGGTGAAATGCTAAAAGTCTCCTGAGTCGACCGATAGCCATGGCGGTGTGGGCAGCGTTGGTAGCCGGGCTTCTTTTGGCCTTTTTATTCCGTCACCGGCACCTCTTCCAGGATGCCCGGTTCGTGTGGGGCACATTAAAGAGCAGGAGACGCCTCATGAAGTACGTGCGGTCCAACTACCACCTCATGGACCGTTTTGCGGTCCATGAGGTGGTAAAGTCCTCCTAAAGTCCTCTTTGATGTGTCAAGCTCCAACATCAAGGGATCCTACATTTCCCAGAATGCATTGATTTAACTACCACATCAACCGGAAATAAGCTCTGCACCTGTTTATTCAATCAATAATGTGTTTAAGTCAGGAACATGTGGTCTTCTGATTGAACCTGCAGGTCAGGAGGGGAGAGCTGGAATGGCTGCTGTTATATTAAGTGATGAACAGACGTTTGAGTCCAGAGGTGTTTTTAAACATGTTGAAAACCTCCTGCCTTCCTACGCAAGGCCACGCTTCATAAGGATTCAGGTATTTTTATTGTAGTATTTTTTTTTTTTACAAAGCATCGTAAAAAGCATTTTATTTTTCCTCCCCATAACCACTTATTTTATCCTGGTTACAGACCTCCGTGGAAGTTACAGGCACCTTCAAGCTTTTGAAGGGGAAGCTGGTGGAGGAAGGTTTCAACCCCAATCAAGTGACTGACCCGCTCTACTTCCTGGATGAAAAAGACAAGAATTATGTCCCTCTTACGCTGGACACATTCAACTTAATTACATCAGGCAAGATCCAAATTTAAAGGGTAATTTGTCGCCTGTCCGTTAAAGGAAACTCCTCCTGCGTGCTCTGTAATGCATCAATGGGCTGCAAAGGGGCGGAACATTTCCAGTAGGTTATTCACGGTTGTTGGGGTCCAGCAAAAATATATATATTTTTTTCCAATCATAAATCAAAGTATTAACTGCAAATTAAAGACCGAACAATAAAAGGTCATTCAAAACTATATTTTAAAGATGTTTGGAATGCAGCACATGCTGTTGTGTGTTTCTTTGTAAAGGATGTAGCTGCTGTTGTAAACCATGTTTTTGTTGTTAAATTAAATAGTTAATTTAATAAAATAGATAATAGTAAGTTCTACTCGCCATTGGATTAAGTCAAAAGTGTGGTTTTGTCACATATGACTAGGTAAATGCAATTAAATTACCGCAAAATGTCCAGTTTATTCCACAATTTCTGGAATTTTGCAATCCTAAATAAATCGGTCACCTGTGAAGTTCAGTTTTCTGATTTAGGTAGCTGTGAGCATTTGTACTTAACCGTGTGCAGTAATTTCAAACATATCCCTAAATGTCTTTAACTCTCCTTCAGAGAACGTGTTAGCTTGTTGCAATGAGATATGAATTCAGTTCAGCTCTGAGCTCCTTATTCAAAAAGTGGCATCTTGCTGTGTCCAACTCTGGTGTATTGAGGCTATTGTCAGTGTAGACTCTGCCTTCTAAACAAAACATGTATTATTGTTTGTTGTTTGGTTCATCCTTCTCTTCAGGGCTGAGAAATCTGAGTCAAATTTATTCAGATATTTCTAGTCAATATTGCTCTTTCTTTTATATAATGAACTCCTCAGATTCATCATTTAAATTGTATTTACGTAGTTTTACATTTCATAATCTTGAAATTGGCTATTTGAAGCCGCATGCCGAGTTCTGGTAATCAGCAATTCCTACAATTATTCTGGCACATACAAAAGAACATCTCAGCACTTGATATTTTTGACCTATGTGTCCGTGCACGCGTGGGCGCGCGTATCATGAATAAGCAGACAAAACACAGCTCAGTCTGAAAGGGCCCATAGATAGATAGATAAATAAAGGCCTTTATATTTCTATGGTCACGCCCACCGCCTGCTCAGGCTGAATATTAGGATTTGGGTTGCCAGTTGCAGTTATGTATGGGATTATTACTTTTGTTTATTTATTCTATATCAGAATACGGTGCCGTAGAATCATCCAAATTCACCATCCGTTCTGCTGCGGGCACTTCATGTCCTGTACAAAGTCACAGGCAGAGGTTAAAGGGAGCTGCAGTAAACCGTTCCACCCGGAGGTGGCGCTCGTGAAGCACACATTGTAATTGTAATTTCAACGTCGTCAGTTTTTGTTTTAATAGCTCCTCTCACAGTTGAATAGAAACAGGTTGTGTCACATAACACATGCATAACGTATAGTAATGCAGCACACGGAGAAAGACGAGTAGAAGCCACGTAAATAGATGAATATGGCTGTAAAATCACTTCAGAGCGGACGTGGAAACACGCGGTCTGGCAGAATGAAGGAGGAGTCAGCGGACCGGACTTTGCCCCGCCTCCGGGCCGGAGGGAATCCCCGCCCCCGCTTGAAGTGGTGCCCCGCCCCCGCCGGGGAGCTGAACTTTGGCACAAGTTTCCCCGAGCCGCATAACACTCGCCTCTTCGGAGACGAACGCGCTGCAAAAATGTACATCTGGTTCACAGTTCTCGCCGGACTGGCTCTTGTGTCCTTCTCATTCCTCAAGACATGTTTCCCCCACCTCCACGAGGACTGCGCGTACATCCTGACGAGCCTGAAGCTCTGCTTACGCCTCATCAAATACAAGAAGAGCAAACCTTTCTACAGCGTGTTGGACCACTTCTTGGATGCGGTGAAGAAGCATCCCAGTAAGATCCTTCTGCACTTTGAAGGACGCGAGTACACTTACGGAGAAGTGGACCGGCAGAGCAACAAGGTGGCGCGCGCGCTGCGGGCTGAAGCCCGGCTGAAGGAGGGGGACACGGTGGCCCTGTTTCTGACCAACGAGCCCTGCTTCATGTGGACTTGGGTCGGTGTGGCCAAGCTGGGTTGTTCGGCCGCTCTGCTCAACGTCAACATCAGGTCCAAGTCTCTGCTGCACTGTTTCTCGTGCTGCGCGGCCAAAGTGATCGTGGCGTCCAAAGGTGAGAGAGCGAATAAGCGGGTTAGGACGCGGATCAGGGGCGCAGAGGCTCTCTGTGCTTCTCCGGTCCCCTCCCTCAAACTTTTACGCATGCAAAGTACAAGCAGAAGCTGCTCGTGCCTTCAGTTTTCACACGAATCAATAGTGTTTTTAGGAGGTCCTTGTGCTGTTCTTGGGTGTTTCTATTCCATGATGTTTATTCTACATTTCGGACACATTTAGATTTAGGCATCAGCTGCTGTACATGATGGACTTCTGACAGGCAACACAACACACTTCTCACATTACAACGAAGCTGTTCAGAGATGAAAGTTTAGATAAGAAATGAATACTAACTAACAAGAGTACATTTCCACAGAAAGTTCTGCTGATAATCATATAACACAAGAAATTCTTTATACATTTTGTTGATCTGTCCTTTTATTAATACAATTTCAGAAATGAAGAGGTCAGACCTGTTATTGTTTGTGCCATTTTTTAAATTTTTTTTTTAAAGTTTAAGTAAAAACTTTTGCATAAAACACAAAATGCAAAAGTTTTTCTTACTCCACTACGAACCTCTGATATCTGTATTGATCTTTCAGGTAATGATTGTTGAAGCGTGCGTCTACATACAAAGCATTTGATAAGCTGAGAGCGCGTCATCTGTTGCTATCGGGGCTTCAGTTACCGGCCAAGAGTCCTCAAAGTGAACTTTCACCCAAACTCTCATTCAACTGAAATCGTGTGTGGAAGCTCAAGCACGCTGAACTCCAGAAGCCTTTGTGAAGAACAGTCCAACGTCCACATTAGGACCTCAGTAGATGTTCTCTATTAGATAAGCACACAAAGATACCCTTAGTATCGTTTGTAACTACTCTGATAGTACCAATCGGCCTTCATTAAGAACTGTTCTCAAGGATTAAAGGCTGTTTATGGTTGTTAGTCCGCACTAAGCAACAAGCTTACAACTGAAATATGCGTTTACTCTATGATTGCAATTCTTGCGGTTTTCGGTATTCTTATATGGAAAGACCCAGAGCCAATCTACACAATATAGATCCACTTGTTTAATTGAACTATTACAAATCATATATGTTCTCTCCTCTGTTGTAGTGGATATTTACAAGAAGACTGGAAAATACATTTTTACCAGACCTATTGATGAGTGACGTGACCTTATCTGACTCTTATCGAACAGCTTTCACTGCCAAAGTAATACAAATGAAAAGTTTCATCTACCCGCCCACATGGTTTCAGCCAGTGTTCTGTACATTTAGTCCTGAGGATCATTCCAGGCAGTTGGAAAAACTGGTTTCCTCCCCTTTCCCAACCCGACGCTAGACCCCCCCCCCCCCCCTCCCCACGAAGAAACGCACTCATTCAGTTTCCTGCGCCGTGTGCTTGCGTCCCGGTGGGGTTGCAAAGTAACACGAAGCCGACGCGTGCTCCATTGCGCAACGCGACCCTCTCGACATATTGTGCGGAGCCTGAATGCCTCCCTGTTTGCAGAGCTGGAGGGAGCTTTGGAGGAGGTTCTGCCGACGCTGCGGGAGCAAGGCATCAGCGTGTACCTCCTGTCGGAGACCTGCAGCATCCAGGGCATCAACACCTTGTCTGACAAGATCTCCAAGGCCTCCGATGAGCCGCTGCCCCGGGACCTCAGGGCCAACGTCACCATCAGGAGCACCGCTTTGTACATCTACACGTCGGGCACCACAGGTACACCACCCGAATGAAAGAACACCGCAGCACTGCAATACTTCTCCATGGGAGCTGAAGCTCATAGAATCGTTCATACACGTGAGCTTGTAGAACCGACTTCCCGCTGAACAGTTTTACTTGTTAATATCAGCAGGTTACGAAAAGAAACGTGCACATTCAGTATTTCTTACACATGCGTTGAAAAGGAGCACCCAGAACTACAAATGGCGGCTGTAAAAAGTCTGCATTGAGCTCCTTTTTTAGCAAACGGTGGCTGCAGTCAGCATGGAGGAAACCAAAAAAATGGCCGACTTTGAAGTGAGCAGGGTTGCGTGTTGCTGCAAACAGGATCAGAAAGTCAGGAATTGTGAAGCCTTCTGTCCCTGCGACCGTGACAAGAGTAGAAAATGGGTGGATGGAGAACAGTTTTCCAGTTCCTCCACGTACAAATCCGAGATGAAACATTTTTAACTTCACTTAACTCGTCGCTCACTTATTTGATCTTCTTTTGACTTTGGAAGGTTTACCTAAAGCTGCCGTTGTCACCCATGAGCGGATTTGGACCGCCTGCTTGATTCAGGCGATATGCGGAGTCACATCCGAGGACGTCTTCTACATCAACCTGCCTCTTTATCACAGCGCAGGCTTCGTCATCGGAATGATTGGCGGCATGGAGAGAGGTGACGTAGTCCTCCAGACCCAACAAAGGCTTCACGCACATAGTTCGGGCTCTTAAGAAGATGCTGTCTACATTTACAGTGTTTTCGGATGTTTTTTCCGCAGGTTTAACCATCGTCCTGAGGAGAAAGTTCTCTGCCTCTCAGTTCTGGGACGACTGCAGGAAGCACAACGTGACGGTGATCCAGTACATTGGTGAAACGATGCGCTACCTCTGCAACACGCCCGTGGTAAAAGGAATCGCCCCTGTTAAACTGCTGGTGTTCTGATGTTCAGATATTGTGCACGTTTCTGACCCCGAGTCAACGTCACCTTTCGCAGAGCGACAGCGAGAAGAACCACCGAGTGAGGATCGCCATTGGCAACGGGGTCCGAACGGACATTTGGACCGAGTTTCTGAACCGCTTCGGGGACATTAAAGTCCGAGAGTTGTACGCTGCCACGGAGGGAAACATCGGCTTCATCAACTACACGTCCAAAATCGGTGCAGTGGGACGTCTCAATTTCGTCCACAGGGTAAGAAGACCGGCCGAAACATCTCGACAACCCGGGGCTGAACCGTGAATACATTTTACAAAGACGTTCTTTGTGTCCGTCATTAAAAAACACGCATGCTATGATGTGTCGTCGTTTTAAGGTCATAAACATTTATTTCTTTTTCATATTCATCGTAGAATACGTCTTAAAAAGTCAGTGTAGCGTGTCCTAAAATACTCATTGCGGAGACCAATGAACTTTTTCCGATGACTTTCTTCCGTCTAGTATTTCTTCCCGTACACTTTGATCAAGTTTGACACGGAGAAGGAGGAGCCTGTCAGGAACGCCGCGGGTCTGTGCATCGAGGCCGCCAGAGGTGAGTGACTACTACACACCTTCGCTTTCTTTGGCTCAAACGCAGCGCTTCACATGTTGACTATCGATGACTTTGAATGTAATCTGGTTACGAAACATTTCTGCTTAAAGCAGCACCTCGTGTCCACTGGACAGTTTGATCGACCTCTTTCATGCGTCTTTTTCTCAGGTGAGACGGGACTTTTGGTCGGCATGGTTACTCAGAGGTCGCCCTTCGTCGGCTACGCTGGCAACGAGCAACAGACCGAGAAGAAGAGGCTTCGCGACGTGATGAAGAAAGGAGACCTGTACTTCAACACCGGAGATTTACTTCGGGTTGACGACATGAACTTTGTGTACTTTCAGGATCGAGTTGGTGACACTTTCAGGCAAGCAGTGATTCATTTGTTACACTGATCTGTTGGATTTCTTCTTTTAATCCCCTCAAAGGGAAGCATGTTTTTCCCCATTTGCTGGCAGAATTGGGAAGTTTCTCTTAAGACGCATCATTTCTGACTGAACGGCTCTCATTTTAAGCGCAATTTTCTTCAAAAACTTCCCAAAAGATCCCTTGTCTGATGGTCTGAATGTAAATGTAGTGTCTGTTGCTTGCTTGCAGATGGAAAGGAGAAAACGTTGCCACGTCGGAGGTTGCAGACATTCTCACGATGGCCGACTGCCTTTTTGAGGCAAATGTCTACGGTGTTAAAGTTGAAGGTAAAAAAAGTCCTGATGATGTCAGAGATTCTAATGTAAAAGGAAGTGAAATGTGCTCTCTGCTCTTTAATATGTATTTGATATGTATTCTATTTAATTGTGTGATTAGGTCACGAGGGTCGGATCGGCATGGCAGCTGTCACTCTGAAAGAAGGAGAAGATTTTGACTCTTTGCACATTTATAAACTGGTCGTCAACTACCTGCCAGCGTACGCGAGACCCCGATTCATCCGGATTCAGGTAAAAGAAAAAAGAATACAAAATCGAGTATTTAATCTTATTTTTGGCATCCAGTTATAGTGACTTTGTATGTTTATTAAAGCATAAGTAAATATTGAGTATGAGGTCTGACCCGTTGAGGACTTTTCTGTGCTGGGCTTTATCTCTCAGCCAGAACACAAGCTTCTTGTTTTTTTAGCTCTGTATGCATTGTGTGTTAAAAAGAAGAATTTCATTAATGGGTTACATATAGTTTGGAAACACTGAAAGCCGATAGTGTCTAATAATGTCCACCACTTTAACAAAAATTAAAATAAAAACGTCTTAAACCTTTCAAAAGGTGTTAAGGTTGAATGCAGCATGACGATGATAATGGGAAATATTTCCTCTCAAAAACCCGAATTTGAAAAAACCCCAACTGATTCATGAAATGTTTGTTTTGCAGCCCTGCATGGAGATCACGGGGACATTCAAGTTGAAGAAAGGGAAGTTGGTGGAGGAAGGATTCAATCCGGCCAACATCAAAGATCCTTTATACTTTTTAGATCCCGAGAAGAAGACGTATGCTCCTCTGACTGAAGACATCTACAAAGCAATAGCTCGGCGGGAAATTAAACTCTAACACAAAAGCTTTTAAAGTAGCAGGTACTGAACCAGGCAACAAATTTCTTTCCTTTTTTTTTTTTTAAACAAAGATGTAACATCTCAGGGACGGACGAACTTTGCTACGTTGCGCAACTTTTTAACCCTCCCGTTATCGTTAATCCCTGCAGGTCGATGTGATAGCAACAATTTAAACCCCAGGGTGATGATTATTGCACAACTTTATGTATCCGGTAGTTTCAGGTCATTTGTGACCGATAGAAAATATGTGAAGAACATTGAAAACATTTCGTGTTCGTTTTATGTACCACGTAGATAAGGAAAGGTCGATAAAAGCAAATATTACAAGCTGTCATTTAGAGACGTGAAACATCTGAAATTGACCGCAAAGATAATAAGAAGGTTGAAAGAGTACTTTATTATTCAGGAAACTACTGTGCATCATTACGGTTTTTATAAATGTCTTCCTTAATGCCAACAGTGTTTTATGTGTCTTATGGCCGCTGATGTATTTCTAATAATTAAACCGGTGGTATTTTTTCCCCTGGCTTCTATTTTATTATTGGCCAGATAAATGGTGGTTAGTCTCACACAGCTGTGCGTACGCTTTGGACATCTTATTTCTCATTTGCAGAATCTCTCTGAGGAACCTTTTGTGCCGTTGTGTACAAGCAGTTGGTGTGACAATGTTCCAGCCTGTAACAATACTGAGGGAGGGATTCGGATCTTTGTATTTGGGGAGGGAGCAACATTCAGACTGCTGATTAAAACAAAGAAGGCTTTGTTCATTCAAATAATTCATTTGAATACATTTTTGTGACAAATATTGGAATTAGCAGGTTTTAGAAAAATGATGCAGCTTTTTGTGTTTTGACCTCTAACTCAGATGTGCTTTTTATGTTGTTACATCCCGTTTGTTTGACTTTCACAACTGGGTCATAAGCAAGGTGGCGCGGTGTGGAAACACCAAGCTCATGTAATAAAGGGTGAAGTTCCACCAAAGGAGACTTTTTGTATCTGGTTTAACATGAAAAAACAGATTTGGATACTCACTTTCTTCGACGTGGGGTCTTGCGGTCGAGGCTTATTTTTATTGTAAGACCCTTTTGAGAGGTGTGAGGTGCAGTTTGTGATTATGTTGTATTGCTTTATGACAGGAATTTCTATTTTGTCCATTCGGGGTACACGCGCGAAGAGCACTACAACGCACTAGAGCCTCCGAGTTACAAGACCTCGCTCACATTTATTTGGGGTTGAGGTGTGCAGGTTGGCCAGGACAGCCTTCAAGACCGTGAGAGGGACATTTGATGCACATGGTTCTGTAATAGCATCAACCGTTTGCATACTATACAAATAAAATGTCAAGTTACAATTCTAAGAAATTGTCCCACGTTATACAAGATAAAGGGAACAGCCGACCCGCGAGGTCACAGTCATCCTGATCTTTGAGCTCCAATATTTGAACCTCGAGCAGCCGTTCCTCGCTTTGTAGTGTTCGGGAATATGAGACGTTTTTCTGGCTAAAAACACCACCAGTGGGATGCATGCCAATAATGCTGAAACCTCCGTTAATCTTTAAAGAACTCCGTTGACACTCGATTAGCACCAAGAGTGAGCAACTAACCCAGTTTACTGAGTCTACATGTGGAATGAATCGGGAAGCAGCTGCGAATGACAGAAAACTCAAACTCAAGTGTTGCATGTCGACAGCTACACAAACTGCAGAGGAATCCGGGGAGCATTTGGGTGTGTCGATAGGTGAAACATCTGGAGGCTTAGATCAACACAAGCAGTAGTTTCTTTAAAAATGAATTTATTTATTAATACAGTGGTATACCTAGAAATGTGCAGAATGACAAATAAAAGTTGAACCAAGGAAATAAAAATGTCAGCCACACAGGAAAATAAACTAGTGTTGGGTTGAAGCGGTGTTATATCAAAAGAAAATAGTACCAATGTGCCATAATAAATTGTCTATTAGTACAAAAATACATTTCAGGGCACACAATACAGCATCCAGTATCACAAATAAAGGGAGGGACCACTCGTCACAGCAGACCCCCCCAAGTACATCTTTTAAAATCATTTAAACCAAGCACTTCTCTATTTTGTAAATAAGAATAAAAAGTTTTCTGACTGTCAAAAATGCCTAAAGTAGTGTGTGTGTGTTTATATGTTGGTAGAAAAGTCAGACTTATTACTGCTTATGTCAGTTCCAAGGCTCAGGGGTATAACCAGAATAGAAACATAACCAATGTAACCGCTTTCTCTTTTTAAACAAACATTTTATCTTTTATACAAAATAACAAAGATGTACAAAAGTTCATTTACAGAGAACCAAGGCCATATACTAGCAATATTTACAGCAACAATTGAATCATCTTCTATCTTTTTGTATTTCCACAGACTTCATATGCATAGCAGTAAAAGAAAGCATACCTTTTCATCAGCCTCAACTATTCTCGTGTGCTAAATCCAAGTTCAGGGTTTATGAGAAAATGCAGAGACGACTTTTTCTCCCGTAGTGATCGCTATAACTGAAGGAACTGATGTTTTAAAGTTTCACTGAAAAGTTAATATGCAGATAAGGCATCACTGCTTGCAGTGTACGATGGGATTTTCATGTGTTGAACTAAGTGGTAGCAGGCTTCTGGACCTGAGTCATAGCACATGCATAGATCTCTAGACAGCAGGAGTTTGTAAAATCAAGTCAGTATATTTTAGCACGGTAAAACATTGCTACAAAACATCAGTTTTAAACAGAGACGGAGCCCCGTCAGAACAAACGGGCGTCCGCTAATAATACTTAACCTTCATTCACTTTATTCTTTTTTTAATCTTTATGATGCCTGCGTCCTCCTTCATGAGATGCGCTCAGCATTCCTCAAGAGATTCTCACGAGTGAAACGCATGACCACACAACTCACAAACAAAAGTTTTGCATATACCAACTTTGCTGTTTGTGAGTGTTTATTTTTTCTTTTCTTTATTATTATTTTTTTTTACAGTACACAAAAATCCCATTGTAATATTAAATGAGGTCCAAAATACTCTTTTTTTCTGCACCGCTCTGACCTTTAAAAAAAATTAGCTACAAAAGTCAAAATGAGATCATTCAGTCTGTGGCACTGGTCATGCATTCCGACTTCACTTCCTTTATTTGAATCTATTTTTTGCAAGCCTTGAAAGCACCGAAGGCCCCACTGTTTATCACATTCAGTTACAGGCCAGCTGTCGCCCTCTTCAGAAGTGGTCGATGAGCACAGACACACAGTTTGCACCCACCATGTAGTTTGGGTCTCCGGGGAGAGATTTGTTCTGCCAGGTTTTGGCATCACCTGCAGGAAAGAAGAGACATGTCAGCATCCTCCACAAAAACACCACAGATGCTCAAAAACAAAAGATGAGTGTTTCGAATTACTGTCGCCCACCATGACTTTTTGTGAGTAGTTCATGTCTGATGGATTGTTGAATGTTAATTCATATGCTGCCAAATGATCATATCATCATGTCTGAGAACACAGCAGTGCAGGTTCTCATGGAAAGATTGTTTCAGGTGGTTCGGATGCAAACACCTACTGTACATATTGATGAATGACATCAACGTTTAACCTGTTTATTACGCCGATGGTGTGTGGCTAATTTAACCACTAATAGTTTATGATAACTAGAGTTTCATTGTGTCCAGCTTTTGAGAACAAAGAAGAATGTGTGAAGTAAAGCTAAAACACATGGGTTTTGTACCCTCACTATAAAAAAGTGATACTTTAACCATTTAATCTGGCATGTTTTGGCCAGTCAACAGTTAAAATCCCCAAATAAACAAAACAGTTGTAAAGCAGCTAAAATTTATAAAGTTGCAATGCAACTGACTCGGTTCTATTAAAATGGATTAAATATTTCCACTCCAGTGGCACTTACATGTTTTTTGTTCTTTTGAACTGAGGAGCCTTGATCATTAATCCTTCGGCCCCCCGACAGTTATATTAATTGACAAAAACAGCACAGGGATGAAGAAGAAATGAGGGGAAACATGGAAACCCGGAGGAAATGATTCAAATGAGTCAGTCATCACAAAAGCCAGCCCAGACCCCAAAAGGACAGAGGACAGCGTACCCGACGAGGAGTCGGAGGATTTTAGAGCAAAAGACCAACCATCAGGGGTCATAGACGCACAGTGAGGTAAGCGCAGCTCCACCGGCTTCAGGAACTTGAGTCCATGCGGGCCGCACATCACCAGTGGACTGAGCAGCGTTTCTCCTGCACGGACACACGACAAGGTGTCAATTCCACAAAGTAAACATGCAGGAATTAAATCAGCATGCGGGATTATTTATTACCCAATCGAGAGGCCAAATGGAGTCTTCATGGTCAGTGATAATTAACAGTTAGGTGACTTGACAGATTCATTCAATTACCAAACTCCCTTGCTGCTTAATGTTAATCTAAATAAATCCTCTTAATATCCCTGCTGGGATGTTATTTAATGTCAGAGCTAATTTCTGACTGTGTTCCGCCTGTTTATCAGCTTTTTACTTTGTTTTTATGTTAATGTGGTTATTATTCTCATGAGATTTACGTTTTTATTTTATTTTATTTTTTAGCACTGGTGCCTCACAGCAAGAAGGTCCTGCGTTTGACTCAGGCCCAGTGGCCTTTCTGTGCATGTTCTCCCCGTGTCTGCGTGGGTTCTCTCCGGGTTCTCCGGCTTCCTCCCAGAGTCCAAAGACATGCTCTGGGGATCAGGTTGATTGGGGTCTCTAAAATGCCCGTAGTGTGTGTGAATGGTTGTGTGTCTCTGTGTTGCCCTGTGATTGGCTGGCGACCAATCCAGCGTGTAACCCGTCTATTGCCTGAAGTTGGCTGGGATGGACTCCAGCCCCCCAGTGACCCTGTGTGCAGGATAAGTGGTTTGACAATGGATGGATGGATTGTTATTGTGTCCAGCTGTAGTCTGTCACAAATGTATAAAATCTAGAAACATTTTTGGGATTATTATATATATTATTATACAATAAAAAGATGAATCAGGACTCCATTAAAAGAAATACAGGAAGGCATTCTGGCTTGATAACTAATTTTTTACTCTTAATAACTTCCAGTGTCATATCGTTTGTTCCTTGACATCATCTAGACTTAAGGAAAGGACTGACCTTTCTCCTTGTCGAGGGGGGGCAGGATGCTGTTGTCCCGGCACACCTTGAAGTAAATCTCCTGCTCCACGCTCTCGGGGATGGCGCCTTGGGGGATGATGATGCTGACGCCCGTCTCGATGGAGCTCAGGACCCCTCCGTTACCGTTGAAGATCCCCCGGGCGGTGGCCACCACCGTGTGCCCTTCGTCGTCGTCGTCGTCCAGCGTGCTGGGGCTGAGAGACGAAGCACAAAAGTCAGCGTCCTCAGTCAAAAGCAGAGGACACAGGAACAAACCCCACGGGACTCTCAGAGAGCCTCCTGCTGCCGTCCGGTGTGAGGACGAGTTGCTCACCTTACAGGGACGGCCTTGGGAATGGCGTTGATGTTATTGTGCTGGTATTTGGGCCTGTTGTCCATGGTGCGTGTGAAGGTGTCCAGGCCGCTGTCGTGGTCCGGGGGCTGCGGGGACAGCGCAGGCCTCCCACTGCTGTTGCTCACCACAGCGGATTTACTGGGGAGCTCCGTCTTCACCGGTGTGTCGTTGGGCAGCAGGTTGTGGTTGAACTTGGGACTCTCAAACTTGCGCTCAAAGGGCCGGGCTGAGCTGGTGTACGGCTTGGGGACGTAGCGGTTATAGCTCGCTGGAGGGGGGGCGCCCAGCGTCTTTGGCGGTGCAGCGTCAGTGCCGTTGACCGGGGACTTCTCGGGGAGGCCCCTCGGGGGCGGGTAGCCCCCGGGGGCGGGCTCGTCCCTGCTGGCCGGCCGGAGGGCCGGCAGCTCGGGTTTGGGGGAACTCAATGGCTCGGGGATGCAGTTCGCTGGGAGCGGTTGAAGGGAGACACAATCACTCAAACGGCGTCTTTGTGCAACTCTCGTATTCTCGCACTTTAGAAGACAGAGCTTACCGTCATTGGGGCTGAGCTTGAGCAGTGCGTTGGGCGGGACGGCGGACCCCGGGGGCCCGTACTGTGACGATGGGCTGATTTGGGGCAAGGGTTCATATCTCTTCTCCACTCCACTCACCTTCTCTACGGACTCCACTCTGCGGTACACAAACATTACGGTTAACAAAACAATGATGATGGTGCAGCAGGTGGAGCTACATGGCTGAGTGGTTTTGAACATCCGCCAGCAGTGCTGAATGAGTCGTAGTCCTACCTGTTGTACGGGTAGGACAGCTGAGCTGGTTTGGGCAGATCGTGGAAGCGGTGGATGCCAGGGTTGGGTTGGCCCATGGCCTTGCTGTCGAAGCTACGGCGATCAAAGTAGGACAACTGCTTCCTGTAGTACTCCTCATCCTCATCTGGGTCATAGTGGTTAGAACGCATTACATCATCCAGGGGTTTAGTATGGGGCTTTTGTGGCTCAGGGCCCCTGCAGAGGAAGCAAAAAGAAGCAAGTAAAACAACGGCTGGGGAAGGCCGTACGTTTGGTCGCAAGTTTTGAATGAAAATATCCAGACTGTCATTTAGGTTTGATGTAAAAATGTATTCATTTGAAGTCAATGACATGAAAGCAATCTGGAGATCCAAGATGGGGTGAAGAGCTCAGGACAGCAATGAGACGTGCAGGGAGCAATGACATTGCTAATGACCTTGTGAACATACAGAGCTGGTAGTCTTGCCAATAAGACACTTTGGTGTTGTGTCCAGAGACACAAAACACATCACAGACTGGCTTGCTACACGCTGACGTGTGTCCACTAGGTGGAGCTCAAGCTCATCCTATATTATAATTCCAAAATGTCTCTGCGAGTATCTCAGAGTTGTCCTTCACCCACCTACTTTGCAGCCCAGGGTTCTGTGAGGGCTACATACCGATAGGTGGATTTCTCCTGCTCCAGGTTGCACAGGGAATTGGCTTTGAGGACTGGGCCAGGTGCAATCACAGGTTTGGGAACATCTGCAGGCTGAAAGGCAAAAGGGGAAAACGTCTCTTCGATGCTTCTTGCATTTAATACACATTTCTGTACACATGAACGGATTGCACGCACATGCATGCATATCTGTGCTTTACAGCTCACAGGGCAGAAGATTACAAAACAGACAGTAATTTAAATTGAATTAACTGCTCAAAGCAAGATCACCATTACCAAACCCTTTTATCGGGCTAATGAAGGCTCCATTCAGAAGTTTGCTCAACATGACCCACCTTGTACCAGGCAATGTTTAAATTTAGACAAGATGATGCCACTTTATGCCAATATATCTGACTGCAGACCACTTTGAGTATCTGCAATTTAATTGTCTGCAAGAATTTGTCAGTGATAGAGATATTTTAGGAGGTTGAAATGCCGAGGGACAAGGTGTTCACATAAAAAGGTCGACCAGGCGAGTCCCACCAGCAGCATTCACAGCGTATGTTTGCCCCGTTGAGGCGACAGCTGTACACCTCTGTGAGGAACTCACTCTGAGAGCCGATTCTCCTCCTTCTTTAGCCCTGTCCACAGAAACAGACCGTTTATTCTCAAACATCTTTACTCTGTTGAGCACCGACTGTGGCTTCATGGCCGGGTCGTCGTCCAGGTCTTCCCGTGGAGGCGGAGGGAGGGGTTTGGAGCCCGGAGTGGTCGCTGGCTCGCCGGGGGAGGGCAGGCTCTCTGGTTTATGGGGGGGAATTGGGTGTTCAGAGTTCATCATGGGGTCGTGCATCCCTTGCTTAAAGCCCCGGTTTGCAGGCCCAGGAATGAAGGTGGGCCTCAGACCGGACTCACTGTAATACTGCTTTGGGGGCTCCGGCGAGCGAGGTGAACTAACGGGGAAGCCGCGAGGCTCCGCCTCGTAAGGGGAGCGGGCGTCGTAGCCGGCCGGAGGCGGGGGCTCATCGTAACGAATGGGCCCTGCTTTACTGTGCCGTCGTCTGCCGTCGTAGCCCACCGGGGGGGCCTCATCGTAGCACGGCTGAGTGGGGCTGTAGTCCCTGCCCGGCCCGTCGTCGTAGGGCGACCGGGCGTTGTAGCCCACGGGTTGCTGGTGGCCCGGCTGGTACCCTGCGGGCTGGGAGGACGGGGTCTGCTGGTCATAGGGGGCCCACTGCTCGTTGTAATGAGGCACACGGTTGTCGTAGTGCAGGTGGGGGTCGGTGTTGTGAGGCTTTGGTTCGGTGAAGCCGCCTCCGTCGTACCCGTAAGGCGGGTGGTCGTATTCGCGGTATGGCTGTTTGTCCTGGTACGGCGGCTGGTGACAGTAACTCAGAGACTGCTTCAGGCCGTGGTGGATTCGCACCGGGTCGTCCATATTGTACAGATCTTTCTTGTACATCTGCGAAGAAACAACACTAAATTAATTAATCCGTTACATCGTCATCAACATGTTGGAGGACAGAAAGCAGCCGGGGAAAAAAGGCCTTCCAAACACCAGATTGAGAAACACTTCCAGATTACATTCAATATGGAAACATTATATTGGAAACCTTGAAAATAAACCAAAATCATTAGAAAGAGAGATCTGTTTAATTTAACAAAAATCTATTTAAAGTGCAATTAAACAAGCAAACCGTTGTCCATTATTCCAAAACAGTCCTGAATGCCTGTTTGACAAGATGCCTCTCAGGAATGATTATAATCATCATAATATGGACACAACTGGTCGTTACACACTGTTAAACGGTTTTTAAATAGTGAACTAATTTGCACATTTCTGAAAGGCCTCATTTCAAACAAATGACGTGTAGCCTGTAGACAGCCAATCTAGTTACAGTACCCAACGGGGGGGAAGGTTGTTTGTTGTCATCTACTCGGGACAAAACTACTAAACCTTAGACACGATGCCGTGTGCTGTTGTTTTTAGATATTGCTTGATTCTAAATCATTACCAAGAGTACTGTCTGCAGGTTAGCTTTCATCATGCAACCAACATTCAGTTTGCATCTAAACTACTGACACTACGACAGACGACATTTCTACCACTACGATGCCACTGCAAGTGCTTCTATCGTTCATCTACAGAGAGTTAAAGCTGAAAGGAACCCAACAAACACCAGGGGCCATGCAAAGGAAGTAAGAGGCAACAGTTAGAGCTGGTTGTGGATGTCTTCACCCTGGTCAAAGACTCAGATGCACCAGTCCTCCTGGTCTCCCAGCCCACTGTGGTGCATGTGGACTAGTTTGTCGCACATCTCTCACAGCTGTGGGAGCGAGAGGCGCACAGTGGGTCACACAGTGTAGGCGTGTCATGCAGAGAGCGAGTGGAAAGCATGTGCTAGGAGACAGGCAGTTTAAACAGCAGGCTGTGGCCCAGGCCCGGTCCGAGTGGCTGTCGAAACAGCGGGTACCTTTGGTTCTGGACCAGGCGGTCCAGACGGGTGGGGTTCAAGTGGTGTTGGCGGGGGCTGAATAAGCTCAGGGGCAGGGCTGGGGCTGCTAAGTGAGTCGGCCATAGGAGGAGCTGCGGCTGCAGCAGCAGGCGTCTCCTCTAGGTGCAAACCCTCAAGCTGTACAGGCCGCTCAAGGGCAGGGGGCGCTACCACCGCCTCATCTCGCTGTGAAGTATCGTTAGGAGACATTTATAACACAGCCTGCCGAGGGCACACAAAGTACAGCTCACCCCCAACACCATCTTCTTCCTGACACTGAATCACTTTCACACCAGCCAGAGAATGTGGTTAAAATAGATAACATACCAGTAGCTTCTAAAACATGTTTATAACTGCAACGGGCATTTGCTCTCATCAAAAAGGTCAGGACACAACACTGAACACCGCTATTCCTCAGCGCTGCGGTACTTTCAGCCCCCACCCAACTCCGACGCGTGCAGCCCGCGAAGCTAAACGTTACCTGTTGCGGAGCGGCCATCTTGAACCCAGCGGGGTCGATGCGGCCGGCCAGGTCGGGCTGCACAGGGTGCTGGTAACCGGGGTAACCAGGGGTGTCCGGAATCACGGGTGGGTCCTCTCGCACCGGCTCGGAGGAGCGGGTGATGGCGGGCTCCGTGGGCAGGCCCACCTCGTCGTTCAGGGTCTCGTCCAGTTCCTGGTCTGTGTACGCCCCGCCCTCCGTGTCCGTGTCCTCGTAGTCAGAGGTGTGGCGGCTGTCCGTGCTGTACATGGAGTACTCGCTCCCTGGCGCGGACAGGTAGGACAGGCGGTCGTCGTGGATGTCCAGGTCATCCTCCGTGGTGCCGTCCGCCTGAGCGGGGGAAGGGATAAAGAACGTGCCGCTCGGTGAGACGAAAGGGGATCAAACGCGTTGATGAGGGAGAAGGAATGACACAACGGCCTCTCACCTTGCCCTCTGACACCCACACCAACTGGTTCTGCTGTTGCTGGATTGTCTCCTTCAGAGCTCCGTACCAGCCATCATTCATATTGTTCATGTTGATAGTGGCTAAAAGAGAGTTTTCTTTGGTAAGCATCACTTCATGAATTCTAAAACACGTAAGGGAGGAAATACACACTAACCACACTCACTGGTGAACAGGTGGTGGTTATTCTTCCTCAGTTTGATGGCTCTCTCATAGAGCTTCCTGGCACTCTTCCTGGACTCTGAACACAGTCTGGTCCTCATGTTCTTCACACCCTGCTTAGTATCAGGGTTTAGGAAGACTACGATCGGGTACCACTGAGCGTAATTCAGCCTGTCCACAGCGTTCGGGGTGATGTCCAGGACAGCATGCTTGTCCTTAAGGGGAGGAAAGAAGGAAAAAGAATAATCCGTGAAGAAAGAATCAAAGAACCGAAAACTTTTAATATCTGCTAAACAAGGAGGCCTATTCACTCTGTCAATGATCTGCTTGATGGTGTGAAGACGAATGATTCCTGAACTACGCTGGTCTGTTCCTGCATCTCTCGGTTCACTCTCTGGAAAACAAGGTTTGAGGGATTAATGAAGAAAACAATCTTAAGCACGAATACATTTAGCTCATGATGCCTACATATGTGCAGTAGAATGTTTACAAACATACTTGCAAGCTCAAAAAGATCAGTCTCTTCTCTGGAGAGTTTTTCTCGGGCAACATCAGCGATCGGCCCAAATATCACCACCGGTCTCAGAAACCCGGCTGCACAGAAATATGAAAAACACATTAAGAACCAGAAATATAGGCCTCCGGCTAGAAGACGCCGTCAGGGTCCTCACCCTCTCTCAGTACAACTCTTTCATAAGCTGGGAACTTTGTCTGGACTGGCTGGGACGAGAGATCCTCTCTGCTCTTCCTCAGGTTCCTCTTTGAGCTCCGAAGACCACGGAACCTCCAGAAGTCGGCCCTGTCGCCCCCGGCTGTTTTGGGGAGAGTGTATTGCACGCTGGACAGCTGCTCCGCTCTGTTAACAAAAGGCAGAAAGAAAAGAGTTCTTTATTGCAACACCAAGCAAATGCAAAACAGAAATACTGCCAATGTCTAAGGACACTACATGGCAATGATAATGAAAATGATCACCTGTTCTTGTTGGGGATGATGCCCCTCTCCACCTCCTGGTGATTCTTGCCGATGCGAATAGCCAGCCAGGAGCCCAGCTTCCCGTTGTAGAGGGTGTCCACCACACGGAACACCTCGCCCTTGTTGAAGCTTAACCCATACGGAGATTCCTTCTCGTACTCAAAGTGGGTCCGGATGTAGAAGGAGTCACCAACGTCTGACTCCACAATCCGCCGATACACTGAGAAGCAGAGGGCGAGTCAGAAACATTCGGCTCATGTGATCCCTAAATAGGAATATCATCTCATTTCCTTACTCACTTCACTTACCATCTTTCTTCTTCTGGGCAAGAATGGTGACCTCTTCCCCCTTAGGAAGGTCAAGGAGGAACAGCACCGCCTCCTCTCGGATTATGTTTGCAAAATCTACATTATTTACCTGGAATCAGGGAACACAGGAGATTTTAGTAAAGGAGTAGGCTTCATTGTTCAGAGCGTGTGAGAGGAGGCGTAAACCTCAATTTAGGTAAAAAGGTTTGCATAGTTCTGGCCTTTCTCAGTACTGTCTGAGTATCTTGAGATTTTGCTGCACTAGAAGAAATCAAGGCATTCCGCTTCATACTAAAAGAAAGGACTAGGAGGTACAAACAGGGAGATATATGGCTTTGAGGAAATGGAACAAACAGCTTTTTTGTGTGCGCTCCCTCGAGGCCTTTGCTAAGAGACCACCGTGGGAGGTACAGGAATTTTGGAGCAGCCAGTGTGTAACAAGAAAATAAAGGGAAAAAAAAGCTTTAGGACGCGTACCCCATAAAACATGGTTGTTTACAGACACACTTAGGTACCCGTTGTTAAAACGAGGAGAAGAAAAAAACATCACATAGAATAACAGCTCAAGTTCTGGACATTTAACTTATTGAAAACTTCACTTTTTCAACAACTCTTAAGTTGCCATGTGAACAAAAGTGAAGTATCTCACCCTGAGAATTTGGTCACCCTCCTCCAGGCCCTCTTTAGCAGCTGGGCTGTCCTCAAGCACTCCAGCTACAAAGATGCCCACATCATTCCCCCCGGCCAGCCGCAGCCCCACACTCTCTCCCTTCCTGAACTTCACAAGCTTCATGCTTGGCCTGAGGACGGGGAAGAATATTGTTAGGAGAATCTTTTTTGACATGACACCATTTGATGGCATTTCCGTCTCTCCAGAGAAAATTTATGAATAGATGAGTGACTCTTGGATGCAAGCCGGGTTTTCTCTTTTGCTGAGACTATTTTCTCTTCACCGAGCTTATGAAGCCAAGAGGTAAAAAATGTCTGGAGAAATAGAAGAGAAAGGCACAGCGATGGACAACATTTGAATTCATTTCATATAATTTGGCTAAGGAGAAAGAGAACCTCAGTAAACTGTCTCACAGTCACTGACATTTGTGCATTTAATCAAATAGCATATTAAAACTTGCCAGGACACCAGTGAATCCAGAAAGTCGGCATTACTTGACAGCATTGAAATCCACGCCTTGCAAAGCTTTGTGCAGACGCCATTGTGGAAATGGCCCATACCTATTCCAAGATGTTGCTATATGAACGGCAAATAAAATCCCTTTCAGCTTTTATTAAAGTGGACTGAGATTCATGAAGCGAAACACCGCTTGCTTCTGTATTCTAATAAGAGTTGAATACTTGATGTGACATGTGTTAATATTACCGTAGGATGCTTTCGTCATGAGCAGCACTCGGCACCGGGGCATCAGAGGGACTGACTGGCAGGTCTACATCTGGCTGTCCAGGCTGAGCGTACACGGGTTTGGGCTCTGCACCAAAACACAACCTCAGGTCATTAATGCAGACACGAGCACTGAGCCGTTTTCAAAACCAAGAAACATCAAACATCCACAGCGTAACAACACCGCGGACACGTTTGTTAAACTAGGTACAATAACGCTAATGAAAAGCTCAACTGTTAAAATCCACACACCGGCAAAGTGTCACCACAGATGCTTGCGCGCGCACACACACACACACACACACTCTGAAGGCACATAGTGTCCTAAGCAGGGAGGTCAAACAGAAAGGCAGCAGAGGGCTGCAGGCTGGGGAAGAACGTCACACTCTATCAACTCATACGGTCTATTTTCATTTGGCTCCAGGCAAACTCAGCCTGGCTCAGGCGTCTGGATAGAACTTTCTTTTTTTTCTGTTATGCTCTTAAAAAAACAAAAAAGCAATATTACATTTTACTATCATGAACTCATTCAATACAACTATTCTGAATTAGAAACCTGGTTTGACATGTAGACACAATATGTTTTAATGCACGACGGTTTCATTCGTACCTGGGAGTGGTGGGAGCGGTTTCTCCTCTCTAGAAGTAGCCGACTCCTTCGGTTTGGGGAGGGGAAGCTCCTCTGGTAGCTTCACTGGAGTTGAAGCCGGCTTTGAGATCCGATCGTCGTCACGACTTCTGTGACTGCACACAAAAATACATTTTTATGCACAATTTGACTTTGGCGAAGTAATGCGTGACATTATAAATAGTGCATTCTTGAGATGTAGCGCTCGGAGGTAACATGGGAGCTTTGTGGCCACTACATCTCAAAAGACACAAAACAGTATCGAGGCCGTACACGAATCACACAAAACCTTAGACTGCAGGAAAGTGGGAGTGGGCCGAGGAAGGAAAAACAAGGCAAAAGAACGCCTCGGAGTCTTGAAGGTCACGACATTGTCCTTACACTTTTTCGCTCTCTACTTTTGGGGCAGCTTGTGTAAGGTGGATTGTGAGTTTCACAGAGTGACTGGTTGTGCACCGGCAAAGGTTCGACTGCAACGCCAGTTTTAAAACAGTTGGGCAGCCTCAACTGATATGTGGTGGTCTGTGCTCAATTTGTCGAGGTCTGTTTTTTTCCTGAGTGGTCTGTTTTGTTAAATGTTGAAATTCTATAATGTGTTTCAAATGCAAAAGAGGCATCATGGTTCCTTTTCCAAACTCCCGGTCACATGGTCGCTCACTAGAAAAGCTTTAGTGGCATAATGGTGCTTTATTCACAGGCTAAATGAGCAAGTAGCATGCAGGACTCGTTTTGAACTGGCTGTAGGAATAAACCTCTCCTTTAATCCATCCAGGAGGAGGCCCTCCTTTTAAAACTGCCAATTGTCTGAATTGAGAGGAAAGGTGAAAGGTCACAGATCCAGGTTCAGATATCCTGCCAATTGAAATACTTAAATGACTCGAGCTCCAGTAGCATAGATGTTTCGTATATAAACTAATACAACATATTGTTGGTTTTACAAATGCATAATTGAGATTGACAAAACAAAAACAACAAAAATAATCAGGCCAAACATTCACAGATATAAAGAAAGATCTCCAAAAAAGCTCGGCCGCTAAAAGGGGAGACAGTTGACACCAATAGAAGGTGACTTCCTTTTGTTCCGTCTTTGTTGGAGCCATAACGTCCTCGTGCCAAACTTGCGGTTTGCCCACAAAACATTCAAGAGACAAGAGGATCATTTGCTTCCATCATCCCAAGTCAAAATAAGATCGCTCACTGAATAATTTATGTGATATAACATCACGTCAGCACTTTCCTTTGACAGGCATGAAAACAGGTCAAGGGTGAAAAAGGTGAGAAGGATATTACCCCTCTAGGGGTTTTCAACTGGTTTTGTCCCAGAGATCATTTTTTGCGTACTGACGAGGGGGGGATGGGAATTGACAACAACTAATGGGGGACAAGTCATTAAATACTCGTAATGCATTATATTGCATTGCATATAATGTGTGCTGGTCAACTGGTCTAAAATTCATTTTAGACACATTTTTGCGTAGTTTAGAGTGACAAATCGTACCAGCGTACTTTGAAGTCAGGATGCGTATCAGGTTGGCAGGTCTGCTTATTGATAGAACGGTGGAGCACTTTACCTTCTGCCTCATCAGTCCCCTCACCTTAAAATCTACCTCCTCAAGAACGCTAGCGTTAGCTAATCATTTCCCACCGGAGCTTTAGCTAGCTGGCCAACGTCGCGTTCTCTCCTGCTGTGTTAAATGACTCAACTCATCGCGTTAGCTAAGTCTATGTCAACAAAGCTCCTGGGTAACTTAACTTGGATATACCAGAAAATATTCAAATGATTGAAATCATCGCAATTCACTGAATCTCGCGCTCCCTTCTGACACGCGCACCTGTTCGCAGTTCACCTGTTCTATTTTGGTTTCAAAACGGCGAATTTCGCCGAAAGGTGAGGGATTTTCATGCCTGATTTGAGTAATAATTTTCCGTTAGTCACCTTTCCAATGGGGTAATGAACTTGTTCCAGGGAAATGTGTGCATTGTAAGGAGTGGTTAAAGGTTGTCTAATTATCTACATTAAAGGACCCATTGTTTGCCCATTTTACCACAAGTTGATATGGTTCTTTGGGGTCTTAATGAAATGTCTGAAATGATATGGGGGGGGGGGGCACGTAAGAGACTCCCATTACATTGTGACAACACAATGTTAAGGAACTTCTTTCCAGTCACTCAGCGTGACGTTTCTGACTTACAAGAACCATAACAAATCGCCGGAGTTCTTGGGTCGGTAGACATGCCAGATACCCAAATTACCGTGTAGAAGCACTAAAAAAAGTGGAATATTCATAATATGTCCCCTTCAGATCTATTTAGGATTGACTAGCACTACTATTAGGAACGACTCACACTGTATGAAAGTGAAAAACTTACGGTATTCTCCAGCTGTTGAGTCGTATTAAGGGAATAAAAAGTGCAGACAATGCGCATTAAATGTGTTGGTGAGACTGCACATGCATCAAACGAGCATTGATGTTGTTTGCTAGTGAACATTTTCTGTGTTTAGCAGAAAGCATCATCTTAGACTTTAAGTACCAATATAAAATAAGCGTTTTTTAAGTTGATTTATCAAAAATGCTCAGTTTCTAACGACAGAGGATCTTGAGATCCAGAAAAACATTTCTACAGAATACATTGTCTCTTTTGAAGCGGTTTTGAACGGTTGACTTATTTTTTCCTCAGGTCAATAAGCAGTGTGAAACAACTCTGTCGGTCTACTGAGTCGAAAGTTATTGAGGTACTTTCAAACGACGTTACAGTCAAAGAAGTGCTGACTGGCTTGATGCTGGTATGAACTCGAACATAAAATCAAAAGTCCTTCACAGCCAAAAAACTAACAAAACCAATAAACACAGGTTTTAATAAACATTGACAGAGGAAAGGTTAGTTACATAACCATTTTTTACATATGAATACAGGGCTGAACCTAATTATTGTTTTGACTATTGATTCATATGCTCATTATTTTGTAAACTAATAGTACAGACACTAAATAGTTACACTAAAATGATATGGTGGTGTCATCGAATTGTTGTATTACCATACCTAAAAATAACAGAAAAGTCTCTGAATACATTTACTTAAAAACAATTACAACAAAAAGAAGTTGAGAAGCTGGAAGTCACTACTATTATGTTGAAATAATTTTATTAACCTCGAGTATCGTTGTTACTGCTCCTGCGTTTTTTTTTTTTTTAACAACCGGAGAGAGAAATAAAAGTAGCAAAACTAACAACAAACAACTAAGCTGTATGAAAAAAGTTATGGCCTCGATGTTTCGTTTAATGTTAGAAAAACAAAGCTGTGGATTCTGGGCCTTTACCTGCCATTGCTGATTTGCGGGGGCGAGTGTCTGGAGTGGTCTGAGGGTTCAGATCTCCTGTCCGGAGAGCGCGAGCGGCTGCTACGATGTCTGTCGTGCGATCGATTGGAATGGTCGGATCCCATAGAATGGATATCTGAAATGTCTGATCAAACAAAAGCGACTGTTCAACGCCGGCTGTCTGAAACCCACGCGGAACGCGTCTCGCTTCTCAGCTGTGCCGCGTTTCAGCCGAATCCAACACTTAACACTGCCCTCACCGTCTCGGTCGGAGGCGTTGGCTGAAGGAATGCTGTCATCGAGGTCGGGGATGTTCAGCAGGGTCGCCCTGTCGTCCCTCTGCACAACCATTTTTAGCTTGCCCTTTGACCTTTCTATCAGCTTCTTGGCGTCTATCAAGGAGAGGTTTTCTGTCACTGTGCCATTGATCTGTGGAAAATCAGGGAGAGAAACGATTAGCCGCGGCATTAAAGAAAATAAGTTGTAATACAGAAGTCTTTGTTCAGCCTTTTTTTTGCAGTACAGTTATCACACGAAAAGCCACATTGAGGCTACAAATGCATCGTCTAAAAAAGCACAAGATCAGAGGCAAATTAAGTGCAAAACGAATTAGGTTTGTCAGGGTCAAATCATTGTCTCCATTTTGGGCATTACTATTACTTTGACAAATCCTTTGCCTTTTAATTATTTCATGAATCTTGCATTGCATGAATCTTTCAAGTGCTAGCATTCAAAAAGACTAAAGTGACATGTGTGAGGAGTCTGAATGTGAGAGACAATAAATTCAGAACAGCTACAGCTCAAAAAGCACCTGTTTTGCATATAGAGCTATTTTTAGATTTATTTCTTTAAAAAAGTGAAAATTATATAACATCGTGCAGAGGAAACTGCAACCATTAATGCGGATATGCACCTCTAGGCATTTAGAAAAAGTAAACCAATACAGCAGTACAGTGAGTACTGGGCAATTAGCACAGTATTAATGCTTCTTTCCATCAGAACAATGTGTTTTGATGCAATCAAGATTACATCATCATCAAACGTTCACCAGGCTTCATGAGGTCGTACGCCTCACCTTCAGAACAACATCTCCTTCCTGGATGTTGCCGTCTCTGGCTGCCAGGCTCTCGGGGGAAATGTCCTTGACAAAGATGTGGCTGGCCAGGCGAAGACCATATTCTGCTTCCAAAGTGAACAACAGCAACACAGAGCACGTTAGCACAGTGGCCACGCTGCACAGATCGCACTCTGCAGTCAAGCCGCCGCTCCCGCTGGGATTAACAGTACTGATTAAAGAAGATTAATTGCTCTTTTGCTTAGATTTACTTGAGTGAACTTGGATTTTGCTGCGTTTTTTTTTTTTTTACTCTGGCAGTTGACCAGTGCTGATATGGAGGTCTTATTCTCTCCTTAAAGTCTGATAATAGTTATGCCTGGATTACTTGAGAAAACTCTTTGTGCCCTCCGATTTTTCCATCCCCGACTTTGTGAGCCTCACCTTCATTTTTGCGGGATTTGACAAGCGTGACCTTTGCGGGACGAGGGGGCAGGTTGTGTGAGCGGCGGTCCGAGCGCGGGGAGAGACTCCTTTCCCGCGAGCCGCTGCGCTCGCGTTCCCTGTCCCTCCGCCCGCTGCTCCGGCCACTGCGCCTGCCCATGGCCCCGCCCACACCGCTGTAAGTGGCGCTGCGTCCGCTTCGCGTGTCGTAGATCTCTTCATCGTAACTGTCCTCCTCCTCGTCGTGCTCCGACATGGTCTCCCTCTCCCCCAGGCGGCCCATGGGGACATGCACCTTCCTCTTCCGTCTGATTGTCTGGGAGAAGGAAATACGATACAAGATCAGTTGGAGTCAATGAATCCCTCGATGGTGTGCATTCCTATGACACATGTCTCAATGACAGACAATTTGATGAAATAAAATGAGGGAATTCATAATGGGCTGTTGACTCACAATTTTGGCAATTTTCCCACTTTTACGAAGCTGCTGGACGGCGTACGCGTGCTCCACATTGTCCATGGAGACAGCATTGACCATAACAACTCTGTCATTTTCCCTAGAGAGGGGACACAGAAAGATGGAAGACATGCTGGAGTCTCTCTGCAGGAAGATGGGTCATTTATTGGTAATGATTTGCAGTTTGCCAAAGGTGGAAGCAGTTCTTACTGCAGTAGGCCTTCTGCTGGGCCTCCTTTCAACACATCAGAGATGACGATGGAGGTCTCGCCACTCTGAAAATGAGGGTTATCCCGACCTCCTGAAATGGCGATACCGAAGCCAAACCCTGGTGCCTGCATAGAGAGAAATACCGATAAGGATGTTAGTTTAGCGTTCTGTGTAGATGAAAATACCGAACATGATGTAAAGGTCTGGATAAAGATCGACAGAGCTGACAAATCTGTACATATGCAAAAAGTATATATTCACATGCGCCCTTGGACCGTTTTATTAGACGGTAAACCTAATCTACATTATCACAAAAAGGACACATTATTGTTATCAACATACAGTTTAGCTTTAGTGAGTTACAATTGTCAGTGTAGTTTAAAAGAAAAAGCATTCAAAAAGAAGGCAGTGTTAGTGACTGTTATTCCGGCTCTGTGGCCAAAAATGGGGGAGAGCGTTCGACAGAAGAAAAGCACTGTGGTGTTTGTTTTGTTCCACCTGCAGCTGTGTACACCGAAAGCACACTTCCTACATGATGTATCCTGGAAACAGGAGGGAAGACAAATGCAGCCATGGGAGGCAAAGATAGAAAACACCCTAAAGATAAAAAAGTTTCGACACGGAACAAAGAAAAGAGCATGTGAGGGAGGATAACGGGTACCTACCCTGTGCAGTGTTACTGTGTGCTGTTCCCAAATGACAGTTTCCTCCATTGCTGCACTCTGGAAAACAGAAACACAGCACTGCTGTTAGCCTGATCATCTTAGTACACAACAGACACCCACAGAACAACAAAGGAAAGGGAGGAATCTGAATGTTTCATTAGGCCATCAATTACTCAGCAGACCACATCAGGGCTTTTTCTGGAAAAGTCACGAAATGTGCTCTTTTCTTTCTATTGTCACACATTGTACCCTTCAGCTGCAAGGCGCAGATGTACACTCAGTGATTCTGCAAAATACTTATCATTATCTTCAGTTGAGAAAATAAATAGCCTACGGACGAATTTGTTTAATATTAGGATTTGCATAATAAAAGGAATACTAAAGCCTCCAACTGGCCAATTCAGAAGACAAAAGTCCATTTTATAAACTAACTAAATACAGTAAACGGTCTAAAATCACAACCTTTATAAAAGACTAATAGCATTTGACCAAATTCCATTTCCACTCCCCGCCTGTATGTCTACAGTTTTCTAGTGAAAGAGGGAAGCCGTCTCAGTGGGCTCTTCACACGCAAAGTCTAATAGTGATACAAACTGAACATACCAAACATATTAAAACACACAGGGCCGAACATACTAAACACACAGGGCCAAACATACTAAACACACGGGGCTGCAGCCAGCAGGCGGTTGACTTTTCTTCCATGTTACCTATTTACAGTGATGCAGATAGCACCGTGTTGTGTTTGCACTCTCACACTGCCAAACAGATTTGACCGAACATGTGATACGATCATAGAAGAATGGGAGTAAAGTACTAAAAGTAAGTCTTTAAATAAAAGTGCATCCTCTTTGACATGAGGAGGAGGAGGAGGAGGAGATGAAGGTCACCTCCCTCAGCTGATGGTCAGCGCTGTCCTCCACACACTCACAGCCGGCTCCCTATCTTATCTCTTCTCCACTTATCATTCCACCTCCACCACAATCTCACGACACATTAGCCTCTGAATGGCTGCGCGTGAAATACTACGAGGTTCATCCCTTCGGGGCAAATGGCGGCCGACATCACAGCGCCTGACGCAGTAACCCCTATTCGTCATGTAAATTGATCCAAAGAGTGTGTGACCGTAACAGGGGAGACCATCACACATTTTCCTCCTGCTTTGCTGGTAGTTTCTTTGACACCTCTGACACTTCCAGCGCGCTCACCTGGGCAGGGCGCTCATCGGGAAGTGTGATCTCTCATGTTGCGGCCCATTAAAGTGTGATGACGGACGAGCGACGAGAGATGAACCTCAAATTAAAAGCGGCATCAGTTCCAGTGCCTGGACCCTCGGCTGACATCATTGCCACCTCGTTGGCAGCTTCATACCCCACATGTCTAGCAAGTGTCGACCCAACTTCAGGCTGGAGATTAATCTACACGACAACCCGCTAATGGTTTGGCTTTCAAATTCCCTAAAGTGATCACGAGGAACAAGCAAACATTAATAAAACACTTAAAAAAATAAAAAAAAGGAGAAATATACTGTACATCCTTCCTGTTTTTGGATGAGAGAAAAGTCTGAGAAAGTAATCTAGCCCACTGTCCCTGCTGGCATTCTGGTTATTGTTTTAGCACCTAGGCGTCCTTCAACACATCGTCCGCCCGTCCGTCATGACCCGACAGCCTAGTGCCAACTTTAGCTTGTGTCTGGGAATACGGGCAGCTGAGTGAATCGACACAAGTGGCCGCAGACGTTCTCAGCTTGGCAGCAACAGTCACAAACTCCTCCAGCAGCTCATGGTGGGACTCATGTGAGGGGGGTAGGGGGGGGGGGGGGGGACCAAGGATTGAACAGGGGAACTCCCCATGGCCTTTTACAGTGAATACACCGCACTTGAGAGAGAAGAAAAACAAAAAAATACATCTGGATATTAACAGGTCTGCTGAAAAGAGGCATGGATTGTGTGGAAAGTTTGCGGTGTGAGGATTTATGCCCGTCTCCCCCATCGGCGCTGTGGAAACGCTGATGCAAACAACCCAGAAAATTTCGGCGGAATTTATGGATGGTTTGTTACTAAACCGCAAAGTTATGGGAGGTACTCGTTTCCATTGCTACTTTCAAGAATTCAGTAGGCATTTAAGAAGCATAACGCACACAAACTTAATGTGATTGCAGATGGCTCACTGAGTCTGAACCAATACAAAAATAAACCCCATAACATTTATGTTATGTACAATTTGTAGGACAAGATGGGGTCCTGCAGTGTGCATCTCTCCCGTGCCATCCAATATTTACACACACACACACACACACACACACACACACACGCACACACACGCGCCTTTCTCTTTGAAGGGATGCCGAGCTTGTTGCTCTGGTAACAGAGGGTGGGGAAGAGGGGGGGGGGCCGTATGTTGTTGTTGAAGTAGCTTGACATTTTCAGACCGCGTCTGATGGTTCTTCTCAACTGTGGGAGGTTTCAGAAAAGATACTGCTGAATTAAATTAAACAAGGGTTTTTTTTGTCGAGCTGGACACGCTTCACTAATAACATTTTCCCTCAAACGTGCTTTGGAGTCCAATAAAAGCAAAAGCCACTTCCTCTCACAACTGAACATCACGGGGCCCAATTCTGAGGCCAGAATCTCAAAGGTTCAAGTGAACATAAAAGTACGAGGTGGGAAACGTTTGAGTGGACTCTGCACGCCTCCTGTGTACGATTCTTTTACTAAAAATCGCTTCCAGTGACTGATGAGTTTTTTGTGACACCGCTATGTCCGTCCTTTATGGCCACAAACAACCGGTGCCAACAGAAGCTTGGAGCCACAAGCCAGAGCTGGCAGCCGCTGCACAGCACAGGCACACCATGTCGGTCGGGCCAGGCTTGGGGGATTACAACCAGGCAACTTGGGAGCCAGCACTCCGACACAGATGGACTACAACACAGCTGAATGGAGAAAGGAGAGCTGTGGGCCACATGGACTATGTCAAGCTGTAAAGGGTAAACAGCACAATTATTCAAAAGACCTTGAGGAGTCTCTAAAATATCAGCATGAGAGTCAATTCAGGTGGTGATTTTATTTTATGTGGAGTAGAATCACTATCAAATATTCAATCAAGTGAAATTTAATCAAAATGCTATTTTGATGATGATTTATGCACGTCATGTTTTGATAAAAAGTAGGCTGAGGTGTAAATAAGTCCTGTTTTCTAAGCTCTGTTTGATGGCAAATTTAACGCATCTGGTGGGTTTGCAAAAAGACATTTCTTAAAAACTTACTATCATTATTGTTCAGACCATTATCTCCAAAAATCATTTGGTCTTTAAAATTACCAACCAAAGTAGTTTGAAGCAATCTAATGTACTATTTTGCCCGAGAAACATATCAAACCCCAATATGTTCAGTCAACAACTATATGAAATATGAACAAATGGGTTATCATTTTCAGTGATCCTATTCCTTTTCTTTCCAGATTATGTAGCTTCCACAAAAACAGAAAAACGCACCTCAAAATAACTGGTGGTGGCGGCTGCTTTGCTGTGTTGAAAGTAGTAATACAGTTTATTAATCTGCACCAAAACAGAAGAACAACATCTCCACTTGGACACAAGAATCCTTGACTCGAACGACTCCTCAGAAACTAGCCTCTTGAAGCGAAGATGGCGGAGTTTCATTTAGTATTCACTTTGGAGTGTCATTAAAATGAAAGCGTGCTCGCTCCCCTAAAAACAAAATGATATTTCTTACAAAGAGGGAATGGAGGCAATGTGGTGGGGTGTTCAATTATCTGACTCAGAATAGATTTTGTGCTGTGGTTTAGGGGGTGAGGCAGAAGCTTATTCAAGTTTGACCGCTGTGGGACAAGAGTGGCTAAAAATAACCCTCATTAATTCTGCCGTTGTGATGCTGCAACAGAGTAATTTAAGGGGAACTTGCAACACCGGAGAACATTTAATAACCTCCTGTTGTTTTAAATACCAACAACTGACTGGAGCAAGTGATGCATTACAGCACATGAAAGACATTCACTATCTCTCTCTGAAGAAAAGAGGTCGATCATGTTCACAAGGCCCAAAGACGTGGATATTCAAATGGATAATACAATACAGATGGTTTAACGCTGATGCTGGGATGCTCACGACACACAACCAGGTACAACACATCCAATTTAACATTGCATAAAACCAACCAACTTTGGATAATCACTTTTCAATAACTTAATAATAATAATAAAATGAAAAAAATAATATAATAATAAATTGGTGCACTGCATTTCATCTTATATTCGTGTTAGTCTGAGATAAGACACCACTCAGATCCACACATCAGAGCAGTATTACAGCGGTGTGTGTGTCTCCAGCAGGGGAAGACACGCCTGTCATTTGTTCTGAGGTTCTCGGTCATCACATCCAGCCCAGAATAACACCGAGACGAAAAGGCCAGCATGGCAGCAATCATGAAATCGCTAGAACGAGGACACTTCCAGGACGAGCTGCACTGCAGAAAAACAACAACAGGATCTCACTCGGCCGGGCTGCAGCAAACAAGTGGAATACGATGATTGATCACTTCAGAAATTGAAACCGATGTGCTGGGGAGTGCTGACAACTGCTAAATCCCCCCTCCCTCAGAGAACCCATTCAAATGCTAATGAGGGCCCATGCCGTAGCACCAGTTACGGTGCGGGAGGGGGGGGGGGTCCTCTGAGAGATAAGCGACACACGCAACATGGTCGGACACTGGGCCGTGGATCTCTGGTGGAGGACAGATAACAGGAATGAAACGTATCCATGGGGGGGGGATCAAGTGCTTACATTGATTCATCGTGGTCACCACAGAGAACACAAACAAGAAGCGACTCCGACCTCCAGCCACTCGTCAGTAAATCCAGACGCCTCAGAGCACAACCGCACCAATCAGTGCTGGGAGGAACTGACCCCCACCTTCTCTTCTCTTGGCTGAAATTACAACCCCAGGTGAGGGCAAGAGAAACACCCCCCGCAGCGGCACCCTACCCCTTTCCTCGGGCCCGCAGAAAGGTGCTCCTCCACTCCCAACATCGCTCTCCCA